AAGAACGACGAGTCCGAAGCGGAGCCTTCCTTGATTCTACTTCGTACCTCAGTCTCGGCGGTTTCGCTTTTTCCCTCTCCTTTCTCACAGACTCGCAGGTTCTGTACGTAATACCTCGGGGTATGGGCGAGGCAACCACGGAAGAGAATGGTCCCGACACGGCGGCCGAGAAAACGGCCGAGCTTGTCTCCAGCACTCTTGATCCTACTCCGTCATTCGATGGCGTTACACTTTCCGACTCACTGAGAGATGCTTACTTTGATCGTTCCTCTCGGTGGAGAAGTGAATGAGTGGAGAGGTGGGGAAAGTGGAAGGAAGAGGGAAAAAAAAAAAAGGGGGGGAGGGGTGTCTTGGCTAACGACTACCGGAAAGGTTTGATCGCATCCTTTGATAGCCTTGATGATAAGTGCACTCCACACGCAACTTCGGCAAATCTTTGAGTATCAAAGGCCCTGCCCTCTTTACTACGGCGCTAGCCCTGACAATCGTTCCATTCTCCTCAACCCTGGAAGTGAAATGTGGCTCTTTCTTCCAAGGGCCAACCGATAATACTCTCCAAGACGACAAAAGCGACTACGGACACAAAAGCTCCTCGCACGAACGATGCCCTTATTCACGAAGTGACACAAACACGACTCTCCCTGATGAGAATGGAAGAGGCGGCTTGTGAAAGATTAGGTTGGGAGGTTTACGAGATGGCTTGGGGTCTGCCACAAGATCGGCCCAGCTTTCAAGCCACGCCAGTTAGACATACCGGTAGTCTCCAAGTTGGCGTCAATACGCACGCACATCACCAACGGCAGGTGTCACTGCGGGGGAAAGAAGGCGTCCTGGTTGGATCGCATCGGAGGTGGGCTCCTGACCACACTGGTACTCCCAGGTCCATCCTCCCCTAAAATACTTCAGCTCGAGCGCCCAACAAGACCGACCCACCGACGTGGTACTAGTCGGTCTAGTCTTTTACTGTCTTGAGCTTAGCTTTCCGAGTTAGGCCAGCCCCAAGCTTCGGGCCCGCTTCCAGGCGTGCGTCGACAAGACGCTGGGCCAAAGTAGCTGGCGAATACCGTCACTGCCATGAGTCCATGTGAGCAGCACCAGGAATACCCAGCAAAGAGATTTGACAGAGCCGAAAAAGGGTCTCGTTGTATTATTATCACAATGAGGCCAAGAAGAGTGCGCCAAGGACGCCAGCAGGCCAACATCAAGCTCGGCGCCAGAGCGATGTTTCTAGCAACGGTGCGGAATAGGTTCCATCATCTCGGAGATCTCCCAGGGTATCGTCTCCACTCCGCCCTCCTTCGAGGATCGACTTGTCGCGGGCCAGCAGGCCTAACCTTGTTCCGAACAGGCTTATCTTCGTAAACGGGCGAGTCACAGATTCCCAGGCCAAGAGCCTAACTCGAGTCGTGGACCGGTGGTGCGAACGCACTCCTGAAGAGCTGTCTGGGAGGGACTAATAGATCCGCCACTCGATCCTTGACCGACTGGTGGGCTGGCGAGTCGCTGCCAAGAAGGCGTCGTCGAGGAGAGTTTCCATATCTGCTGGGAATAGGACTCTTCACCAGGAACAAACATACCAAGCAGTTCCGTTGGACTTGCGCTGGGCTAATACGTGGCCGGCCTGGCTGAAGTAGCATTTTGGAATGTAATTTTTACGAAAGATGGGTGGTATTGGAAGCTTCTGGGCTACGGCAGTCGCCAACGCAGCCGTCCTCCCGTAAGCCTGATACCCCGGGGTTTGGCGGAGGCTCGGGGCGAGATTGCGAAGAAGAGAGATGGACGGAGGCGAAGGGCAAGGGCATACTGCAAATCCTATAGACTGGTCAAGGCCATAGGGGAAGAGCTAGCTGTCGCTCTATGTGCGCAAGATGTGTCAGGAACTGGCTCATCTTTCACGTCCCCCATGCAAGCTTTGGCCGGCGCTGCGGCACTATCATTGGTTCTGGGGGAGAAACAGGCAACTTCGGCACCAGGAGCCGGGGTGACACCTAGCGTGAGAGAAATCATACTTGTAGAGAAAAGAAAAGAGCCCATAAAGAGGGAGATCAGAGAAACTGGTGGCGTTAGCCTAGGCATAGCTCCACGCAACGCAAGTATTCCCCTCTCCATCTTGGGTTCGGGCTGGGTGTCATCGATAGACGTCAAGCCAAGGATCGAAGGGCCGGCCCCTTGATCCGGCGTAATCTGTTTGGAATGGACCAGCCAGATGCATCAATCCCTTGACCCCTGGGAATACGCTCGTAGGGCGGCCGTTTTGAGGGTTCAGGAAGGACGTGTTCGATCTACGGGGGCGGCGTCCTGTGATGTGACGAGACATTTTGCCAGGCAGCCAACGAGGCGGGTACGAGGTGCGCTTCTTTGGTTATTTGGCGCCTTTGTTTACGGCTAGCGCCCTCTTTGGCTGATTGGAGAAGCGAGCATGCCGTCCTTGAAACGCCGGGGCGGAACTTTACTTCCCTCCCTTGCTGAGCAGCTGTGAGGGCCTTTGGCTGGGTGGCGGGCCGCCCTGTAACTGCCGAGGAGCCTCCGTCTGCACATGGCTTAATCAAGGTTGCTTCTTGGGTGTTAGTCCGCTTGATAATCTCGTGGACGGACATATTACTAGCTGCTAGTACCGCGCCCACACTTGTGGGGTTGGGTGCGTGTCAAGGTTAAGAAAAAGAAGTGAGAGAGAGAGAGGGAAAAACAAGAAAACCAAAACAAAAAAAGGGGATAAAGCTACTGCGACCAACTTGGTCGCCGTACATGATATGATGCATACATAGTATGCGGGAAAGGGAAATTTGAATGATCCTTGGTTCCCTCGCCTGACCCCTCTGCGAGTACGTGCGCGCGCGCGTGAGTTGTCCTCGATGGAGGGCAGGACGGACAGGGACGGGCCTTGAGGGCATGAGGAGCGGCGGATTTCGTTTCTCTGGATGCGCAAGGATCGACGAGGACATTAGGTGCGAAGGCGCAACTGCGGCCACCGATCCCCCTTGTCTCGCCTACAGATTATCTTGTCAAGAGAGGAAATATCGCTCTTGACCCTTTACACCTCCCATCCACCTCCTCGCTGGACGAAAAACATCTCCCTAGGGATACTGGCTGCGTCTGGCTTGTAAACCGCACACAGGGAGACCGACGGCCCAGGGGGCGTTGGGGCAGGCCGGATGGCAGGAAGGAAGGGGGTGTGTGTCTTGCGACGGCGAGAATCCTAGATGGCCCGAAGCGAGTGCTCCGATCCCGAAAGAACTGCATACGACAGTGGCTAATATTACTCCACGCAGAAAAATGTGGGAAAGAGGGGACGGGGGTTAGGTTGGCAAGTAGGTTAGGGGGCGATGGGGAGGGGTGGTAGAGCGATCGAAAAGCAATAGTGTAGGCAGGACTGGCCCAAGGGGAAGCAGGGACTAGACAAGGAGAAAAAAAGAAAAAAGTAGCCGAAGTGGCGATCCGCAAACCAACGCTGCATGGCTGTGGGCTGTGGCTGCGAAAGTGATCAATCAACTGGATAATGCTCAATGCCTTTGACCCTTGCACGATGCGGGCTTTTTCTTTTTCTTCCTCTTCTTGAATCGATTCCATCTATGGATGTTGGCTCTGTTGGCCTCTACTTTATGATTATCAGAATGCAATTTTTTCTCATCTTGGTCCGTTTCTGTTGTAGCTAGCTAATTCATCTCTCTACGCCCTTTGGTTCTCGCCAATTTTATTTGCTCATCCTCTTGGTTGCCCGTTGGTCGGGGGCTTGGGCAGTTGGGTTGGTCGGATCTCGAGGCCGAAATGCCGGGTTCCCTGCCAGTGCCAGACCAGATCGCACACCACACACAGACAGGTATTCGATGTCGCACACGGACAAACGCAAACACGCAGGCACACACACACACACAGACACACACACACACACACACACATACACAGACATCCGCACATCCGCTCGCTCATCTCCTCTCTCTGATCCGTTGAGGTGTTGAACGCGAGGGCAGGGACGCTAGGCTGACTGGGTGGGAAAAGAGGGCGGAGAAGCCGAAAGGAAAAAGAGCGTTGGCGGAGGAAGGAAGAGGAAGACCGTGCTTAGCTTCGCCGATGAATCCGTCAGAGAAGGCGAAGCTTGAGATGGACAACTTCGAGATGCAGTCCATCAGCTCTCATGGGTTGTTTCGGATAATAAGGCCGAGGGGAGCATGACTGGCTAACGATGTGGAAAGCATGCTTCGCGTATACATGTCCTGTTGGCTGACGGCCGAGTGGTGGATGTGAGGGGGCAAAATCCACGGTCTTTCCTCTCGCTTAATCATTTCCACATTACGTCCCCGTCTCGATGATCCCTTCTGTGCGGCCCCGGGGAGGGGTTCTCGAAGCCCTCTGTCTCTCAACTGAGGATATTGAGACAGAGGCCGTCTTGGAATGATGTGGCAGATCAGCCCCTCGTCTAGGACAAGACTATCCTGCCGCGGGGATATGTGGTTGCGTGTGTCTGTGTCTGTGGGCGCCTGTCACGCCGGGCATGCACACTGCTGCAGTATACATATTAAATTACGAAACCCAAAACGACCCTGTGATGGTGTTTTGTTTCCTTTGATTGCCTCCATGCCCGTCATTACATGCCTATACCACCACCGGGAGCCCTCCAGACCCTTCTAGAGGGCCCTTATACAGACCTGTAATCTAGGGTTATGCAGATCCTGCGTATCTTGGCCCAACCTGCGTGGCGTGAGCCGCAGAGTTGGCTGCGCGCAGAGGCGATGTCCGTCTGCAAATAAGTGCACCTAGCAAGTTTCGTGTGGGCCTGGGCCTGGGCCGGCCTGGGCCTGCCTTGTGCAGTCCTATGAATGCAGGTCCCTCGCATTGCTCTGGCGAATATGAGGGCGTGGGGCGCTGGGCAGCAGGTACCGCATCCAGGGCCACAGTGAGGTAGGTATAGGAATAAGAAGAGGAAGATGGGAACCAAGGATAAGGCTAGATGAGGGGAGATGGGAAAGCAGGCCGAGTAGCAAAAGGATCCTCGTCATTGAGCATCAGTCGATCTCGGACTCGTCGAGCTCGGGGTCCTCGAGGGAGTCGTTTGGTGAATCAGCTCCAGGGTTGTCACCGTTGTCGCTGTTGCCACCATCATCATCGTCGTCATCGTCGTCTTCATTGCCGCGCTTCCGCTTGACGGCAACTTGAGTTTGCTCCCCTTTCCTAACAAACACGTAGCTCCGAGACAGCCTGTCCTCGCCCTTCCAGCCGCCGCCCAACTCACCCTTCTTGTTCCTCACTACGCCGAGGGTGCGCGCGTGGGCATAGCCCGGATACGCATCCGCGCGGAACCGGAAACTCCTCTCGACCTGCAGGCCGCAGTGGCGGCCCAGATCCCTGACGTTCCACAGGGTGTAGGGCTCGCCCTCGAACAGCGTCACGACAATGGACCCGCCCCGCGCGAGGCTGGGCATCGCGCGGCGGAAGAAGCCGACAAGGAGTTCCTGGTTATACCGCACCTGGCGGTTGACGTCGGTGGACTTGCCGCCCACGTGTGGGAAGTTGAACAAGATGCGGTCCATGGCGGGCTTCTTGCCCCTTTTCCGGCGGGCGGGGAGCACGGCCTCGGAGGTGACGGCCTGGCGCTCCGACGACTTGTCGGTGAAGGCGGGCATCTTGGTGGCGTCCACGCCGTACAGGAGCTTGGCGCCCTGAGCGGACGCCTCCTCGATTGCGGCGACGTTGGCCTCGGCGTGGGGGTATTTCTCGAGGAGCTCGGCGCGGTTCTTCTCGAGCACGGTGGCGGTCACGCGCGTGCACTTGTGGTGGGCGATCAAGCTCGCAGCAAAGCTCAGGTCGCCCTCGCCGACGAGGAGAATGCGGTCGGAAGGTGAGAATGGTATCGTGGGGGTTCTTCTTTCGTAGGGGGCTTCTTTTGCGGCGGCGGCTGCTGCTGCTGTTGCTGGGGTTGCTGCTTCTGCTTCGACGTCTGCTGATGTGCGTTGAGCTTGGTCTTCTTCTGGTGAGGGTGCGTAGGCTTTCCTGCGCCAAAACGCGAAAGCTTCCGCTTCTTGCTCATCGTGGAGGAGGGAAAGGTGGGATGAGGGCAAGGAAGTGGTCGAGGTAGGTATGAGCTTGACCTATGCGAGGCGGTAAGAGAGGTAGGTGCGAGGTCCAGGCACAGCTCCGGACTGGTTTGATCCGTGGGAGACGCGCCCTAGAAACAATGTGCGCGGCTCGGGAAATGGTCTTAACGGGCAAAGCGAAGGATGTTAGGCCAAGATGGAGAGAGAGAGCGCTTGCTTGCTGGTAGACTCAAGATGGGACTAAAAAAAAAAAAAAAGTGATAAGCGCACGAGCCAGAATTTTTGCGGGTAGCTCGTGCCAATTGGTTTGGTGGGGGCGGGGAGACAGTACAACAGGCAATCGCTGCTTGACGACCCCACGAAGCGACAACGCTGACCGAACGAAGCAAGGCCCTGACGAAGCGAACAAGATGAAGCGCATACTTTGCGAAAAGCCCAGGGGCTGAATAGTAGACGGTATTGATTTACCTTTTGTGTCTCACCTAAGAAGCCTATGGAATCACCGGAAGTCTACCGAGTGAAAACTTGAAGTCATATAAGCCCATGCTTGAGGATTGATCGCACCCTCTGGCTAATGGATTTCTATCGCACCCAGCTAGTTCCCAGCCAGTATACTTTTCCAAGACGCCCTTCTTTTCTTCCCTTCCTGGCCCTGTTCGTGCCCAAACTTTTATGATAATGGATCTCTCCTTTTATCTAGGTCAAGTGGTGCCTTTTTTTCTTTTCTTTTTTTCCTTCTTGGAGAACCAAGGGCATAAATGCAATTAAGTAATGGATCGTTGGTAACTGGATCTATAAGCCCAGCAACGTGTTCCCTTCAACAGCGATAGCTGCTATTGCTAGTCTTGAACCTGATATGATTCCCGGCCAGCGTGCCTCTTGAGTCGATGCCCCCTTCCCTCACTCGTTTCCAGTGCTCTTTCCGTTTTTCTTGGGCGAAGTATCGATATTTCTCCAGAGGTGCGCCCCCGTCTCCCTCAGAAGGCGTGCACACTCTACATTCCCAGCGCGCTCTGCGAGGAACAGAGGCGTGTTGTCCGCCCAATTTCTCAGGTGGACGCTTGCTCCCTTTTGCAAGAGTAGCCGCATGATATCGGGGTTCGGCGCAAAGGCCGCCAAGTGAACGGCGGTGTTACCGGCGTAGTCGACTTTTTCAGCATCGTGACCTCATCGCCGGCCAGGATCTCCTGGACAGCCTCCAAGTCCCCGTTTCTGATGGCATAGCCTAGCGCCGTGAAAGCGGCGTCAATGGGCGTGAGAAGCGCCGCGGCCGAATCGCTCGTCCCGGCAGGATGCGTAAAGGCTGGCTGGGTCCGCTCCGTCATTTCGCCGCGAAGGGACAGCGACATTTGCCGCGTAATCTCCTCGGTCGAGAGGCCGGGGATGCCGAGCAGGTACGAGAGTTTTGTCAGTGCCGCTTCGATGGTGAGATCTAGGCCAAAGATGACTCCCGCCCTCCCTAGTTCGGTGCCGGGGCCGTAGATGGGTGACACGAACCCAGACGTGCACTGGGAGACGTTGACGATGATGTTGCCCCGCTCAATACCCTCCCGGATGACCTTGGTCAAGCCTCCGTCTATGCCACCGGGCGTGTTGCCCATGCCAAAGGATGCCAAAATCAACCCGCGGAGATTCGGCAGACGCAACACCGAGTCGATCATGGCTGGTTGGATGCCCGGAAAGACCCAGAGGCAAGCGACGCGAGCCGTGTCCAGGTTGGTGGCGATGCGGAACTCGGCCAGCCTCTTTGGGCGGTGGATGAGCGGCCAATTTACGTCGATGCCTAGTCCGTTGACCTTGGCCAGGGGTTCGAGGTTGGGGCTTTCGAAAGCCTCGAAAGAGGATGCCGACACCTTGGAGGTCCTGTTCCCGCGAAAGAGCCGGTGGTGGAAGAATAGGCACACTTCGGGGATGACAAAGGTGCCTGCGATGATGAGAGACCCCAAAAGGTTGTCCTCTGCGTCGGACTGGAGGGCGAAGATGGGAGCTTGCGAACCCGTAAGAATGACGGGTTTCCCGAGATCCGACATCATGAACGAGAGCGCGGACGCGGTGTAAGAGAGGGAGTCGGTCCCGTGCAGGATCACAAACCCGTCGAAGAGGTAATAGTTCTCCTTGACCGCTTCCGCGATGGCCTTCCATCCATCGCACGAGATTGAGCTGGAATCTAAGAGGGGATCAAACTCGAGGATCCCGTAGCGCACGTGGCGAGAATAGGTGCTGGGTGGCGTGCGAAGACTGTCAAGGGCGAGCTCCTTGCCGTGGTGGAAAGCCTGTAGTTGAACTGGAGGAGGCGCAAAGGTGTAAGCGCCAGTTTACGAGCCCCCTCACCAACCTCCCTCCACCCCCAGGAAAGAATGGGCTATCAAACTAGTTCGGTTCATAACCATACCTCTAGGCTGTGACTTGTCATTAAAGCATGGTCGCGGAGCCATGGCACGGTCGAGAAAGCCCGCCATAGGCTGGAGTCCGTCCGGCGTTGGCTGCATGCAAATCGTGCCTCCAGTCGCGATAATGAGGACCCGGGACTCGGGCAGGTTGACGGAAAAGTCCATCTCGGAGAGAGCGTCGGGCGGTGCCATTTTTCCCAGCCCGTCTTCTCCTGTCGCGATTAGCGTCAAGGCGTTTTTAATAGTTGCCACAAGGTTAGTTTTGAGGGCTGGTACCGGAAGTTGGTGGTTGAGGTCTCGTCGATGAGCAGGCAAAGGTCCAGTCAAGCTCAAGAAACAACTGAAACAGCCTGCGAACACAATTTTATGTCGAGCTCTGTTCTGGGCAGAGGTGCTTGGGCACCGCTAGACCCGGCGCGCGGGGAATAGGGCGAAGGCTTTAAAAAGTCTAGACCCGATTCGAAGCCCGGGACCGGTTTCGCAAGATGGGCTCGGCTATTGAAGGCGAAAATGGTTCAACCTCCGGGCGGTGGCGGGGCCACGATCCCTGTCCTGCGCGGTGGTGGATGAGTGAGCCCTGACCTGACTGCGACCGCAGATGTTCCAAAGAGAGCGCGAGGCGACACACAGTTTTCGCTAAATGGTTGGGGCAAACTATCCGAACAGGGCCATTGGGAAAAAGGAGAGTGTGTAAGAGTGCACGTAAAATGGGAACGGGAATGATAAGAAAAGGAAAAAGGGGGCGGGAGATTGATATGATGGACTCTTATGTGGTGGGCGCCGGCCTCTTGTGCTTATCAAGGAAGTTCTTCATGAGGAGGTGCGTGACGGGAAGCACTGCCCACGTTTTCTCCCTCTCGGCCTAGTGGACAGCTCGGTCAACCGCGCCAGTGGGCGTTTGCGTTTTACATCGACAGCGTATATACGGTTAGGGTTGCGCCTAAGACTAAGAACGGAGACCTCGAGTTGATGGGCGGTGGCCGTTGGTCGAGGTTGCGACCATCGCCAGGGTCACTGGAGCAATACATGGAGGTGTTGTTGGTCACCTTCAACCTATTTTGCCGCGAACTTCCTGTTTCGTAGCAATCACGGAACGGGCAACAGATCTCGAGCAAGCTTGAATGGATCAAATGGATGTGTCGAGACACTCCTCATCACTACAGTAAGTCGATGGATCGACGACGGCCATCAATGGCAAAAGTCGGGAATATGTGCTACATGGATGTTGTAGAAAGTTACACAGCCACCGTACACGATCTTCATTCACTAGGCCGTTAAGAACACTAGGTAGCTTCAAAGTGCCATTGAAAGGAACCGTTGCATGCCGGTGGGCGGTACTTGATGCAGTTTTGGGAGGACTTTTTCTTTTTCTTTTTCTTTCTTTTTCCTTTTCAATTATAATTACGAGTGTTGGTATCATACCCCGCTCGCTTCGTCGAAATAGAAAGAAGTTTGCGAGAGGGAGAGGAAAAGAAAAAAGCAACGCCCGAGGAATTGAAGCCATATCACCCGAGGCCGGCGAGACCAGCCTCAAAGACAGGGAAGGATGCAGTGGGAAACGTGTTTATCGCCCGCCGGCATCAGGGGTGCATAAGACTGGGCGTGCTTAGCTGACGCAAGGTCCGCGTCTCTGTTGAATGGGGTTGGTCATGGGGGAGAGCGTCTCGATGAGCTTTTGTTTGATTTTCCATCAATTGTATCATTCACCCTTTTCGCGCAAGCTAGTAATTAGCATCCATCCTTCGTCTGACGACCTTTTATCGAGCCTCGCCTGCCGCTGCCCAGCTTCGATGCCTCGAGACCGAGTCGGACCTTGAACAATTTGGATTCATACGACTGCATCTACAGGCAACAGCACTTTGTGACACTTTCTTTCTCTAGTACCAGCCTAGACAACGTTCAACAGGGTGTAAAGTCGCATTTTGTCCTCTCCCACCACGACATGCTTCGCGGGCGCGCGCGTGAGTGGTATATACCTTTAATATTGAACGCGCGCCTACAGCTCTCCTAGAAGAACTCACTCGGGTGTCCCCCTCTGGCCTGTAACTGGCCCAAGTTTTTCACAAGGTCATTCGCACAATTCTCCTCGCCCGCCGTCGAGAATTCGAGGGTCTTGGGCTAACAGGCTCTCTTACTTTGACCCGTAAGACACTCCGGCTAGGTAGGGAGAGAGGATATACCAGGTAGCACCGCCCGACGAGGCTCTCAAAAGGTGGTGGGAGTGGGGTGGGGGCAACGCAAACATCTCATCAGTTTCAAGTCAAGCGCACTCTTTTTTTTTGGTAGATGCAACCCGTTGGCTTTCGACCTCGCCTGAGGGCGCGACGGTCGCTTGTAGACCTGCTGGTGGGTTCGGCAAGCAACGCGAATCATGTGCTCTCGCCGTCTAGTCCACCACCGGATCCCGGGCTGGTGGCCGAGGCCCTCGCGCAGGTCGCTGCCGAGGAAAAGGAAGAAAAAGACGGAAATGAGGTCCTGAGCTCCCGAGAGACGGGACGTATCGCGGAGGAGGCTGGTGAAGATGAGGGCATCTCGCAACAACAACAACGAACGAGCTCAAGGGGTGGTGAGCGGGCGCGCGAGGTGTCGCCGCCGTTGGCTGAGTACCCTTTTCCAACAACGATGACGGCGCCGACGGCGGGTGGTCGTTTGGATGCAAGGGGTTCCTCGTCCTCTGAAAGTACGAGCTCGACCACTTCTTCCAGGCCTCGGACTCCACTGGAAATCGTTCACCTTGAAGGGCCTCAAGGCATTGAGGAAAGAGAGGAGAATAGCTCAAGTGCGATGCAAGCACTGTACGAACCCGCCCCAGTTGAACCGCTACGATTGGCGGCTGCTGAGTCACCCACCAACACGGAGAACTTGAGACTCAGTCAGGGCAACCATCAAGGCCGGGGTCCTGCCACATCGGATCGCCCCTTGGAACAGCCCATGCCCGCACGTGCACTGGCGCCCTCAGTCTTGACCCCGTTATTAGCTTCTGAGGCCTCTACGAGTACCGCCAGAGCCTCTGAGCGGGACCTCGCACAGGCGTGTGTTGAGGGGCAGTCGAGACCCTCAGAAGCCCCAAAACAGCTGCCTAGCGGCCCCTCTCACAGGGAAATTCGGAAGACGTCATCCCCGCCATCACCTCCCACAGCCAGAGCACCGGACGAGGCCCAACCATTGGTCGGCCAAGGCAGCGAAGCTCAACCTCCCTTGTGCCTTGTCGACAAAGCTTCCCTGCTACTGATCCCGCCTCCACCACCACCACCGCCAAAAAAGCTGCACCCTTCTTCACCACCGCAACCCACCCCTAAACACCTCACATCTCCTCCCACCTCTCCCACAACTCTCCGGCTTCACTTAGGAGACTCTCTTTGCACGACAGACCAAATTCCGACCGCCGATACCTCCTCCTCTGACCCTATCAAGATGGCGCCCGTATGTGATGTGCCCGCAAAAATAAAAATAAAAAACCTCCCTTCTTCCAAGACGCAACCCCTCGATTCCCGCCCCTCCATGCCCACCGGCTCAACACCGAGATTTCCTCCCTCCCCCATGCTCCTCCTCGCAACAACGCCTGTACGGCGAACATCTTCAGTCTCTAATATGGCGTGCAGAAAAATGACAAAGGGGCCAAGGGCAATGCCCAAGCTGGCTCCGGGCCTGAAAGCTTTAGCAAGGGTAAGCTGGCCTCTCCCTCCTCCCCTAATCGAAATCGTTGCCCTTGGCAATACTTCCGTGAGAAATAGGTCTAAGATGGTGTAACTGACCCTGACGGCCTTTCTTTTCTTCTTTTTAGGTATTATCTACTCCGTGTCTGGGTTAGTCCAATCCACAGCAGTTTCTTATCAAGCCTGCGCCTTTTTCCCCTTTACCCTTCTTCCTTCTTCTTCGTGACCCGTTCATCACCAAGGAGAGCCCACTCGATCCCGGCCCCTCGTTCCCGGTCCTTCACTCGAAGGGTCTCTCCGCTCAAATATTCCAAACGTTATGCTCACATCTCCGATCTTACCGTATCTAGACCCGTCGTTATCGCCGAAAACATGATGGGCGTTTCCATGTTTGAACTCGTACGTCACCCGTCGCACAGAGACACCCGAACATACCACCCTCTCTTTGTCTTCGGCTCAATAGCCCATATCGTGCTGACGAATTCTGGCCCTTTATAGGTTCAAGTCGGCCACGAGAAGCTGTCTGGTGAAGTCATTAGCATCCGCGAAGACCAGGCCACTATCCAAGTATACGAGGAGACGTGTAAGCATATCCTACCTCCCCAACAGTCCATCAATATCCGCCGGATGTGGGCGAGAGTCGCCTCCGTACTAACGTCGACTAGCCGGCGTTCGAGTCGGAGATCCTGTGCGACGAACCGGAAAGCCCCTCTCCGTCGAGCTCGGCCCCGGCCTCCTGGACAACATCTACGACGGTATTCAACGACCCCTAGCGAAGGTTGCCGAGATCACCCAGGGTATCTACATCCCCCGAGGAATTGCCCTGCCGGCCCTCGACCGTGAGAAGAAGTGGGAGTTCACCCCTACATTGAAGGTTGGCGACCACATCTCTGGCGGTGATGTGTGGGGAACCGTATACGAGAACTCTTTCCTCAAGGTGCACCGCATCCTTTTCCCACCCCGCAAGGTTGGTGGAGTCATCACAAAGATTGCCCCCAAGGGCGAATACACCGTGGCGGAGCCCCTCCTTAGTGTCAAGTTCCAAGACGAGGTCACGGAATATCCCATGATGCACAGCTGGCCCGTCCGTGCCCCCGACTCACCAACGAGAAGCTCTCTCCCGATCAGCCTTTCGTCGTCGGCCAGCGCGTGCTGGACTCTCTTTTCCCCGCCGTCCAGGGCGGTACCATTGCCATCCCCGGTGCCTTTGGCTGCGGCAAGACCGTCATTAGTCAGTCCGTCTCCAAGTTCTCCAACAGCGACGTCATTGTGTACGTTGGATGCGGAGAGCGAGGAAATGAGATGGCCGAAGTCTTGAAGGACTTCCCTGAGCTCACCATCGAGGTAGATGGTAGGAAAGAGCCCATCATGAAGCGCACGTGTCTTATCGCCAACACCTCCAACATGCCCGTTGCTGCGCGTGAGGCCTCCATTTATACCGGTATCACCGTTGCCGAGTACTTCCGCGATCAGGGTCTGGACGTTGCCATGATGGCCGACTCGTCATCGCGCTGGGCCGAGGCGCTCCGAGAGCTTTCCGGTCGTTTGGGAGAAATGCCGGCTGATCAGGGTTTCCCTGCCTACCTCGGTGCTCGACTGGCCGGTTTCTACGAACGTGCGGGTAAAGCCATCTCGCTTGGCTCGCCCGAGCGCATCGGCAGTGTCAGCATCGTGGCCGCCGTGAGCCCGCCTGGTGGTGATTTCTCGGATCCCGTCACTAGCGCCACCCTGGGTATTGTGCAGGTGTTCTGGGGTCTCGATAAGAAGCTGGCCCAGAGGAAGCACTTTCCCTCCATCAACACGGGTGTGTCGTACTCCAAGTACACCAACGTACTGGACAAGTGGTACCAGAAGGACCACCCCGACTTCGCGCAGCTCCGTCTCACCATTAAGCAGCTTCTTTCGCAGTCCGAAGAGCTTGACCAGGTCGTGCAACTCGTTGGCCGCTCAGGCCTCAACGACGAGGACAAGCTCGTCCTCGACATCACGAGAATCATCAAGGATGACTTTTTGCAACAGAACGGTTACTCGGACTATGATCAATTCTGCCCCCTGTGGAAGACGGAGTGGATGATGAAGCTCATTGTCGGATTCTACGAGGAGTCCATGAAGGCCATTAGGCAAGAGCAGAAGTGGTCCGACATCTCCTCCGCCACCGTAGACCTCCAGAACAAGCTTCGCCGCCTTAAGTTTGAGGTCCCCACGGACGGACAGGACGTGGTTTGCAAGAGGGTAAGCATCCAATCTCTCTTTTTTCTTTTTCTTCTTTTCGTTCTACACTCTACGGTCGTGTCCGTCCTAGACGGTTGTGATACCATCAACATCTAAATCTTGCCCATACTAATATGCGCCTCCTACAGTACGCCGATATCCACCAAGAAATGACAAACAAGTTTGCCGACGTTTTGGGCGAGTAAGCTGGGGTGGAGGGATTAGGGGCATGGCATGGCCTTCAAATGGTATAATGAATTTGATTATGCTGGTTCTGGATACGAATTACTGCAGCCGCGCGTTGCGCATGGCTCCTCCCCTTTCTTGACCCTTTTTCTTATTTTTCCTCCTCTCCTCCTTTAGTTTTTCCTGGCTCTCTTCCTTCACTCTCAGATGCACAACCCGCTATAGGCAAATTAGCGAGAAATCTTTCTATTTCCATCCAGTTTCATTTCCGGTACCCTTGCTTGAATCCATTCCTGTTATAGTGTTGCCTGGCCCCTAGCCTAGGCAGAAGCTTTCCATGGTCATTGTGCCCGTAGCAGCAAGGGGTCGCCTCGAGAATGAATCCCGGTCTTCGGCCTAGGTAGAAGCATTTTAATGCTTCCTTCCATTGGGAGTAGCGGTATCTACCTCGGTAGCTCGAGCCAAGATTGCATTGCGTGAAGCTCGAGCCCACGATGGTATCCTAGCTATCGGTGTAGACAACAGATTGGCGGCGAGTGACCAACCACTTGAACGGATGAATTCCATCTTTTATGAACGAGTAAACTAGCCTCAACTCCTTCAGTATCACGTCATGTTTCACGGATTTACTTGTTCTTGGTTTGGTCCGATGGGTATGGTTGCTATGCTCGCACATTCTATACTGGTCTTTCTCGTTTCCAAACCTCATGTAGTAGAGACAAAAATAAATAATATAAAAAAGAAAAACAGTTGCAAATGAAAGGAGGTAGTAAATGGGGACATATAGAGATATATGCGACTGGTATGTAAATAAACTCCTCCAGAGAAACTGTACATATACATGTGCGATATGAGGGTATTGAACAAGAGTAAAAGAGGGCTGATGAAATCAACAAGATACATGAACCCGGAACCTTCAAGACGTATGCTCCGCCGCCTACTCCGATACCTGTTCTGGAGAAAAAAGCAAATACAAAAAACCATATATTTCGTTGATTTGCACGAAATAAAAGAGAAAAAATGGCATGTCACTTCGACGTAGCCGATCGCGTTCTCACTTGCTGCGATGCTTCACCGCGGCCAGCTACAGCATGGTGGGGGCGTGGTTCTCGACGAACCTCTTCTTTAGCAAGGCCAGGGAGTCCCTCTTGACGATGAGCGAGTTGATGGTGGCTCTGGACACGGAGATGCCGCACTCGTCCCTGTTCTGGACGGGGTCCTCGACCCTCTTGTTGAAGTGCACGCCGGGCACGGGCTCGTAGCAGTTGTCCTCGCCGCGGGCGGCGCGAATCTGGCAAATCTCGGCGTCGCGGCAGGGGCCGGCGCAGGACTCGCCCGCCTTCCAGCCGCGGGATTTCCGCAAGTAGTAGCCGTCAAAGGCGGTCTGGTCGGCGGCCAAGGCCTCGGTGACGCGGTGCCAAAAGGCCGGGGTGAGCTCGGCGGAGGGGTCGGAGAGCGGGGTTGGACGAGGGGGCCGTAGGTCTCCTTGGCGGAGTACAGCTTGCGCCAGCGCGGGCCGGCCGTCTGGAAGGTGGGGTCGGACATGTCGGCGATGTAGGTCTCGACGTCGAGCACGGCAAACGTGTCTGGGTCGACGAGGTAGGCGCGGAAGGAGGGCATGCCGCTGGTCGGGGTGAGGGAGGGCCCAATGTACGAGACGACGCGGGCGTCCTCGGCGCGGCGGCCGGCGCTGGGCCCGTAGCGGGAGTAGGAGATTTGGAACTGGTCAAAGTGGGTGTGGCCGAAGAACATGGCGGCGATGGTGTCGGAGTAGCGGACGACGAGCTGGTCGAGGTAGTTGCTCTGGTCGCGGAAGGCGTTGTGGTCGCCGAGGGGCATGTGGCCGAGCAGATAGACTCGCTCGGACGCGCGTTCGGCGGCGTCGAGCTCGGCGGCCAACCAGGCGATTTGGCCGTCCGGGTCCCGGTCCATAGTGCGCTGGTAGAGCCAGTAATTCTGGGTATAGTACATGTTGGTGTTGAGGCTGATGATGCGCAGGTTAGTCCCCGGATGGCGGATGGAGTAGCGACCTCGGTCTCGGGCGGTGGAGGCGGCTTCGGCGCCGATCCAGCGTGACCATGTGGTGGAGAGGAGATCGTAGATCCAGCGAGCTTCGGAGTTGATGGTGAAGGGGGAACGCGTTCGTTGGGTGGGTTTCGTGGTTGCCGGGGTGCCGTACACCGTACCGAGAGTGCGAGCCATGCGAGCGTAGGAGTCGGTGACTTTGAAGAGGTGTTAGTATCAATCTTTTCTTACTACCTCCTTGTTTGTGCGCCTCCAAAGGGCGGGCTAAAAACCGGAGGAACCAAAACTGGAGAATCAAACTTACTTGATATGGTATTGAACTCCTTGGAGGTGTTCCACACGGTGTGGTCGACAATATCGCCAGTGCAAATGGAGAAGATGGCGTCGGGCACGAGCTCGCTGATGGCTGCGTACATGCTTTCCTCGAGGCTCACCGGGGTATCGCAGCGGTGGTCGCCGTTGGGACCAGCCGGGGAGGAGCTTACCCCCGGCGCATCACTGGCAGTATACGGTCTAGATCACTCGCACAATCCTCCTCCGATCAGAGAGGGTAGGCTAGGTTAGACAGAAGAATTAAGACGATGGTGTGGTTAGACCCATGTACTAGTACAAGCGAAGCTATCTTACCTGCAACAAATGGGCTTGGTGCAGTTAGCTGTAGAGCCAGGAGTATAAAGGTGATCCGCGTGGACGTCGGAGTAGTGAACAATACGAATCGGCGGCTTCCCGCTAGGCCCGGGACGAGACAAACCAGCGGGCTTGTCGCGGGCAATGGGGACCGTGAAGGGGTGGTGGCCGGGTAATCGCACACACCGAGGAAGTTGATGCAGAAGAGCTTGGAGGTTTGGCTGGAGATTTTGATGTTGCGGACGGCACGGGCTATGATGGGGCCTTCTAGTCCGATGGCACCCTCGCAGACGTCGTCATCCTCGGCCTTGGGGATGCAATTAGTATCTTTGTGAGCTTTCTTAGAAGGGAGGGAGCAAGGACAAGAAAATTTCGGCTAGTGGTCCCTTGTTGTTTTGGAAAATGGCCCTTACTTTGGAGAGTTTGCAGATCTCTTGCAACGTTCTAACGAAGAGGCCGTCACCGAGAAGGGCGAGACCTTTGAGAAGGACGATGACAGACTAGTCCAGTCGCGCAGGCGGGGAGGTTGCACGCAAGTTAGATTGAAACATGCACAGCAGCGGAGCTTAGGAATAAAGGCCCGGCACGAAAGACGGAAAGCCGGGCCAAAGATGACTCCGGGCTAGGGTTCGGTGTGGGCGCCGCCATACGCACCACCTCCACATAGCCTCGAGCCGAAGGCAGCACGAAGACAGACAGGCTTTTCCTCTTGAGAAGGGAATCACTGTCAAATCCCTAGAATCATGGGTGGGAGAAGTGAGGGAGGTTTAGAGGAGAGAGACAATACTCACTTCACACCCTATGCAAGATGCACCATCCTTGAACTTATCCCAGATGTCTTCAGCGAGAGCTCGTTGGGATATATGATATCTCTCCTCGAGCTGGATAGGAGCTGGGGGTTCTGAAGCAGCGAGGCCCCTCGCCAGGCTGAGGACTACGCAGACGGGGCGGAGGAAATGCATGGGCGTATACCCGCGCCCTGCGAGGAGAGAAGCGGAGGGATGAAAGGGGGAGTAGGTGCAGGAGGAGGAGGCAATAGGCTAATAAGAACCTATTCCCAAGGGATCTGTACGATCGTGGAGTGAAGGAAGAAGGGGAGAAGCAGAATGACTATACGGCACCATGAGTGAGCGATGAATAGCGAACAACGGAAGAGAGTCGTCAAATGTGATTTAGGGCAGGGGCGAGAAGGCAAGTGAGTGAGGCAAAGAAGCAACACAAAACACCAAGGTGGAATTCGGAGAAGGGAGAATCTCGAGCCCGCCGCCAACGGCCCTTACTATTATACGATAAGCAAGCATATCTTCGAGGGCGGCACTCGAGGCGTGAGGAGAGGGAGAATGAGACAAGAAAATAACCCCGTGTTAGTCCGTCCCCGGTTGTTGCCCCGCTAGCGGGAGGCCAATAGAGACGGGGCGTGGCCGCAGGCGGTGGAGTGTCCAGGTCCTCATCGCCTGGCCTCTTGCACGCGAACAAAGGCCGTCACCACCTTCCGCTGCGCCCCCACCACACTCGACATTCCCCGCGAATGGCGGCGGAAAGTGGGTGGTGGTGAGGCGTGCGTGCTCACCCACCCCCTCCTAGCCCTTAGGCTCTCTGTTTTTAGTTCCTCGATCCTCGCGCAGAGGGACTTGGTCTTGAGCTTCGAAGTGCACCTGGACAGGTCACGTAGCGGCCACCTAATCGTCCGCCTTGTGTCCCTCTCTGTTCCCACTTGGTGATCGTTGGCACCTGCACCATCGCTGAGAGATGATCCATGTTCCTGAGTACCTTTAGCAAAGGAAAGCAAAAAAGGGAAAGTGGTTAGTGCTGCAGGTGGAAATTGAGGGGAAAGAAACAAAAACCTCACGTTGATACCTATGCTTGGAGGTAGGCACGCCGATGCGCCGAGCCCTTTTTGCTTTGTTTTTGAGTCGATGGGTGCGGCCCATCCAGAACTGCGGGCCCGAAAGAGAGAGAGCTTCACATCTAGTGTCCAAGACAGGTTGCATGCAACTCATCGCCACATCAAAGGTACCGATTTAGAGTATTGCACGCATGCGCACCCGTGCCGTTCGCACCGATTCAGGGGCCCCTGTCGCTTTCGCGCAGTATCATGAATACTGCTTCCTGCACTCTCTCGTCCAATCGTCGGTACGGACGACGCCATGACGTACAAGGACAGGGCTGCAGTTGCTTGACTCGCATCGCCGAGAACACGCGCGCAGAGCTTCCTCCCTCTTTCTTCTACCCTTGCTCGCCTTCTTGCCGATATTATTGCCTTGTGCGAGCGCATATGAATTTTTTTGAGGCCTATCCAGGAATCTTTACCCAACAGAGGACGATCGTCAATGACTCTGTTCCCCGCTCAAAAGTTGCATCTCGGTGAACGCGACCGGCAACGTTGCTCTGCTTGGAGGGGTCTTAGATGAGGGGAGCCCCAAAGGGCCCATGGACCTTGCCCCACCAGACAAACAGCATGCCGGCCCTCCCTCTTCCCCGGAGAACGATCAGCCCGATAGCTCACGAGATGCGACGTCGCGACGTCGCGACGAACAACGCCTCATCCCTTTCGTTCGCCTGGCGGTTCTTGAAGTATTCAAAGGTGATGGTATTTTTCGTTTCGTCTTCCCGTCCCGGAGTAATGAAAGGTAGCAAAAGGACTTGTACACCAATAAACGAAGAAGGAAAAGGTAGAATATCATTCTCGTGCCTATAAAGGGATCGAGGGGTGTGGTTTCAATTTCCCTCTTGGGCACAGCAGACATCACTTCATTTCCCTTCACGGAACCGAGTCAGCGACAGCTCAACAAGTTACCAAAAAGGGGCAATAGAATAGAATGAAAAGTGGTCAACGGTGGAAGAGGAAGCACGCTCTCGGTAGATTACGAAATGTATAGACCCAAAGGAGAACCAGACACTTGAGACTCGCTCTTGCCGAGAATAACCTGCAAGACTTACACGGAGGCAGGTGACACCCCCAAATCATGAGATGCAAGCAAAGCATCGGTTTTAGTCATCGGAACTGAGCATACATCAATTGATGTAGTCTTTTCTTTCCACATTGATCAGAGGCCAAGGCAACGAAGCTTTTGGCCTGCATCGTATTACAAGAGGGTCAACCCACCTGCTTCGGGAGACGGTGCCTCGGCTCAAATCGACAGCTTGTGGAAATAGCCCTGTATCAGTATATTTTCATAGCACGGCACGCCTGTTTGTCACCTTTCCACACTTCTAAAGCAATCGCGAAAAGGCAAGCGTGATGAAGTTCAATCCCGAAAAGCAAACAAGTGAAATAAAGAGGTGCACTCCAGGATGAGACTTGACGATGAAAACCTAATATGTACTCCTGATACCCATTGCCCACTGCCATAATATCCAGACAGACAACCACGCCCATCTTGTGCCGGAAAACGCCATCCATGACTATGAAACCCCAATAATTCCGAGCCCTACTCATTTTTTTATTCGTCTTTGTCCCCGTCTCTCATGTCCATAAAATAAAGACTCTCTCTCCCACGCATCATGACTTGAATATCCACCATGTCGAGCCAACGTACAGGTAGTTTCTAGAACAGCAAGCCATGTTTCTTCTGAATCGGTTGCGGCTTTCTCGCCTCGGCTTTCTCTACCTCGGGATCACCGAGTTGTTTAAGTTTGTTCAGGAGGTGTCTAAAGAAGGGGAAAAGAGAGAAAAGTGGTCTCCCGTTAGTAAAGCTAGAAAAACGAAAAGAGTTGAAAGACCCAAGATCATGGTGGTTTGATACATACTCTATGCGCTGGTTGCCGGTAGCCCGCCCTTCTGCGAGCGCGAGCTGCACCTTGGAGCTCCTATCTTCCTCGTGCTCCCGGAGATGTTGTCGGACCGCCTGCCGGCCTTCCGATCCGTCCGCCGCGCGCACAATGTGCCCGCAGTCTCCGTGTTCGCACACCCACGTACCGTTGGGCCCCAGTGGCCGGGTCGATGGGATGTCCTCCACCTCTAGCACGATGCGCACCGGCGCCTGGTCTTCCCCACCGTCTGACAAAGTGATGTCCTCTGACGAGTCCGACGAGTCCTCGCCCTCTTCCTCCATGCTGGCAGGGTTCCCGCCCGCCTCGAACCCATCATCGACCTCATCATTGTCGTAGCCAAAGCTATCGATATCCATGCGAGAGCGCTTGGGGGCTGTTGGGCCTTTGCCACTCAATACCGCCCTCTCTGCTTCCGAGAGGGGCCGCTTGCGAGGGTTGGATAGCCGGAGGCCGGATGTTCTTCCCTGGCGAGGGCGACGCACCTTGTCGGTACTGGCGTCTGATGTGCTCACGTACCCGGCGGGTTGCGGGGTTCTCTCGGAGGGGGCATTTGACGCCGATTCATCCGCGGTAGCGGTACCGGACGGGTCTTGCGCTTCCGCTTTATTAAAGACGAGTCAATCTTGTCTGGCATTATATGATGGAGATCTCGTGCCCGCAACGGTTCCGCGATGGCTGCCAACTGTAGATAAAGCGGGGACGGAGCCCACCTTGGGCCCAGCTCCTTGTCCGCATTCATGAGCCGGACAAGCTCGTGCGCGTAATACTTCATTGCATCGGTCGGGCCCTTGGGCATGCGGAACTTATACTTCATGTACACCTTCCAGCCTAGACCTGCAAGGGTTGCTGGCTCGAGATTGTCAATGTTGGCCACGCCCACCATGGCGTCGTACAGCTTGGCTGCCGTCTCCCGTGATCGCTCTTCTGTCGCAGCGGCGGTGGCAGGCATGCTAGGCGGCCTGGTTGGCTCGGCCCGCTCGGCAGACTCTCTCTGCGTTGGCGCAAGTCCTGAGAGGCGGCCGAGGCCGTTGAGCCTGGCGCACAGAGCGAGGCCGGGAAGTTTTAGCGAGAATCGGGGCAGCCGGGGCCGGTGTAGGCGTAGGGAGGGGCCGGTGGGGTAAAGCATCACTTCGGCCCTTTTGGGATTCTTCTATAGGATGGGAAAGCCAGCGCATTAGTTCTGCAAGCGTGGGAGGAGGTAGACACTTCACAGACGTATGGGGAGGGAGAAGGCGGGTTCAGTCAACAAACTTACCGCAAGACCTTTGATGTATTTAGCAAACTGCTTTCCCGCCCACTCAAACTGGGTCTCCTTGATAAAATGTGACGCTAGAAACTGTGCGTGACGCTCGCATAGCTCCTCGACTTCTTCCTTGACGAGTGCCTCGCCGGTATCGAGCGCATACTAGTTTGGCGCATGCCCCGCGTTAGGTACGAAGCTGGAAGGGAGGAGAGAGAGAGAGAGAGAGAGAGAGAGAGAGAGAGAGAGAGAGAGAGAGAGAGAGAGAGAGAGAGAGAGGAGTACATACCTGGAAGAGCACTTCGTCGAGGCTCATCTCCTTGCCGCCGGTCGCGCTAGCGGCCTCGTAGATACCCTGCACTGTATAATATAGGGTAATGGCCTGCATCATACTATTGTACACGGGAGCATACTCCGGGCTGGGGTGAACCAGCTCGAAGAAGCCGTAGTCGCTGGCAACCCAAATATGAGGACCGCCGTCCGTCCAGCCGATCGACATGCGCACGCCCGTGATCTCGACATCGATCGTCCGAGGTAAACGAGTGGCGCGGACTGTTTAAACACTGGTGATGAGCGATGCAGTGCTTTGGAACGGCCTAGATGACCCGCGCTTACAAGAAACATACTAAGGAAGGGCGGGGATGCGTACCTGCTGCTACGTGGGTCCTGTTTCCGCTCTCTACTACGATGCGGCCTTGCACCTTGAAAGGGCCCCTCTTCTCGACGAACAAGAGGTTCTCCATGACTTCCTCGCCACGTATGCTTGTGACCATGGCATCCTTGAGCAAAAGGTAGGCCAGCTATCGTCCGGAAGCGTCTTATCTACCGGGACGAGAACTTCGCTCTCCTTGGCTCTACCCTTGGAGTCGGTGTCTGACGCCGGAGGGCTGGTGAGCTCTCGGCCTGCGGCTTGGCCGGTGCTCGACGAGGAGGCATCGTTGGGGGATATAGATCGTGAGGCGAGGAGGAGTAGGAAGGGAAAGTCGACGTGGGAGGCGGGCGCCCGGTCGCAGCGCCACCGCCAAAGGGTGTAGGAGGGAGTGGGGGTGACGTTGGCGAGGTGCTCGAGGAAGGCTCCGGTCTCGTTTCGCGCGCAGGAAGGGTTCGGCGGAGAGGGGATTCAAATCCTGGTTGTATTTTTGTAGGCTTGTGTAATTCCACCCCCTCTTTGATTGCTGCCGAAAGGTGGGTGGAAAAGGGTGGTGCACTCTATTTGTGAAGCTTGGTTGTTGTGTTCGAGTCTGGCGATGTTGGAGGAAAGAGAAGGTGCCGCTTTGCAGTGTTGGTGGGGTTCATCTGTCGCGTGTGTTCGCGCGAGTTCAATAATTCGTGCAGTGTTAATTGATTGATAGACGTGGGTGGGTTTAAAATGTGGATTGATGAATCAGTGATCAAGGTGGCGGCAAACCTGCCTGCATTAGACCACCTTTGGTTTTTACTAGAAGGTTACGCTGCCCTTAACAAACTGTTATTTTTTTAGTAGATCATATTGATTGATTGACCCTTCTCTTAGTCTTCTTTTCTCCATTCAGTGAGAAAAATGGAAGATTGAGGTCCTCTAACTGTTTGGTGAGGGTCTAGACATCTATCTTTAGTGCTGGCTTGCATAGATGAATTTATTCTAATCGATCCATCAATACCTCGGTAGAGGGCAGGAAAAAGACTCTGACATGGTGAATAGCCTCTATATGAAAGTGATCAACTGAGATGTGGGTGTGGTCAAGCTCGAAGCCCAGCTGCAGACAAAGCTCCGCGTCGAGCTCAATTGACCTGCTTGATCTTTGTGACTGGAGAGTCAAGGCAGGTCCACTCGAGGTCTCCCGCAGTTCCTGCCAAAACCCCACTGATAAGCGATAGCGCTTCAATTCTACCCTTTTCGGCTCTTTTTTCCCGCCGCCCGTGCTCTCTTTTTTTTTTTTCTTGCCCGACTGCCTCCCCCTTTGGTGATCGATTGATGTGTCTGTCTCACATGCCTTGGAGTGACTGAGCGATAGGAATACGCTGTCGCCAACCTTTTGTTCCTTTTTAGTTTCTTTCCCTCCGCCCTCAAGGGGACTCTACCCCTTCGGGTCTCTTCGTCTTCCTCTTGTTTTTTTCTCTTTCGTTCCTCCCTCCCCTCCCACCCCGCGCTGAACTGCTCAATTCCATTGAGCCGTTCTTGCTCTTGATCCCCCACCCTTCCGCCTAAAGTCCATGGCCAGGACCTTTCAAAAGGTTGGAAAATGGCCAAGGATGCGATCCTCGATGGCGTCTTCGGTTCGTGTCTCCCCTATCCTTACTTCCTTGGGCCTGGGCCGGTTGCGCCCACAGATTCACCCTGCGCGCACTCTCCCCTCCCCCTCCCCTATGACTTTTTCTTTGGTTCTTATTCTACCTCTTGGAAGAAGAAGACATGAACTAGACTAATGCTTTTACTGCTCCCGCAGCCATCAACAAGCCCGTCGGCGTGAGCTCCGCCCAAGTCATTCGCGACTGCCAAACCCAGTTCAACCCCTCGGCCTTCTTCGCCCCCATGATCACCCGCGAAAAAGACAAGCGGTCGGCCGAAAACGACAAGACCTTTCAGCGGCGGTCCAGGCTCAAGCGCGAGCTCCGCGTCAAGATGGGCCACGGCGGCACCCTCGACCCCTCGCCAGCGGCGTGCTCATTCTCGGCGTCGGCTCCGGTACCAAGGCTCTCCAGTCCTTCCTCGAGTGCACCAAGACGTACGAGCTCGTCGTCGTCTTCGGCGCCAGCACAGACACCTATGACCGCGTGGGCCGGATATTGACGAGGCGGGACTATTCTCACATCACCAAGGACGCTGTGCTCGGCGCCATGGAATCCTTTAGGGGCAAGATCAAGCAGATCCCCCCTCTACTCCGCCCTCAAGATGGAGGGAAGCCCCTTTACGAGTACGCCAGGGAGGGTAAGCCCATCCCCCGCGAGATTCCCACCCGCGAGGTCGAGACCAAGGAGCTCGAGCTGCTCGAGTGGTACGAGCCCGGCTCCCACAAGCACTACTGGCCCACCCAAGAGGCCGACGTTGTCGAGCGCCAATTCGCCGAAAAGGTTTGGCGCCAGCAGGACGCCGGAAAGTCCCTCACGCCCGAAGAGGAGAAGGAGGAGGCCGACGCACTCGCCGCCCACGAGGCTGTCAAGCGCAAGTTCGAGACCGACGTCGACGGCCTCGTCCGCGACCGGCCCCCTTCAAGAAGCAAAAGAAGCTCGGCCGCCAAAACGTCAAGCGCGACGGCTCCAACCCCATGATGTCCGGCGCATTGGGCCAGCCTGAAGCCAACGCCGCCGAACCCAACCCCAATGAGAACTCTAAGAAGGGTTCCAACCTCATCCCTGCTACTGACCCGAACGCGCCGGCCCCTGGGACGGACCCGGGCCCCCGCTGCCCGCATCCGCATGACCGTCACCTCAGGCTTTTATGTCCGCAGCTTCTGCCACGATCTCGGTGCCAAACTCGGCTCCGCTGCCCTCATGGCCGAGCTCTGCCGTTCCCGGCAGGGCGCCTTCGAGATTGGCGGCTCCACATGCATGGAGTATGCCGAGATCGAAAAGGGCGAGGATGTGTGGGCTCCCAAGGTCGCTTCTATGCTTCGCCACTGGGCAGAGAAGGGATCCGCCCCCGAAGCTTCCCCCTCGTCGTCGATCCCGCCCAAGTCTCAGTAGCTGCCGCTGCCGCTGTCGCTGCTACCACTGCCGCTGCTACCGAGGCTGCGGTCGCCCCTAGCACAGAGAACGGAGACGCCAAGGCCACGACAACCCCTCCTCAGCCTCCTCCCGATGCGGAGACGGTACCCCAAAAGGTCGAGACTGAGGCCGCCACCAAGCCAGCTTCGAGCAACGGGGCGGGTCCTGCTACGCTCGCAGTGCCTAGCAAAGAGGACGACGAAATGTCTTGGAACGGATTCCAAGACTAGTAAAACGAAACAATCCTAGTCAACAAAAATGACGACAAAAAAAAAGAGAATAGAAAAAAACAAAAAAGCTTATTAGCAAGTGATGCACGCTTTCATGTACACATCACGGGAACGGAAAGGTGACAAGGCAATGTCTAGAGAGCTAGGGGGCGCGCGGGGACTGGGCAGATAAAAAGACCAACATTTGCAGGTGTTGAAAATGTACATATAATGCACAAAAACAACGGCCACAACAGGCCAGCAGGGTTTTGGGCGTTGGCATCTCTCTCTCCGAGGAGAAGCTGGAGGTTGAAGGGTGAGGGAACGGCGGGCGGAAAATCAGAGAAACTTAAAAAAGCATAGCATGGACAGCTTAGGAAGCTGAAAAAGGGACATTTAAATCAAACAAGGATAAAAGAATGGATTATAGATTCTCTAACCTGACTGACGATATCCTCTCTCCCACAAGTCGTATTATGACTTGCCTCTTCATAGTCCCTTTTCCAATAATGTTCCGGCCGTCCTTGACCCATGATGAACCCTATGCTGTCTATATATGTATATGTTGTACCCGACCCGTCCCAAACCCAAGCAGTAACCGTGGTATCGTGATATTTCGTTTCAAATAGTTTGCGTCTTCTCGCCTTCATCCCCCAACCCAACCCAATGGTGACGGGGCGCGCTAGACCAACTCGACTTCCGTGACGACCGTTGTCGCCATATTCTTAGATACTATAGTCGTTTCAGAGATACTCGTCTCACGGTGCGGCCCAGTCTTTCCCTCAGAAATCGTCGTGCTGTCGACGTGGAAGACTTTCTCGGTCCCAGCAACTGCTCCTTCGCGCATGTCTTCGGCCGAAACCATCGGGTTAATCTGCCCTTCAGAACGTGCTCTCATCGCAGGCTTGTTCCCTCGCTCCTTCTCTCGCTGTTGGTCCAGCACGTTCCGCACCTTTTGCATCCTTCCTACCGCCTCCTCCAGAATTTCCAGCCTTCTCTTCTTAGAGTCCTCCCTCGCCTCTAGTACCCCCACCCGTTCTTCAAGCTTGGCTCGTGCCCTCCGTTCCGTGGCCACCATCTCGTTGGCCTGCTCGAACAGGGCGGCGCTCAGCTCCTCGACCTCCGCGCTGGTGCGCCGAAGCCGCGCCTCGGCGTCTTTACGTAGATTTTGCTCGCGGGCCAACGCAGCCGTCAAGTCCTCCACCGAGTCGGGCCCGGCCGGGCCCACGCGTAGGTTGGGGGTGGATTTCCGCGGTGCTAGGAGGGAGGAGATGCGGCGCGGGGATGGAAGAAAAGAGGCGCGGATCGGGCTTAGTTTGGGGGTTGGAGGGGAGAGAGGACGTCGGCGACTTGCGCCATGGGCCCGTTTCCGGCGTTGGCGGCGGCTGCGTTAATCGCCTTGGGACGCGGGGGTGGTGAGGGAAGAGGCGAAGGATTCGTGGAAGGCGCCGTGAGGGTGGCGGGGAGTGGAGCGAGCCGCGCAATTGCGCGAGCTCGTTCTCGTAGTCGGCCCAGCGGTAGATGGCCGCCGTGGCCTTTCGTTGAGCTCTTGAATCTGCGCTTCGAGATCCGTAATGTGTTGCTGGGCTGCGGCGAGTTCGGTTTCGGCTGCGCTGGGCAACCGTTGCGAATCCACTTCGGCGGCGATAGGGCTAGTCGCGGCGGCGGCGCCGGTCGTCGAGCTAACTATGGCAGGACTGGGACTAGTGGCCGAGATGCAATATCCGCAGTTGGGACAGCACGGGTTTGCGTCTGGGGCCGAAGAGCTGGATGTGAGGGCGGTTGTTGTAACGGTGAATGGGTGCGGGTTCGCCATCGTGACGGCTATCGTCGCGGACATGTTCCTGCTCTTCCTTCAAGATGAATCAGGGCGGGCGTGTGCGTGCCCCAATATACAAGGAGAATAGCGACGCGCGCAAAAGCTCGGGCGCCGTCTCGCTTCTTTCCGCCACCTCCTTTGCTTTGGGATGGAAGAGAGGAATGGATTAGAAGAAAGAAAGAAATGCGAAACGAAAAATAGAGAAAGATGAAAAAAGCGCATGAAAAGCAAAGGGTGCTCTTCAGGTCACCAGATTGGGGCCGCGTTCAGTGCCAACTCTTAGTACTTCGTAGCTGGTATGGTGCCGCCTCAATGGAAGGGTTTCCGCCAATTGCCCGTTCTTTGGCGACGCGCGCAAGAATGGAACAATTAAGCCAAAGACCAATCGTAACAACGGTTAGATAATGTCGCGGTTCAGGGGTTCAACTTCGATGGGCTGCGCAACAAGGCGCATGGCGCTTATCCCTGGACGAACTGGTGCTAAACTCGGATGGGCGAGTGAGCTTCTTTGAGTGAGCTTCTTTTGCACTGGAGTGAGGCTGATATCTTTGATCGAATACAAGTGCGGACGGAGAGTATAGTATTCACCAGAGTGACCAAGGGTCGACGCAAATGGTCAGGGGGAGGGGCAATGTGTCTATTTATCGATATGTGCATGCCAGTTTCAGGCGTGGCTTCATGGAATCTAGAACAAGGCAACGGCGATGAAGGTGTGTGGGGGTGGGAGGCAGGGCAGGGAAGGAAGCACCAGTGGGCCAGGAACCAAGCCTAGCTGCGGCAGTTTATTTTAGTACCTTGGGAAGGAATGAAAATCCATATTATCTCGACACCTCCAAGTTGGCGCTCACTCCGCGCCCCAATAACTGGGTTAGAGGAGCGGGATCGACTCTGATTTGCGCGTTGAAAAGTACCTGTACAAAGAGTCAACACACCCGGCGCAGGCACAGACAGAAGCACCCCGAGAGTCGGGAACAGCCCAAAACGACGAGTTGCCCTGCATCACCTCCCAAGGAGGGTTTTCCTATCTCAGGGGTCGGCCCTGTCGGTCGCCGCCCCCTGTGCTCCACGAGAAATACCACCAATACTCTCCCGAAGCACAGCTTGACGGATCCATCAATCAATGGATCCACGAGGAAAGGATCTGTCTCGTCTTGGGTCTAGGCCAGCGGGCTGTCGAAGTTGGCGTGTGTGAGATCGCGTGGCACTGGGATCCACAGAACTGGATCCGTTCTCGAACATCTTCCAGACTCATGCCTATCACGGTGAATGAAATCGACTTTTGATGCCCCGTTCGGAAAGTGAACCCTCTCGACCCCGACCCGTCTTAAATTATCTTGGATAGTCGAGTCGACTTTGAGTGCCTAGCCTCTTAACCAAGCGAATTGGCAGACGGGCATTTACCCCACAGGCCGTCGAGACCATGTGGAGGTACAGGCTCTTTCGTTGCAATTATAAGTATTGGCCTCACGAGGGTCCCACATCAATTGATGGATTAAGACTCACAAAGGGTCACCTTCTGCTTTTCCTGTCGAGGTCTGGTTTTCTCCTTACTCTGTGGATGTTATTTGGTTGTGCTGAAACATGACCACTTTAACAATATCTACGTCGTTTGACCCCCAATCTTGCCTACCACTCTCCGGCGTCTCGACTCCTCGGGCGCTCATCAGGGCGGTTTGACATTCTCCACCAACTGCTCGTGGTGACGCTGACCTTGATTTGTGCATCATTGCATCTGGAAGGCCTGGACATGACCAGACGTCGACCGGATCGTCCGTATCATAGATGGCGCATGGAGATGATGACGACGGCACTCCACGAGGAAAGGGAGAAAAATAATAATCGAGCTATGTACATACGCGGGCGCAGTCTCGCATGAACCGCGAGATTCGGCGTTTTTCAAATCGTTTCCTGCCGTTTGTATACGTCGAGGCGATCATATTGTGCTCCTCTGCCCTTTTATTACGTCTCCTTCATGCTCCGCCACCGCATTTCGCCAACGAGAGCCTCAAATCGCGTGAAGTGGGAAAGAAAAACGGGCTCGGCCAGGGCCGGAAACGCCTGTGATCTCACTCGTTCCGTCGATCATCAATGCAAGCCCTCCGAAACCGAAGAGGGAGAAAACTCGGTCACGGCCATGCATTGGGTGCCAAACTAACTACACTACCATGATGATAAAATGCCCGCATCCCGAGGCGACCTATTTATCCGCTTTTACAACGCATCGATCAATCCTTTCTCCCGGCTACTTGTTGGCATTATTTGGATTGATTGTATAGCGCACGACTACCTGCTATAACCTGGAACGGCCACCTCCCCATCTTACATCAATTGATGTACGCAGAGAGCCCCGGGTTGGTCTCCCCTGCCCACCAAGCTGCCGAAGCAGAAGAAGAACAGCGTGACGAATTAGTCAACTCGAACCAACCCGGCGATGGCCGTCAAGCCAAAGCTGCAGAACATCAAACTTGAAACTGTCGATACTCAGCACATATATCATCTTCTCTACCATGATGTTTGTGTGCGGAGAGTTGACAGCTCATATTCGTCAGTGAAGCACCAACCGTGTTGGTGAGGTGTGCATTTTTAACTCCATGCTTGTTTAATGTGCGTAATGTCGCAGGATATCTGGTCATGCAGGAGCTTGTCTCCCCTTTCGCCCCCTCTCTCTCTTCATCTTTTTTTATATTGCAGTGAGTTTATCATCTTCTTTTTTCTTCCTTTTTTTATTGTTTCACGGCCCTTTCTACTGCCTTAGCTTGGCTTCGCGACCTTGCGCAGCTCAGTCGCCCCTGTAACGGGGTCTTTGAATTCCTTCCAACTCGCTGGCATCATGTCATTGCCTGCTTCACTCGCGGCCATGATGACACCCAACTCATTTGATGCGGTAGAGAGGTAGTAGTTTGCTTGGTCGCCCAACGATATCTAAGACGGGGTCACTATTAGTGGCAGGTATGCGCGGAAGGGGAATGGTCGGCGAAAGAAAGTGGCAGGATCCTGGGTTGGGCTCAAAATAGCTTCACTGAGCGAGGCAACAAGGGCTATCTGAGACAGTGCAGGCACAGAATAGCAAGACAAGCAGTAGCCCAAACGATAGCGGGACGTAAAACCAAAAGAGGAGAGCAGAGACCCAAACAAAGCATGTGGGGGTAGTTACTGCTTGGGAGGTTTGCGTCGGTGAGGGGGAAAAGAAACCCAAAAGCAAAAAGAGCACAACGTACCACTTGCGCCCGTACAGTATCACCAGGCTTGAAAGACTCGTAAATCTTGACCTTGTCCTTCTCCGTCGCCCTCACGTCCTGCGACCTGATCACGCCCTGCCACTCGGTGTCCAGTACCGTGGTCCCGACCTGCTGGATAGAGACAATGGCCTGCTTGGGCACCAACCTCACCACCCTGCAGAGCACCACGCTTCCCACGTCCGGCAGCACCTCGCGGCGCTTCTGGTGCCTCGCCACCGAAATGGTCGGGAGCTCCTCCGCCGCCCGCGCCGTGATCTTGGTGAGCCGCTTGGCCGGCGCGCCGGGGCCTTGTCGGGCTGCGTGACCGTGACGTGGCCGAGGAGAGACGCTACGACTTTGCCTTCGTACAGGTGAGTTCCGTGGCCGGGATGGTACTGCGTGGCTAGCCCGAGGGTCGTGCCTGGGATGGCCGTGGCGGGCACCTTGCCGTCTGACGACATGGTGGGCGCCCGGGGAGGGAGGAAGGGCTTCTTGGCTGATAGCTTACCCAGATGGTGGGGCAGGGATGAGATTTTTGAATGCGCCAAAGGGTCTGATAGCTTCGAGGAGGCCGTCTTTTTTGATAAATTCACTCTCTCGTCTCCCCTGGTTCGATCGAGACTGCCGCGTTGCACTTCCGGTGTCCGAGGGGCACGTTGCAGGAGTGCTTAAAATAAAAAATAAAAAACGAGACTCGTCTGGTTGGTGAGGACGATGATCAGTCATTCACTTCGAGCAAGTGGGAGAGAGAGGAAAAATAAATGGCTTGGCAAACCAGCCATGAAGTTGACGGCAGATTTGCTCCACGACCCAAACAGCAAGACCCAAATACTGAATCGGGAAGGCGGTGTCGGCGGGGAAAGGCGTACGCTAGACTAGGCTCTGATCGACCAAGGACGGAGAACGAAGAAGGTCCAGCTCGACGGTTTTGACAGGGGCCAACGCCAGGACCAACTGAACCCGAGTACGAATAAGGTCCCTTGGCTTGGGGCCTGGGCCGGCGCAATCGGGAAATTTCGGTCCCGCCTCGTGCGATTTGCGCAATCCCTTTTTCTTTTTTTCTGTTGTACAAGTATCACAAACAAAGCACTCCGCTCGCGCTGAGATTACTTTTCTTCTCTCTTTCTCTCCATTCTCTTTTTACGATCTCGAGGACGGTTTTTTTTTTTGCTATTCTCGAAGATCCCACACACTCCTTATCCATCTTCTTCTTTACTTGTCTTCTTCTTTTCTTTCTTTTACTTTCCTTCTTAATCCCTATTCTCCTAGCTGCGCAAAGTCTCCCACAAAGTCTCCTCACCATGGCCCCCAACAGATCCGCCTCGGGCGGCATCTCTGGCTGGATGAAGCTCCTCGCCATCACCCTCGCCATCTTCGCCCCCATCGTCGCCATCGTCGAGCGCTACGCCGACAACTTTTACATCTTTGACCACGAGGAGCTGCACAAGCTCTCCACCCGCGCCATTGCCGCGCACGGCGGGACACCAAGGCCATCGTCGACTTCATCGTCACCGAGCTCAGCGAGAAGCACCCCAAGCACGTCAACCTCGAGCAGGAATGGATCTTCAACAACGCCGGCGGCGCCATGGGCGCCATGTACGTGATCCACGCTAGTACGTCCTTAAAACCTCTTCTCTCTCCTCTTCTCTTCCCTTGTTCCTCCCCATATTCTTTGATAGCCGATCCAGGCACTGACATGCGCCAACCTCTCCAGGCATCACCGAGTACCTCATCATATTCGGCACCACCATCGGCACCGAGGGCCACACCGGCCGCCACACTGCCGACGACTACTTCAACATTCTTACCGGTACCCAGACCGCCTACACCGCCGGCACCTTTGAGCCCGAGGTCTACCCCGCCGGTTCCGTCCACCACCTCCGCCGCGGCACCGTCAAGCAGTACCGCATGCCCGAGGGCTGCTTCGCTCTCGAGTACGCTCGCGGCTGGATCCCCCATGCTCTTCTTTGGCTTCGCCGACGGTCTGTCGAGCACCCTCGATCTCCCCACCCTTTGGAGGACCACCTACGTCACCGGCCGCGAAATGATTGGCAACCTCTTGATCGGCAAGTTTTAAGCAGGGACGAGGAGGAATTTCTCTTTTCCGGCGGGAGGTGGGCGATGTTGCGACGCTTCCCGTCCGTATTCGTTTACCAAGAATACATGTAAAGAAGACCAAAAAAGGGGGGTTTAGGGTTGGAGGAGAGGAAGAATAACTGCCACAGATATGGATAGTACAAGGGCCCAGCTTACTGGATTAAAACAGCGGTCCAGGCTACATCCCCCACGACAGGAGAGCCTAGAACTACCATGCGAGGCTAGAGACTGGGGTCCCAGTCTCGCTTGGTGTCTCGTACGATAATAATATTAATGCAATGTCCAACATTAGTCGGGCTTCGTACCCTCACTCGGACTCTTTTTCTCTGTGCATAGTGTTTCCAAGGAGCCAGGTCCTCGGACCCAGGCCTGCGCCCTTTGCCCCCTCACCATCTGCATTGGTAAAATGTCAATGGCAAGATATAACCCGCCAGACTCCAGCCTAGGTCATCGATGGATGTCTAGAGTGGGGCTATCCACCACGGGCGAGGCTCATGGCCGAAACCCCCAGAAGATTGCCCCAAAATTACATGTAGGCTACGAGAAACGACTTCACGTGGCATCAATAGATGTCTCGATGTAAACTTCACCAAGGCAGGTCATTGGTAGGCACAAGAGCAAAATGCGTGGATCGGCAGGCTTGCGATGGAGTACATCGCAACCAGATGCCGTATTAAACCAGCAGGCCAAGGATGTTGCATCCGGCCGAGTCCTCGAAACTAGCAGCCTGTTTTACGGGCTGTTCTTGCGGCCCCGTCCCCGCACTTGGCTCAACTCTCCGTCATCATGTCGCTTTCAAAATGAACAAGACGAAAGCAGAAGTAATAGCCCAAAAAGAAGAAGAAAGAAGAGGAACAAAAAAACAAACCAACAAAAGCAGTGCGCTCGGGGACCCAAAACTTTTTTTTCTTCCTTTAATCAAGGAACCAAGTTGCTGATAAAATCAATGGTCTCTGCCGGCCACTGTCACAACCACCCTCGGCGATAACCAAGATCCCAGGCAGAAGATGTGGTGGTGGTGGTGGTGGTGGTGGTGGTGGTTTTCAGGGCCGACGAAGAATTCAGAACAGCCAACGCCGACGTATGATGAAAAGGGGCTAGGGGCTAGAATGCTTAGAATGCCTATCTCTTGATCCCCTCTCAGACTTTCTCCTGACCTAGTCTCCTGTGTCCTGTGTTGCGCGGTCAAGGTCATCGATGCGTATCCTCCGAGAAGGGAGCATCCTGACTATCCGAGAGGGTCAGTGGTGGATTCTTTCGCAGCAGGTCGAGACCAAACGTGACAGCACCACAATGAAGAGGGAAAGTTGCAGTCCCCTAGGAAAGAAGAGAGTGTAGTGAGTGGGGATTTTACAGATTGGGCTTCAAGGAAGGGCCCGAGGGAATAGGGATTAGGAGGGAGTGGTGAGGGAGGTGGTGCACAGAGCGAACGCTTCTCCACCAGCCGTTGGCCCCATTTCCTCATGCAGGGAAAGGCAAGGGGGAGAAGGGAGTTATGTTGTGCTGGAGAAACGAGCGTAAAGAAAACCCCATCTCCTTTCCAACTCGCATGCAAGAGAAGAGTCCACAGAATAAGGGGCACGCCTGCGCGGGAGGGTGGATACAAGCAGGTGTGCCTCAATGGGCACCCGAAATATGGGAATACGTGGGCAGGGAGAGCCAGCGTTAATGAGGTGTTCCGAGACATGCAAGCTAACAAGCTGCACATGGCATAGGCTAAGCCAATACCCTCCAACCGCAGGTCAAGCTCCTTTTTCGATTGCGAAAGCAGGGACGTGGGTAGGTGGGACGGTCGAAAACGGAGAGGATTCGGAGTGGATTTTGGTGTACCGTGCTGGGCGCCGAGTACTTAGGAGAGAGGGTGAGAGAGGGCGTGGGGGAGGCAGACGTTGTACTCCTAGTCCAATTTTTTGGGCGAGAATGGCAGTGGTGTCAAGGGGTAGGGAGAGCGTGAAGAAGGAAAGAGTGGTCATTCGAACATGGGTGTGCGTCGTGCGCAGGACGGTGGAAGAGGAGACCGAGAGAAAAGAGAGACAAGGCAAAGGGAGCGAACGACGAACCAATCAAGTGCTCAGGCCAAATCATGCGTGCCCGGCGTTGGCCCCTAGAGGAGCAAACGTTAGGAAGCTAGATGCCCTTGTTGGTCGCGCCGCGGTTGCTCATCACGAGGCCTTCATCTTCGTCGCCGTCGTCGGAGTACTCGCCGTCTCCCGAATCGTCGTGGCCGTCGAATCGCCGGGTGCCGTTTCCTTTGGCGTTGCCATTCCGTACTTCATGCTCGTCCCCATCTTCATCATCCTCGGTTCCGTCTTCGTCGTCACCCTCGTCATCGTCCTCCTCCATCCACCTCAGTCCGTTGGCATATTCCTCAACGGGAAAATCTCGCGCGCATACTCCTCCATACCACGAGGGGCCTCCCAGAGGCGCATCGCCTGGGCCGGGCAGCTGTTCTCCATCTCGAGGTCGGCAAAGTAGGGCGGCGCCTGCTTCTTAGGGTCCCCCTTGCCAATCGTGAATAGCTGCTCCAGAGTCTCGAGCTGGTCCCTGTAGCCCTCGGGAACTGGCACTCTGACTTGTATGGGACCCCGGACGTATTTCACAGGGCGGCCGGTTCCCCTCTGGAACGCGTCGCAAACTTCGAGAGGCGTCAACATTTCATAAGCGAGGGGTACGCGCTGGCCCGCCCATTTTCTGGGGCCGTCTTTGAATATCTGGTACACGGCAGGTCCGACATCGTGTTCAGCGTCTAAGAAGGGGATTTTTCGTTTCTCGCTAAAGGGCGCTTGCCAGAGGAAGGAACCGTCGGGCTGCAGCTCCAGGCAAAGAGCGGGTAAGGAAGCGAGGTGAAGTTGTTGTTATAGATGCCGGTGTAGATGAAGGTGGCGGGAGGCCTATTTCGCGTATGTATTTTTCAACCTTGAACTTGGAGGACCACAAGGGGCAGGAAGGCCACTCGGGGTTGTGCAGGGCATGGTCCGGCATGGAAGAATAGATGTAATGCTGGATTCCAGCCTTCTTCGCCGCATCGGCAAGGGCCTTTCCGATCTGAACCTCATTGCCGTAGTACGTGGTGTTAATAAAGGCAAGGTGGGCGCCCCGGAAAAGATCATCGATGAGCTGGTGATTGACACCAACTCCGGAGAGTGGGCCATTTCGGGAAACATCCTTGTTCTCCTCGGTAGGTCGGTGCCTCGTGTAAAGCTCGCCGACAAGGCATTCCACATTGGGGTTGGACGACACCTCGGTCGCAACAACGCCTTCGAGGTCACGCAACTGAGCGCGGACGGTATACCCCAAGACGGTGACGACGCGGATCAGAGATGCAGCCTGGCGGCCGCTGGCGTTGATGACTGCAATGGTCTTGTCGGGAGTGGGCATCTGGCGCTTGGCAGGTCGAAAGGTCAAGGAATTATTTCGCGAGACAAGGGGAGAGGACTCGGAGTAGGATGATCGAGCGTGCTTATGCTTTTACCCAATGTGGGAGAGGAGGAGAGGATGTCATTCTGTCGGTTTCGGTTTGGGGCCTGTCGGATGGGGAGGCCGACCCCATTCATTTGTGAAAGCATTGAGCTCGGAGCTCTGTGTCGCTCTGAATTTTTATTTTCTTGTTCTTTTTGGCTCTTTCGGGCGCTCAAGGTGGTGGGGGAGGGCGGTCGAAGTTCCGACGGAGGAGCAGACAGGGTAAAAATGGCCAGGGCGGGGTGAATGGTGGGGGACGCGAGGACTTTTTATGACATGCGGCCCGAGGCCGGCCAGCAACACGGGGTCCCAGCGGGACACGAAGAGGAGGGGATCGAACAGCAGCAACAGAACAAAAAGCGTGCAGGAGGAGTGACCCGTGAGTCGCAGTAGCAGCGAGGGATCCAAGCGAGCTCAGCGTGCGAGTAGTCTGTTTTCCGGCCGGTCCACTAACGATGGTTCAGATTGGTAAAAATGGAGAGGGCGCAATTCTGTAGATTAGACGATGCACAGGAGTGCGCGCGCCAAGGCTGGAAGTAGAGTTTGGGATCCAGTAAGTTGGGTTCTTCTTTTTTGCTTCTTTATAGTTTTTCCGTTTTGCATTCCACGTCGCGACCCGAGGATACAACGCGATATTCCGTGAGGCGGCATACAGCAGCGACAAGAGGAAGCCGGCGTCTAAGTCAGGCGTGGTTGCTCAAGTGGTTATCGACGCAGGACCGATACCACTCAGCTAGCAGAGGAGGGGCACGAGATGATAGGACAGCCTCGACGGTAGCAATAGGCCGAGCAACGCTGTGGGAAGAGGTATAGAATGGGGAGGGAAAAGGAAAAGAGGATCAAGGGGAGGGACTACCAGCGAAGCAGAAAAGTATTGAGGTAGAAGAAGAAGAAAAGGCTCCCTTGAATAAGAATGGAGCTCTGCAGGGGATAAGAAAAAAAAAAAAGAAAAAAGGGAAACAGAAAAGAAGATGAGAAAGAAGGGGAAAAAAATCAAAAGTGCTCTAGAAATGATGCATTGATGCAAAAATGGGTGAATCGGCTGAGAACGGAATGGTCGAGGAGGAAGAGGCACGGAAGGGCGGGGGTAGTCGCAAGCAGTGTACCGGGCACCAGGACATCAACGGTTCGAAGGCTCCAAAGTTGGAAAACGGGATGGGCGTCAGTATAGCATGCACTGGGCGTTCAATACGGACTCGTAACGCCTTTGTCTGTTTGGCGTTGGAGGGCAAAGAAGAGGGAAGGTGCTCGTCATTCTGTTGAATTCGCCCACTCCACGGACAAAAAGTCAATAACTTGTAGCTTGTCGCGTCCTCCAGAGCGGGCTCTACATCGATGCGACAGGCCACCCCAAATAGCAGGCGTGCTCGCTCATCGTCCTTTCCTTCATGTAACCAGCCCTTTGAATTGGTCATATTTTCCCTTGTGGAGCCCCGCCGTGGGTGCAAGCCCTTCTTAGCCTTATCAGCTCTTGGGCTGGCTCTGCCGCTAACTTTTCTTCCTCCGTTTCCCAGGTCATCTGCCGCCCCCGGAGGTATCCATTACAGTGGAAGGACATTGCGGACGCGTTGGATTCGGATTAGACTTCCCAATGGTTGGAGACACTGGGCCAGCCACGAGGGCCCGAGAGTGATAAGTGTACGGAGACTTTGAGCGAGCCCACAAGAACAGGCAAGGATCTTCGCCTCTCCAAGCGCGAGATGTCGACATCACCCCCATCAAGCGTTGACCAACACTCGGCTTCTCAGGGGTAGACGATCGATTAGTGTCGACCTGGAATCCGCAAGAAAGAAACCGGAAAAAAAAAGGGTTAAAAAAGAGAAAAGACAAGGGGATGAAAAATACGATTTGAGTCCTTCTGGTAACTATGTCTGCCCACTCCCAACATTGGACACTCTTGACGCTTTATCCTGCCAGTAACCCTAGGATTAAAAACCCCACCAGTCCAACAGGAGGTGATGGTGAGATATGGAACAAGGTGTGCGTGCCTTGCGCGTCTGCCTTTCTTCCCTTCCAGGAAAGATAAGGAAAAAGAGGCAAGCCCAGAGGATCAGCATGGAAAAGGTTGCTTTCTACCTCACAAGCAGCCTTCTTCCCCCAGGATCGAGATCTAATCTGCTCCGTTCCCCGGCCTCGGCCAAGGTTTAACGCTAGGCAGTTCGGAGGGGTCGGCCTATGGTTGGTCTCTGTCCTGGAAGCACTTCTCACACCGGCCGAGAAATGATTCTCGGTAGGGCAAATGTACTCCAGGCGTGACTGGTACTTTGAAACATTGTTTTTCCCACCATAGTAAGAATGGGAAACTACCAAGACTCTCCAGCACGCGCCCTCTTGACTTTTTTAAATGAGGTTACATGACGGCCCTTATCTTTGCTCTCTAGTTCGTCTGATTGGTAAACCCCGATGACGGCCATCAACTTAAGAGGTGAAGAGAAGCAAATAAAGGTCTGGAAGCAAGGCGGGGCAACGAAAGGAAGAAGAAAAGCCCAGCCAGGCAACATGTCTGGTCAGATGCGATTGCGTCAGGGAGAAAATTTTTTTACGTTCAACTCAGATAGAGCATCATATTTGGAACCCCAGTTAGATCGGGATCCCGAACCGAAACCGAGACCCGAGGGGGGACAACCAACCCCACGATAACAATGGCTTCCCCGCCTCGGGCTTGAATCGAACACTTGACCCTACCTCATCAGTCCGTCCTCAAGCTAGGACTGGCGGCCCCGGCCAACAACGTATTCAAGCATTGGCTGGTTGGAGGTGCCAATAGGGAGTAGGAATTGCACATAGCTCGATTTCTAAAATTATACAAGGACACTGCGGCCCCAGGAAACAAGTTCCGCTTTCCACCTCGGGATCAGAGTCCCGCACTCCATGCGGAAGATTGGGATGGCCGTGCTCCCCGGCCAGTTGTTCCATCATTGAGGAACATCAGCAGAGCCACACAGAGTAGAGCCAGGTGACCTAGGGGCTAGGCCAATTGCCGAAGAACATGACGGGTGCGTAGTGCACAGGTGCGTGGTGCGCTGTGCGTGGTGCAGAGAACGTAGCGGTGAAAACGAAGAAAGGAAGAAAGAAGAATGCGAGATTGATATTGAAGCCTCGTGGCATTGGCATCACACCAAAAGGCACAATTCATTTCAAACCTCGCTACGACATACCCCATCAAATCCGCGTCTAGCCAGCAAGCCAGCAAGCCAGCGTCCAATGCTTGCACGGTTTCCAATAAAACGTGGCTCTAGTTCCTTCTCGCTCTCTTCCTTGACCGAAGCACCAGCCAGGAACCAAACGAATCAAAGGCCAAGTTCGTGGCCGTGCAGCCAGTCAGGTGCCATGCAGGGTGGGCTGCGGAGTGGTCCAACCTTGCAGCGGCCAACGGAGAAAGAAGCCCAGCTATGTTGCGTCGTAGTTCCACTACGAATCAGGCCTCGCGCGCACCTCATTGCGCCCTTGTGGACACCAGATCCACCTCTCGGTAAACTATCGTGAGTTTTTCCCGTTCGATAGGTGAGAGGATGTGTGAGGTTCGACAAAGCCGGCCGGTGGTGTCGGGGAACTCGCTGAGAGGGGCAGGGTCTTGAGGGTCTGTGTCGGATTGCATTAGAGAAGACTGGCTGGCCATCGATCCATCCAGGGCACTGCAGGGCAGGGGACAACGCCATGCACTAAACTACACTACGCCAGCAGGCAGCATGATTGATCCGTCAACCCGCCCGGTCGGTGGATCAGTGGATCAGTCCAATGTCACTGGTAGGTGCACTTATACACTATTCCACGCTACTGCACCTTGTCCGTTGATGCTGTTTGGAGAGCAGCGCGCCCCAGATCTTTCTCGGAGTCGATTGGGCGCAGGTCCCCCGACTGCCAAAAAGAGGTTGACATTAGGTAAAAGGTAACGGGTGAGCCGTGACCCCCTCTGAGGCGCCATTTAGCGAGGACGAGCAGCCAGTTGCGCGCGCACAATAACACCGACCGATGAACACATTAGTAGCCTTTGATGTTTTTCCTCCCAATAATAGGGGGCTTCTAGAGGGTCTAGTCACTAATCTGAGAAGGTGGGTAAAGGGAAAGAATTGAGTAGAGACTGCGTTTTCTTCCATTTTTCCCTCTCTACCAAGGTAGCCCTTCAATGCAGCTGGAGCCATTGAGCCATTGATGGACCCATTGTCTTCAATGTTCCCAGTGTCGCAAGTTATCGTAACGGATGGTGGAGCGCAAGGGCTTTGATTGCCCCGCATCTGTTTACCCCGCGGTTATTGATGTTGCTTTCACTGGCGACATCCGGGTGCCTGTCAAGCCTGCACGTTGAGGTCCACCTCATCTCATAGCCCCGCTAGGGACAAATCCTAGGCAAACGAGAAGAGCGCACGATGCGGATCGGGAGAAAAATTTTCTACTCAAAAAGTCAAGGGAATCGGTATACGTCCTGGAAACCGTTTCCAACCCCCAGTGGTCACCCGACCCTTTTCCTTGGAGGCAAGCTTCATTTAGTCGGATAAGAAGATTAGACACTCAGTTGAAGGAGGAGACAGACACCTCTGAGAAGCTCACGCTAATCCATTACGTACAATTCTAGTCTATGGATGTTGTCATCTCGTAGGACAGAAACAAACATCTCCGCGGAGGTTGCATACCTCACACCACTTATTAAGCGCCTGCCCTTCCAACGGCTTTGGTGCTGCCTGAGCACTTGATCACTCGTAGTGTATATGTTCAAGCTAATGGCTCGCAGGGGCGACAATAGTTCAACTCCAGAGTGGCACGAGCTACGAAGGAGCTAATAATGTGCTCGAAGCAGCGGATGACGGCAACCCTCAACAGGGCAATTGGGGGCAATTGGGCCATTTTGCGGCCATTTTCGGCCTCCATCTGTTCGAGGTACACATGGTGGATGGGGGCGCTCATTTTCGTCAATTGGTTTTGTTCTTCTTTTTTTTTCAAAGCATCGTCATAGTTTGTGCCTCCCAACGTCAAAGCGAGGACACCCACAGAGGAACCTGGCCCAGTCCATACGCCACTAGACGAAAACTCTACGTTTTTCTAGCTCACCGTTTCGAGGGACCAGGCCCTGAGGAGGAAGGGAAAAAAAAAAAGAAGAAGAAAAAAAAAGAAAAAAAGAAAAAGAAACAAAACTTGACGGCCATGCCAAAAGGCACGGCAGGGGCACGCACCATTCAACCCGACCTTCCCACCAGCGTATGCGTATGACTAACATGCGCTTATTTTCTCGCCAGCTCCGATATCCGGGGAGGGGATGGCTGAGGACAGACGAGGGGACGAGAGACGAAGTTTGGGCCAAATGAATGGTGGATGTATTCCAGTCTCACTGGCCCCCGTTTGGGAATGCGATAATGGTGTCATCTTATGGCTTCATTCTGAGCTCTTCTTCCATGCGAGCGCAGCGCGCAGCAAAGTGTGGAGCCTGATGGCTTTCTGTCTCCGGACGGTACGGATTTTTTTCTCTGCATTCTCCACAGGCTCGCGGAATGCGCTTCCTTCGGCTCGAACAGGATCTATCAATACATGTAACAAGAGAACGACCAGAACCCAGCTCTCGAGGTGGCCAACGCAGCTGCGGGACCCCAGCCCAGCCCAGGGCCATTCTTTTGCACGGGGCCAAAGGGGGGAGAAGGGATCCCACGGGCGATTCGCCATTCAAGGACCCGAAAACCCCATCATGCCCTCCTCCCTTTGCGCTCTTCGACGCATGTCATCCGCGTTGGGCCGAATCTGGTACGTAATAAATATCCGCTCTGCTGCTCAAGCTTTGCCTGGCTGTGGACGGCGACGCTTGCCTTGACGCTCTGCTTCTGCTTCCTGTTGAGACAACCGCACTTCTGTCGGCCGTAGAGTACCATCCACGTCGATGCCGTGTTCTGTTCCAAAATCGCACTATCGTGACCTCCTCACCGGCTTTTGCCGGGCTTCTCACTCTTTTTCATCGTTTCCGTACTTTTTTCTTCCCCTCTCGACCTCTTCTTCTCGTCTATGTGTCTCTATCCGTCTAAATCCCTCTGGGGGCCTCTGCACCGTTTCTCCATTGCCCCTGCTATTCTTCCCTATGGGTTTTAACCCTTGCCATGTTTTGTGTAATACAGTCATCAACCGCGCGGGTGGCAAGGGGGTCTATAGCCTCTGCCAGTGTTTTCTTTTGGTGTCCCTTATCAGTCTCTTGTGGCTTATCTACACCACAAAGAGATAATGACCCTCTGGCTCATGCTTGAGTTCCTTCATTGGCCTAAATAAATGTTACGCTCTTACCGAGTATAACTACAATGTTTCAAAGCTATAGTCTACGCGAGAGAAAAACGAGAGATTGTATAAATGAACCGTGATGGAACTATCCATCAACTTCCTCCGAGTGATGGGGGAGGGACGGTTAGCGCAGTCGGATAGCATGAAAAATATCATGAGGATGTGTCTTTTTTTTCTTTTTTTTTCTACGGGACGAGCAAATATTGCTATATTGCTATATTGCAGTTGGCATATCAGGCCTGGTATGGGCCGCTGACGAGGCTAACAATATCGCATCCCCTTATGCTCCATGGCCGTGTCGTGAGGCCACGAGCAACCCTTTAAAGAACAGAGCATCAGTGGTGATGACATGTAGAAGTTATCAAGGTACCTCCTCCTAGACACTATTCCTTGGCTCGACACCAGCAGGTTCATCGCCTCCTCGGTGATAGTTTACAAAAGGATCCCATCTCACCACTCCTTTAGCGAGAACAAAGGTTGGATTTCAATTTCAACTATGGAGACCGAGAAAGTAACTTGAAAAAAAGGGCCCAGCCGGTACTCTGAACGCACAAGCAATAGGATGGAAAGGCTAATGCGCGCCGTCAAGCCCTACGTAGCTACCAAACGAGGTGAAGCGACGGATAGAGCCGGTTTAGGGTGGGTGACACCGTGATTCCAAGCTAGCCTCATGTCCGTCACAAGAATCTTCCCGTAGGGAGGCGCCAGCAGGGATGCCTGGCGACGTCCAACCATCAATTCCGCGGAGAGCTTCGCGGCTCAGAAGGACAAGAGGTAAAATGTGGGGAAGAGTTGCGGCGGCGTGGGCGGGGAGGGAAGGGGGAGGAGGTAAGAGCGTAAGAACGTAACGGGGTCAAAGGCAAGTCTAGGACGGGGAACCTTTGGGGGAGGAACGTCGGCATGAGAACCCGTCCGCCGAGCCTAAAGTTCCGATGGGGGACCTGGACCGTACTCGATTTCCTCGCCGCCAAGACCTTCACCTCTCCACTTCGGCGTTTGGGGCGTTACGACAACACTTCACCCCGCGCCTAGCGTTGCGCTGTTCACTCTTGAAATCTGCTTCTCCTTTCCTTGATCAGGGGGCAATACGAAGCGAGCACATGACTAGATGGTGGCCGTTTGCGGGGTTTAGATAGTGAAGCCCTCCATATTCACGTCTATGATGAGGGGTGGTTCAGCATCAAGGAGACCGTTCGGAGATAAGCCGCCCTCTGGCTCCAAGAAAAAGTCCAAAGTGAGGTGCGGTGGCAGGTACCGAGTCACATCACAACCTCGCGTCTCACCAAGCAAAGTTAAGGAAGGCGCCGGGGGATCGATTCGATCGTCGTGGGAATAAATGCATGTTTGTTTGTTCTAAAGTCCGTAAACAACCCCAACCCATACCTTGGAAACCCTTTTTCTGCTCGAGTAAACGCCAAAGCTCCGGTAATGAAATGAGACTGCAAAATAGAGCGTGTTCGCCGGCGCCGTCTATCATTGCGGCGCACCGGGCATATTCTCAATCACATACTTGCCCCTACCCACCTTCATGATGGGTACACCAGGTATCTTCCTCAACCGTCTCTGCAGGTCCTTGTCGTCGGTACCAACGATGAAGATGCGAGACTTGGACACGCGGTCAAATATGCAGTCATCGGCATAGATACCCTTGTGCTGGCACTTGAGAACCTCGAAATTCTCACTCTTGGCAACGCGGAGTGCTAGTCGGTACTTGGGACCGAGCTTTTCCAACTCTAATGGAAGATCGATAAGCTGGAAATTCGAAAGGAGGAGGACGGGGGCAAGGAGAAACAGAACGTAGAGAAGGGGAAGAAGCGGGGAGTCAGGGCTGAAGCAAAAGGGAGAACCCACCGGCAAGCACGCATGTTGTGATGTACATGTTCACCTTTGCGTACAGCAGGTCCATGCTAGCTTGTACAAGAGAAAGCTTCCTCTGGACAGAGTGTCTGTTCAAGAAGACAGGCAACGTTAATACCTCGTACTAAAATGAGAAGGGGGTAAACTGCAGGGTGCCATACGTAATAAAGTTGGTATCGACCAGGCAGTTGTAGGGCGGCACGAGAGCTGTGTTGTGGGAGAAGAACATTTGGATGGGCATCTCCTTCCTATAAGTTGAATCAGCGTCTCATTTCTTAAACGAAAGACCGAGGCAGGGATGAGGCCATACACTTCTCGAACCACCTCATCTGTGGCGGCCTCAGCGGCCTTCTTCTTGTTGATGGCATCACCCTTGCCCTGATTCTCCTTTATCCTGGAGTCACCTATTGATAAGTTAGAACGGATCACTCTATTGCTCTCTCCAACACATTTATACATATACACATATAAAACCAGCCTTAGCAGGGACTACTTACGTTTGCCAATGATACGCTTAACCTGTATGTTGTAAAATATTTCGGATTCATGTTAGCTGTCATGAGTTGAGTTGCGGCTTCACAAGAAAATCCTTATCGATAAGACTGATAAGAAAGGTGGGAGGAATTTTTTTTTTTTTACCTGGGCAAATTTCCGAGTACGCTTGGCCACACCCATGATGGCTGTCTCTGCGGCAGAGGATGGAACCAAAGGCAAGTAAGGGAAAATGAGGGTAGACGGGAGATCAATATCTAATGCTTGAGGGTTTCGTCGAAGTAATCTCCTCTGGGAGCTGGACCGTGAACCGAGGGCGAAGATCTTGCTTTGGCGACGATGATTGATGGCGTCTATCTGGGGGGTGGTTGATGCGCCGCCTTAATGAAAGGCTGCAAAAAATTTGTATGGCAAGGTTTGGGTTCAATGGAGGCAATTTGCAGCACAATGCGCTAAGACGGTTTGATGGCCAATCATTGTCGCGCCCGGATTTCTGACAGTGACGACAACTGTCAAAATGAGAAGCGACGGCTTGGCAAGTATCCGTCGTGAGCACAGAGTCGGTTGCCAGTGAGTGGCATTCGAAAAGGGCGACACGTGCCTTGGCGGGTGTGTTTCGATTTCATTTAACCGCGTCTGGCTTGGTAAAATGGTACCTTTTCCCTACAGTGCGCATTACGATGCGGAGGGTTGTCCCGTCGTTGACACCAGCGCTATTTATGCCTTGCTTTACGGAGAAACGGGAGAAGTCAATCGATCACCTGGTGAACGTAGACAAAGGCAAACTGTGTGGCTCCAAGTCTCTCCCTATCGAAAAGATGATACCCGCATAAGGATGTCAGACACAAAAGCAAGAAAGGGTTCCCTTTCCAAACACGGCTCAGCACAGAAGGTGGGAAGAATAATATTGATTGACCTGTGGAAGCTGAATGCGGAAGTTGGGAATTTTGGCATTCTCGTATCCGGCGATACATGACGTTGCTGCCAATTTAACTAGCGATCAAAGTCCCCGTGTTCCTGGGCTCCCCGCCAAATCACCGAACCCTGGCACTTTGGCACTCCTGGCGCTCGCAAATTCTGGAGGGAGCGAGCAGTGAGCGCTGCATGGTTGCCCAGTCCTGCCAGGCCAAACCTGCAAACCTGCAAACTTGCCCGAATCTGCCTCTTGCCAACGGACCCGCTCGAGCCGCTTGGCCCAGGACAGTCTCCCATTGCCCCTGTCCCCCTTTCCCATCATCACCACTCAATCCAATCTCTCTCTCTCTCGTAATCGTCTCGCCGATAATTTTCTGGTGAAACTCGTTCGCTCAGTAAATCTTGAACGGCGACGATACTCGACATTGCTTATTTCTTTTCTTTTCTTTTTCTATCTTATTTCGCTCGCTCGCCCGTCGTCGCCTTGCAGAAACCATACCGGCTGTTCCTGCTCCCTCGATCACTACCCACTCAAGTGTTTTCGCTTGCCTTGGTTTTTTGGCTCGACTCCGCCACTTCCCTCCTCACTCGTCCTTCAGCTCACCACGCCCTAACCCTCTTGTCTCTCTCTTCACTCAACCAGAGAGAAACAAGTTGCGAGAGACCAATTCGATCGTTTTTCGAAGAAGACGCCTCCGATCCCGTTCTTTCGTCGGTTGACCATCTCGATCGCATCCCGCCATTTCTCGCTTTCCAGGGCTTCTCTTGCAGCATTATTTTCCTTGGTTACGGTGCTTCCGCCAAATTCGCTTCTCGACCCATCAATCATCATGGTATCCTCGAGTGCTGTGAGACCTTGGGGTCTCGAACACGTCGCTCTTCTTTCCCTATTTTCCGCCGTCGCCCTTGCCCAAGGCAACGGAAACAACAATGGCAACGACGGCGACGATGATCCTACACCCACCCAGCCCGCCAACAGCCGTACGACCAGCCAACCCAACAACGATCGAACGACGACGACATCTCAACGAACCCAATCCTCACCGGCCAGCCAACCGACCCAGCCTCCGACTACGCCTACTGCGGCCGTTACCACTACCCTTGGCGCGGTACCGACCTTCTCCAACGACGATGGCGGCACCCCCTGCCCACCCTTCCAGGCTCTTTCACGAGGCCTACGCCTGCCGTGCCTCCTACCATTGATGCTCCCTTCATGGACCGGTCCACCATGCCTGATGGCACAGTCTTCATCGCCGTCGGCGCCATTCTAGGGGCCTTTGGTCTTGCGGTCCTCATCTGGCGCGCCATCGTTGCGTGCTTGCTCCATCGCTCTGTCGAGCGCGCCGCCGCCGCCCAGCACCTCGCGAACGAGAAGTCCACCTACCTCGCCCCTCCCGCTGCGTTTTACAAGAATACGGAGCGCGATCCTCGCCCCCGGCGCTGGACGCGGTACCCGCCGAACGAACCGTGGCCCCATCCCCTCTGCCACTCCCAGCCAGTCGAACCTCTTCTTCTCCCCCACCGCCGTCAACACCGCCGGCATGGGCGGCAACCGCGATTCTCGTTATCTTCCCTCGGGCTTCTACGCTTCTGGTTCTCCTGCCATGAACGCCCCCGCGCCTGGTAGCTACTCGAACCTAAGGCCCGACTCGCGGGGAGGCGGTTTCTCGCGTAACACGATGCGGGATCACAGCCCGGAAGGCTCGCCTCAGTTCGCCGTCCGCCAGCAGGATCCCAGCATGAGCTCGCTCAACCTCAACCGACCTCCTAGCCAACGCGCCCCCAGCGCCTACCTCGATGATCTGTTGGACGAGAACCCGCAAATGTTCCCTCCTGCGCAAATGCCACCTCAAGCCGCGCGAGGCAGGGGAGGATACTAAATTGGTATCTTCTACGCCCATTGGGGTTCAACCGCACCATTCCGACAACAAGCCCTCTGCCTCGCTGGCCCTTGATGGCTTTCACGATTAACATGCTTCGTTATATACATTTCCCAATATCTTGGAAATCTGGGGAGAAGCTGCCAGTACAATAAATCGAGCCCCGCCAAGTTCGCAGCCTCGCTACTTGACACAACGCTGGCGCCAATGGTTTTACAGAAGCCTCTAGCATTGTGGTCTGGATACAGCACCCAGTTTCTTCTTCCCTTGAACTCGACTTTCTCTTTCTTTCTTAGTCTGTACTGTATAGTACAAGTACACGGTGTAGGGCATTAGAATAGGAGTCACGGTTCTTTGGTAACGCCTTATTTTTGTTTCCCTAACTTTTTAGTATCCATCCATTTTCTTCTCTCATCGCCGTCAACAGACGTTTCCTTTTCTTCTTTTTTTTTTTTTTTTTTCTTTCTGTCTAAAAAAATCCAGTCCCAGGTACCGGCCGCCTTTGCTCATTTTCTTTCCGCCATCCACCCCCTTTTACATACCATCACCGAATGCTTGCTTTTGGAGCAGGAGGAGGAGGGGTGGAGTGTGCTTCAGGGCCGCCGTCACGTTGCTTTTTCCTTGTTCATTCCCTCGTCACTTTTGTCTCGTCCGGTTCATTTGTTGCCTAGCCCTTCAAGACAGCGGATTCCTTGGTTTTAGTGTTTTTTTTTCTTTTTCTTCTTGTCTTAATTCCTTCTCGCCCTTACACTAGTGTAGTGATGGAGACTTGTTTTGCCCTGGGCCCATCCTCGAGGATAGAAGGGGAAAGACGGAACAGCTTACACCTCTGGCCGTATATATCGGTATTAATTGACATTCTTCAACCATTAAATCCAACGTGCGGTCTTGTTGATATTACATAGATGTGTATCCCTTGGTCTGGTGGTCTCCACGGCGTCCGAACCGCAACACGCCCTCTGGCGCTCCGGGATATTTGCAATGCATGCACGAAGAAGAAACGCCAGAGTCCGTGTTTCTTTCTGCCTTGCTACGCGTCCTTGTTTTCCCTCCTCGCTTTTGCTCATCGCCCCCCTCGGTGAGGCGTCAACCTGACGCGGACTAATGTCCGGCGGTGGAGGCTTTCCCTCTTTTCTTACCCTTTTCACACCCGGGGGCGCGGGGAGATCCAAAAGAAATGGACGGTCGAGGCAATGCAGCTCCAGCCTGCAGGACCATTTGTCCGAGACATTTTCAACGTCTGCGGAACTCTGAAAAAGGGCCCAGAGCGAACTTGTTCACAACGTGCGTCCTCCTGGTAGCGTATCACGCGCTCAAATCCGCGCGAGTCACCGTGAGAAAAAAAAAAAAAGTAAAAAGAAGAGGGCCTTTGGTGAGATTTTGGAAATCGGGAATAGTATTAAAATTATGTACGAGAAGTAGTAGGCTGCTTTTTTACAGCCTCGCCAGTATTTTTCTTTTCGTTCTTCTTCCACCTCCTCATCTCTGGTCCGTATCTTCTTTATGGATTTTTATTCCAAGTTATCCTTGGCGTTCTCAGAGCCATCCGACGTCGTAGATTCCCCATCGTGACCCGGCGCGTTGAGCTCCCGCACAGCTCCCCTCAAATCATCCAGCCTGATCCCGCTCCTCTCACACATACCCTTGAATATGCCGCCTTGGTGCCACAGCTCCAGCGGGGTACCCAGCTCCGCGATACGGCCGGAATCCATGACGCAGATGCGGTCGTAGCCGATAATGGTCCGCAGGCGATGGGCGATGCAGAGAAGGGTCTTGCCCTTGAAGCCCGTGGCAATGGTGTTTTGGATCTTGTCGTCCGTTTCCATGTCCACCGAAGACGTCGCCTCGTCGCAAACGATGATTTGGCTGTTTCGAACGAGAGCACGGGCGAGGGCCATGAGTTGGCGCTGGCCGAGGGAGAAATTGAGTCCGTCTTCCTCTACAACGGAGTCGAGGCTCACCGACGGTTGCTGGTCACGGTTCGGTGACGCCGCCGCCGCGGGAACAATGGCCGTCTCTCCGGTATTGTCAGAGCTTGAACCCTGGCCCGTCGGCGGCGGTTGGTCCTGGACGAGATCTGCTTGCCGAAGCGCAGACCAAAGCTCGAGGTCCGTGTGCTCGTTGAATGGGTCAAGGTTACTCCGGACGGTTCCCTTGAAGAGTGTAGGGTCCTGAGGAATGATGGCTAGTCTGGACCGGAGGTCGTGTAAGCCAATGGTGGAGATGTCGATGCCATCAATGGTGATGTGTCCACCCGAGATCTCGACGAGCCTAAAGAGCGTCGACATGATGGAACTCTTTCCAGCTCCGGTTCGGCCCACGATACCGATTCTCTCTCCCCACCAATGTGGATGTGGAAGTCTTGGAGAACCAGCGGCAAGTTTTCTCGGTATCGCATTTGCACATGGTCAAAGACAATTTCACCCTTCTCCGGCCACGTGTTGCGGACCTCGACGGTATGTAAAGGAGCCTCCTCTTCTAGGTTCCTTCCATAATACTGTAGACGTTCGACAGCATTCATGCCATTCTCGACTTCGGCGAGTTGGCGCACGGTAAACTGAATCATCATGACGATGGAGAGGATGTAGCTCAGTACGAGGCCGGCGATTGACGGCGAGACGTTGAACCTGGACGTGACCACGAGAATGCCGGTAACAAAAACAAGGATATTGCCAATCAGATCGAGTCTGACAGCCAGCCAGCGCTGATTCGAAAACGTCAAAAGTAGGCCGCATCCATGTCGTCGATGGATTGCCTCAGCTCCTTCACAAAGCGATCCTGCAAACCATACGCGCGGATGGAAGCCACACCGGAAAGGCCCTCTCCAAACTTAGCAAAGACGGTGGACCGGAGGACAGACTCGAACCGCTTGACTTCCCGGGCCGACGCTCGGTAGTACGACGCGGAGAAGATGAAGAGGAAGAAGAGGGGGACGAGAGCGATGGCAAAGTAGTGGAAATACGCAATGATGAGGCAGAAGACGGACAGAAGCATGGATAGCGTGAAAAAGTACATTCGCATCGCGTCGGTAAGGTTGTTGTCCATGACATCCACGTCACGCGAAAATCGATTCGTGATGCGGCCGAGCGGCGTCGTGTCGAAAAAGGACATGGGGGCGCGGAGTACTCGTGTCACGGCCTCTTGCAGCATCTTCTTACTAGAAGTCGTGCCGAATATAGAGAGCGAAACGGAGAAGCCGAACATGAGCAAAACTTGGAGCGCGCCAAGTCCAGCATAGCCTCCGATATACTGGCCGGTACTGAGGTTGAACTCGTCAGACGTCCACCAGGACAGCCACAAGCCCGTCACGATATTGGTACCCTGGGCAAGAATCAAAGCGGTGAGAAGGAGAGGGGCGTTGAAGTACGATCCGGACGCCTTGATGTATGCGGAATAGACGGACCAGGGGACGCTGGCAACGGCGCGCTCCTCCTGCTGCATGAGCGCGGCCCCCTTCTTCTTCTTCTTTTGTCGTCGCCGTTCGCTCCAGGAACTGCCGTGGGCTTGCCCGCAGTCTGGTCTTGATCTTCGACGGAAGTCGTCTCCATCAGATGCTGGAACCCGGTATGATCCCGCATAAGATTTTCAAAGGTGTCCACGGCTTGGATCCGACCAGCTTCCATCCATATGATGCGGTCACACCTGTTGAGAACCCATAACTGATGGGTAGCGAGGATTCGACACTTGTCTCCAAGAAGGCCCAGGATGGCATTATCAAAGATATGACGGCCAACGTGAGCGTCGACCGCGCTCAGGGGGTCATCCATGATGACAATGTCTGCATCAAAGTAGATTGCTCTGGCGATATTGAGTCGCTGCTTTTGCCCACCTGAGATGGTGATGCCTCGCTCGCCGATTTCAGTCATGTCCCCGTTTGGCAACATGTCCAGATCCGGTTGAAGTGCGCACCTATTCCAAGGGTTGTTGTCAGCATGCGTCTACTAAGACGAAGGAGTGTGTAAGGGAAACCGGGCCCTTGAACAAAACAAGAGAAAAAGGGGAGAAAACGGAGGTTTCTTACGCTCGGATAACATCCTTGTACCAGTCCTTGTCCATGTCCTTTCCGAAGATGATGTTGTCGCGAACTGTGGCGTTCTGGATCCAGGCATACTGAGGGCAAAACGCCCGCTCGGCGCCAAGAATAACATCGCCTTGGGTCCTCCTCATATCACCCGCAAGAGCTGCAAGGAGGGAGCTCTTACCACTGCCAACGCTTCCAATGACAGCGACAAGCTCATTCCGTTTGATAGAGAAATCCAAGTCATACAGCTTGAAGGGTTCTTTCTCCGTGAGAGTCGAAGAGGTCCCGTCGCTCTCGTGGCCCGAGGAGGCAGGCCTCTTTTCTTGATCTTTAGTGGCCGCTTTCCCTCCTGGAGCGCCGGAGGCACCGGCAATGGTGGTTTCCGGATCCTGGGTCGGGGTCCGCTCCCAGGTAAAGGATGCGTTTTGGACATCGACCGCGTTCTCGGCGTCAAGCTTGAATTCGGCCTCGTCTTCCATCTCCTCAGCAAGGAGGAATTCCTGGATACGCTTGACAGAAGACCAGGCATCGACGACCTGGCCTAGGACAAGGGGCAGCATGTTGAGTGGGATGCGGAGGCCATTGAAAAGGGCAAGAGAAGAGAAGACTTGGGCGGGCTGCATGCTGTTGTCTGTAAGGGAGTAGGTGATGAAGGAAAGCATGGAAGCAAAGACTGGCAGGGACATGCTAATGGCGTTGATAGCGTTACGGATGGCCAGGAGAACTTGGATGCCATGGATCTCGCGGGCTCGAATGTCCTCCAATCGCTTCAAGAAGGAGCTCTCCCACCCAAAGAACTTGACAAAACGGACGGACTGAAGAATCTCCTGGGTCAAGCTGACACGTTGGTCGGTGATCTTGTTGATTTTCTTACGGCGGATAAAGAGGCTGCGGATGGCGCGGGTCAAAACGGGAACGCCAACGACGAGGAGGGCAAACCCAGCCAAGGCACTATAGCTGAGATTGACGATGAGGACGGCGAGGGTGATGAGGCAGGCCACGGGAGCAGTCCACAGGATGTGGAAAAGGGCCGAAGCTTGGTCGATACGGTAGGTATCAACACTCATCAGGTTGACAATGCGGCCATTTCCCCAACCTGTTCCGTCTCCGGCAATACCAGGCGCAACTTGGCCTCCCTTTTTCCCTCGGCCCCCTTCTCCTTGCTCTTGCTCTTGCTCTTCCCCTTCTTTTCATCCTTCTTTTCAGAGGCTTCTTCGACCGCTTGCGGACCTAGGTCACCAATCTGCTGGTCCTTGGCGCCTCCAGCGCGAGCACGGCCGGATAAGACCATGGCCTTCTCAAAGATGAGGCCAATGAGGACAGCCCTCACTTCGCCGCCGACCATCATACCGCGGTAGATGAAGTGGTTGGTGCACAGGCTCTGTATGACCTGCATGGCGGTGACACCAATAACGAGCCCGATACCGCCCCTACGGAGGGAGCAGGACGATTCTGCATGTTGGCAATATACGCGTCGGTTGCAAACTGGATGAGATAGCGAAGAGTAAAGGGGGCCATGACCTGGAGGATGGTGGACAGGAGCTGGCAAAGCCCGCCGAGGAAGAACTCGAAGCGGAAGGTATCCAGCATGGCCCACACCAACGGGTATTTATCCCCATCAGCAACCCTCCGCGTAAAGGAAGCGCGCAGTTTCCCCGTCATGGGCTCGGAGGCCCTTGAGGGGTTGACGGTCCAGAGATCATTTTGGTGAAGCGAACGCTTATAGCCCACCTATGGAAAACAGAAAGGGTCAGTTGTTATACGAGGGGCCGGGGGAGAAGAAGGATAAAAAATCAAAAGGCAGCGTTTGGGTCATTTTGGCCGATCAGTAGGCGGCGATCAGCGCCGGCCAAACCGTCGTGCCGGCGCAAACCGTACAAAATGTGAGGGGAGATCACTTACAGTCATCAAAGGCGTCATCCACTGAAAGGTCAAAAGGCTCAGAAAGCCGGCGCGGTGCTCGGGCGAAGACTCCCGGGTGGCAGGAAGGGCCGGGATGCCCCCATCTTAGAGGGTTCAACTTAGACCATTTGGTCTTGTTTGTCTCGTCTACGCGACTAAGGACGGTCGTGGCCTGTGTAGTAGCCGAGGCATCGGTGGCGTGGCTCTGGGTAAGAGCAAGATCAGCTCGTCGTGGGCCAGCCTCGGCCTCTGTTCTGATCTCTTCAGTTTGAGGTGCGGCGACATCCTCGTCTACGTCTCTATGCTCGGGGGTGTCTAGAGTTGATTCCGGTTGTGGATCCGGAGGCTTCACGTCGCCCGGATGTTCTGTATTTACCATTCTAGTAGGTACGGCGACGAAACCAGTGGAAGATGCTCTGCGAAAAGACGGGATAGACAATGGGCGAAGCTAAAGCAGGGCGCAAAGAAAAAAAAAGAAGAATGAGAAAGATCAGTCCGAAGAAGGAAAGGAAGTGTAGCTAAAGAAGGACAGCCAAGAGATACAAACTGCCCCAGGAAATATAGACAAAGGGGGAAATAAGCTTGGTTTTTCACACGCAACCCAGGCAAATAAAAATGGAGAGAAGTCCCCAAGTCCACCCCCGAATGGGATGGGATGGTGGGTTCAATGTTTAGATCAATGGACGGGCCCCGGAATTCGTTCTTCTGGGGTGTCGGATTTAGACCGTGGACTTTAGAATCGGATTTGTAATGGCGGCCGATGCGACTGGCGTCCAGATCGATCGAGGGTGGACCTGCCAAAAGAAATCCCAGCGCGACAGCCAAATGAGGTAGTGCAAGTCACTCCGCTGGGGAAGCAGGCACGACTGAAAGGATGGGGCCCGACAGATTGATTCGGGAGTCAGAAGGTATTAACGCTGGTTCTGGGCCGGGGTGTCATCAGCACTAGTGGAGTAGAAGGATCAGAGCACTGCTGGCGAAGGCCCAAGATTCATATCCCTCTTGACCAGAAGAATTATCCAAGTCTGCCGAGGAAGACGAAGTAGCGTTCGCGCAATCCGATGCGAGATGAGGGCGTGAGGAGGAAGGGGGCCGGATCGAGAGAAGAGACGGATGTATTAGATGGGAAGCCGGTTTTCCCAAGGAGAAACAAAAGATGACGTTGTGTGGGTGCAAGTTTGGAAGTTTGCCTCAAGCGCAAAACCAACGGTGGGAAAAAGTCTCTCACGAAGGATAATTATGAATCGAATGAACGAACATGATTATGAAAGAATACATGTAGAGAATGGAGGAGAGAGAATTGTGGAATAGTAGATTGTATTATTGCAACAAGCTCGTCTATGGCCCGCCTCTTAGAACGCGTCCTCAGTTGGCGATCCGAGGCTCGTCTTTTTTTCTCCTTTCTCCTCATTTCTTCCGCTACCCGGGTCCAGGTTCGGCGGGTCGCGCTGTCGGAGTTAATTTTCCGACTTTGCGACTTTTCCAGATGAGCGGCCACCCAAGCCAAGGAACCAATAATGGAAAGAGCCTGAGCAGCCTCCAGTTAAGCCCGGACAACGCTGGCCCTGGACACTTGTCCCTCACGTTGATTACAAGTAATACAACTTGAAGTGGCGGATTATGTATCAATGGGTCGTGGATGTCACCCTGAAGCGACCGTCCGCCCACCCTCCCGAGCCGTGACCCTCCTCATTCCGCCAGGATACCGGCGGGGTCGTGAGCCGACATTCTTGACTCACAAAGTCCGGACAAGGCAACAAGGTTTTTGGGTCCAGCCGCGAATCCTTCCCCTTCCCATGTTGAAGGGATTTATCAGCCCCTCCCACCCCTTAACTTTGATCACAAATCCAAAGTGCCCTGAAAGGGCGGAAAGGGCGGGCATTGGCACTGGGGGATTTGCCTCTAGAGGATCGAGATCTGCTGCCTGGAGAGTTCCGTTCCCATTCAACGTACAAACTATTATTACTGGTTGTGCTCCTTCGCTCTCACGGAGTGTGGAGCACAAGCTGCATCTGACTTGTGGCGCCGGGAGGAATGTGCCGGCCGGTGCCCCAGCGCCAGTGAGTCGTCAGCGGAAGTGCCCGCCAGTACCTTTTGCGTGCTCTGAATTCCGAAATCCGTTGAGGTCAAGGAGAGAAGGACATAATCGGTGAATGAGAGTGAATGGATGAGAGGCTCCGGATATCGGCCTTGTCCTTGTCTTCTGGTTTTTCTTGCTTCCTCACGTCTCTAATCTCTCCGAGCCGCCATCATAGAGGGGTTTTTCTTTTTCCCCCAAAAGTGCAGGGGATCTGGTGTCATGATAGCTTCACTGACGTCTTCAGGGTGCGCCAAATGCTTGAGGCAACCACGAGCTCAAAACCATTAAATTTCAACCAATTCACCGTTAACTCCGCTGCCCCCTCCATCCGCCATCGGTGATTTCACTAGTGCCCCTCTAACGGCTAACCGGCAGCCAGGGTGCTCTAGAGTCCCTATCCTCGAGTAGTGCTCCTGTCACCATCTGCGCATGCACTTTATCAATCTTACTTGGTGAATGCTTCCAGCCATGCCAGCCTAGCGTAGGGTAATTATCTGACGGCAAAGATCCGCCGAATGCGTGTCAAGCTCGTAAGGCTCCCACTTGGCCATCTCGGCAGGGATATCCGGTTTCGCGTCACTCCTCGCGTCACCCTCCTGAGCCCAGCGTTTCCTGCTCTTTGCTTCCCCTCATCGCGCCTAGGCCCAATGCTGCAGATTCATAAACCCAATCCGGTCTTGAAGGGATAGTGATCGGTCTATCTCCAGCCGCCGACATGACTCACGGCGAGGACAGCCTTTTCGCAAACCAGCCCAGGCCTGGCATGTCAAAGGCGGGGGTCAAAGGGGGGTTATTAGTGGGGAATGGTTGAAGGATCTAGCTTCCATAGCTCCCCGTTTCTTTTACAACGTAGAATGACTAGGCGCTACTAAAGGTTCATGTCGATCACAGAATATCATTTACCCTGCGCATGCCTACCACGTATGGATAAAGTCATAAGAATGGGAGGAGGTAGGAGGGGACAGAAGTTGGTGTCAAGGCTGCCGGGCATATATCCAGAGGCGACTACTCGAACGCTTGAACCGAGTGTAGCATGGTCCTCCTTAAGCTTCCGAGATTCAGTGCCAACATAGATACAAGATTTGCCAAACCCAAAAGCACCTCACTTCGTCGCCCTTCTGAGCTCGATGATGGGCTGGAAGCCCGCACTTCATATCGCAAGAGCAAGGACAGAACCTCGATCCTACGTTTCTCGAGGGGAGGCCACCAGCTTCCACATCACCACTTGGTATTGAAAACTAAGACTTGAGTCACAAAACAGGGCTGACACAAGTCAGCGAGAGAGCCTCGCATAGGAGGGTCTTGCGTAAGAGGCCAAAAGTCGATAAGAAACGAGAATGGATTAAAGGAAAACAATGCCCAACTCCTCGTCTTTAAACCCTCAGCTTCGCCAATAATACATATCTATCCCTGACATATCCAATCGTTATCTTCATCATCTAAATCCAGAGGAGCCCCCGGCCTCAGGCTCAACCCCCGCACGAGATTTAGGCTATCTTTGTGACTTTCAACTCGCCCTTGTTGTCGCCCTCCAGATCCAAGAACCCGCCGGCCTCCAACTTCTTCTTCCACTTGGTGCTCGAGTATCGCGCAAAGATCATCGTCATCCTCAACGTAGTCTTGTCACTGGACTCGTGCTCGCTCGCCTCTTCGGCGAGCGGGTTGAAGGTCCAGCGCCCAAACGCCCAGTTCAGGATGTACCGGCCCCTCGGGTTCGCCGCGGCCGGCATCTTCTCGTCGTCGTCCGAGTTGTGCGGGGCCGCGGAGAGCGTGAGGACGGATTTTATTCGATACACCTCGTCCTTGGGCGCCGCCTTGAGGAGCGACATGAGCTTGGTCGTGTCAATGGCCGACCCTGTTTCGGGACTGCTGACCTCGACGGAGAGCACCTCTACCTCGCTTTGGTGGTTGTGCTTGTGCGCATGGCCGTGGTCGTGGTCGTGCTCGTGGCCATCGCCAGCTCCATCGCCGTGGTGCTCCGCCAAGTCCTTTGCGAGCGCCCCATCCACGCCAAAGATCAGATCCGCCGAAACCCAGCCTTTCTTGCTCTTGACCCAGGCCACGTCCACCTCGAGATCGCCCAGCCGGTCCAGGCAGATGTCGAACCTCATCTCCGAGCACGGCTCCCACTTGTTGAAGACGACCAGGTCCGTGTATCGCGCCTGGATCCGCGCCGTGTAGCTCGTGTCTTCGTAGCCCTCCCAGTTCTCCACGTCAATCACGCTCACGACACCGTCGAGCGTGTACCTCCCCGTCTCCTCGCCAACCTATTCACCTCGAGGGCGAGCGTGGCCGGGAACGCCGACCCCGACGTCTCGACGATGATGCGGTCCGGCGTCACCGTCTCGCGCAGCTGCTCGAGAGCCTCGCCCAGCTGCCCGACGAGGTTGCAGCAGATGCAGCCGTTGAGGAGCTCGCGCACGCCCGAGATGGCGTTGGACGAGGCCAGCTGCGAGTCCACCGCCAAGTCCCCAAACTCGTTCTTGAGAAGCGCGAGCTTGTAGTCCGGGTTCGTTTCCTTGAGCTGCGGGATAAGGTTCAAGATGAGCGTGGTTTTGCCGGCGCCGAGAAAGCCCGTGACGATGGTGATGGGAATGGCCGCCATGGTTCCGAAATTTCGAATGCTAACTCCTGGACCGAGAATAGAGCTCGTAGGGCCAAAGCTAGAACCTTATTTTCCGTTTTTGAAAACCCTTTTGCTTCACTTCGCGCAACCGGCTATGCAACGTTGAGCTTGTTGGCAGCTCTAGAAAGATTGGGACGCCCTTTTAGTGGGGTTTACGTGATTTACAAGCATCAATGGCCGTTTTATTTTTCCGGCTGAGAGGCTTCCAAGTATCTTGGCTGCCCCGCTCCCGCATGAGATGAGTTGGAAAAGTGGGATTCTTTTTCAAGAGCATGCGCTGATCGAGGCAAGTTCCAGCTAGGAAGTACCCGCTTCAAGCCATCAATGATGCTGCAGCAGCTTGACGCAAGTGGAGGATAGAAGCTGATGGTGTCGTTAGAAGCGGCTACAATAAGAAAATCACACTACATGGGTCGTCCCATTGTCTCGAGAGCTTTTTCTTTTTATAGCGGGGTGAGGCGAGGTCAAGCCGTATCCACCTGGCGTTTCCTTCTGAAGATGAGGGCCAAGGACACTTGCGGTCCATCGTCAGAACTTGGTGGCTTGGTAAGAGATTTTTTCTCAATGCCGCCTCGGGTGTGGCCATTTAGTTGCAGCCATTGATCCCCTGAGCTTGTTCTTGGAAGACGTGCGCACTGCGTACGAAGTTCAGATGCGGCGCGTGCCTTTTAACAGTCTGACTTCCACGTTCTACGTTTCTGGTCGTCTGTTTACGAGGTCAAGGTCGGCGGCTTCTTCCCATCTCCGTGCATACACAAACAGCCCTCAGATTGCAATAGCATGTACCCTATCTTTTGGCATCTCGTTTAACCGAATAGAATCGGCCAGAGACTTCCTATCAAGGGTAAAAATTCGTCTCCTGAGCGATCCTCCACTAGGGAGAAAGGCAACTCGACACTGTAGATATCGGAATGTCGGTCGTGGCAGCTCAGTGATTGCTTTTTGATAGAGAAGAAAAGAAAAAAGGAAAAAGCTTTGCAAGGGCGCGGCAGTGCGCTGGCTTTTATTGAGAAAAACTTTCCGAGTTGTGGGATGAGTCAGCTCATTCTCTCTCTTTTTCTCAAGCGCATGGCCCAGTTGTCGTCGGCTGGCTAGAAAGCAACGCAGAACTAAGAATCTACGGCTAAGCATTGAATTAGTTATGATGCGAACGTTTTCAAGACGGCGTTTAGATACAACACTTCAAACAATAATTCTCTTTCAATATTAAGAATAAACGAGAAAATTCTGTCGCTATGTTACATTCCATGCATTGTTGTTCCCAGCCCCGAGATAGTCCCTCGCTCCCCTCCTTCTCCTCTCCTCTCCTCACAATCCGAAGCCCTCTCAAGGCTTCCTAAACCCTTTGCCTAGCAGTTCGGAACCAACCTCCGTGACGAGGTTCTGGTTAGGAAACACCTTCTTCTTTGCAGTGACTGTAGATTCCGCGTCCAAAGCCCTCAAGAGGTCTGCGAGTTCGCTATCCAACGGTGTCTCGTAGACCAAATGACCCAGCGCCGCCAACATGCCGTGGAGGGCCTCGGGTGACGAGTCCTCCTGCCCTATCGCTTCGAGGACCGATGCTGCTAGCTCCACTTGGTCGTCTTCCGGTAGCGGGTGCCCATGGCCTCCTCGCCTTACCTGCTCATTAGCGAGAGTAACGTTGAACATGAGCGATGCTGCCGACACGCGCGTGTTGCTATGTGCATCGTCGAGGAAGCTCGATGAGATGAGCTCAATAATCTGTCTTCTCTGCCCCTCTTTGAAAGGATCTCGTCGGCGTAGAGGTGCGATGAGAAGAGGTTGCACGCCATCTGGAGGGTAACGAGCCTCAAGGCATAAGGGCAGGACGTCGACTCGTTCACCTTGGTGAGAATGCTAGCTACGGTTTTGTGCTCCGCTTCTTCCGCAAAGAACCCGCTCATCCGGGCGTCTGCAAGGGCGCACCTGAATAGGTCGACGACGGAGAACAACACCTCTATGGGTAACGTTTCTACCGATTCTTGGATAAAGGAAGCGACCGCCTTGACATCGGGCAACGTTGCAGATGCCGGGCCATCCTTATCCCGGGATGCTATAAAGCGGGTGAGATCCGCGACCGCCGGGTTCTGCGATGCGGCGCCCATTTTGGCTAGTAGTTTAGGCACCGGCGGGACCTTGGAGTAGAGGACTGGTTTGGGGGAGGTCCGGAGAAGGTCGGGAGATTCAACGACCTGTGAGGGTGCGTGGGCCACGCCATCTGCACAAGCAATTCTATGTTCCCGCGTAACTGGGCAGGGTTCGCTCCAGTCCACGTGTTCTCCTGTTGACCTTTGAGGAACGTGGTGAAGGTCGGTGTGGCCCTGACCGAGTATCGTTGGCCAACGTCAAAGGCGTGGCCGATGTCCACCTTGATGAGGTAGCCTCGCTCACCAACCTCGGCAGCAAGCTGGTCGTATAGCGGGTACGCTGCCTTGCAGGGCGGGCAAGTCGCCGAAGTGAAAAATACGACGGCGCATGATGCTTTCGCCTGGTCCAGTAAGGTGTCGAGCTCCTGTAAGTTATTGACAACCCTCACCCGCCCACCTTGCTGGCCAAACGCTGCGGTAGGAGGTGCTTGAGAGGTGTCTTGGATGCCCAAGATAGACCCGCGTTGTCTGGTCGCGTTTACGCTCTGGGTAAGCTGCGGGAGGAGCATTCGCCCCATGGGTGAATCTAGGACGGCTTGCGGCATGTGCAGGATATGGTCCGGAATGCCTTCCCCGACGAGAAATGTCGCAAGCGAGTCGGAAAAGTTGTTACAGTTGTGTTTGAAGAGATCATAGGCCTAACTCGAAAGTTAGTCAGAATGCACGCTTTCCAAGGTATATCTATCAGCAGCCCCGGGCTTGCTCCACGTGAAAAAGCGGCGGGTTGCTGGACAAGAAAGAGATACCTCAGCTGTGAATATCGGCCGTAGAGACTCGATATACTCTTGTACGACATCCATGGGCAATTCCGTCTTCCCCAAGGGTAACCGCTCCAAAGGACGGCCTAAGTGGGAGGACCCCGGGATGATGGAGACAATGCCTCCATCATACACGTATTCGCGCCCATTGAGTTCGATGGACGTGTGATATATGGCATCAAGTTGGAAGCCTAAAAGGCCCATGGACATGTTGCGAGCAAGGCCCTGGGACAGGTCGTAGACAAGGAGATGGACGTCCATCACGACTGTGTCCCGCAGGTTGAACCCGCCTGGCTACTAGAATTTGGCTAGCGCAAAAGATATCCTAGAGACAGAAGAGAGTTTGTGTACTCGTGTCAATCAAAAACCTATCCAGTGCAAGATAGCGACCCGCCCAAAAGGAACACAGGTGTCGTGACAGTTTTCTATAATAATTATAATAAAAAACGTTGGGAGACTGGGAGGGGATGAGAGGTAAAGTGGCGACCAATATCAAAAGAAGGATTTGTCAAGAATAGGCGTCATTGTTCCCCTCCACGATATTATATCAATGCCCGCCGAAAAGGCAACAGCAGCTTGCGCAAAGCCGCGCCTCGCTCTCCGTCGCTTCCGCCACCTCTTCAACTCGGAGGCCAGATTAACAAAAGAAATTTGATAGTTTAGTTCGCATTGTCCCTTTTGACTTAATTTTTTTTTTTTTTTTTTTTTAAAATTTCTCCAGTTTGGGTTTATTTTGCTGAGTTTTCCGCTTTTCCTCCTTTTGTTCTGGTTTTTCCTTTGTAAGATTTTCATGCTTATTATACTTGTATGTCGACGACCAAGACATCTTCGGGAGTCCTTTCCCAGCACCGAGCACCGGACTCGCGGAACCCGAAAAGAACTTTAGATGTGAGGCTAGCCTGATGATGTCCAAAACCTCATCTATCATTGTCACCATGAGTCTATATGAAGGAATGTGAAGCTAGCAGCGTTTTGAAACTGAAGGTCTTGCTTGGGTTGCGACTCGGACACTTTCTGTAGTGTTTGGACACTGAGGAATGAGGGAGAGCGGAAACGGCCTAATGGCGCTAGGGAGGTTGAAGCTATGGCTAAATGCTGGCGACGACAACGGGAGATCTACATTGATGGCCACCAACACCTCTGGAATGTACAAGGCAAAAGCGACTGTGTGAATGCCCCGAGGTTGCAGCTAAATCCCGAAAGAAATCCATCAATCCGCCCACCATCTTGAGAGAGAACTGCGGGAGGAACAACTTTGCCGCCTCCACCAATCGAGTATCGATACGGGGCCCTGAATCGTGCATACAGCCACATCTAGTGTACTGGTGGATCTATCGGGATGGGTGCAAGCTGGTTTTGATCCGTTGTAATATCATCAACAGGACTGGGTGGCTTGACGAGCCAATCTCGAGTGTTGGTGGCTATGGCGAGGAACTCTGGACGCATAAAGTACCTGTTCTCCAGTGAAGTGCTTGGCCTTGGCTGGGTCCCGGTTGGAACTCCACTACGGACTTGGGGCAAGGTTATTCCTCAATCAATCGACTGAGTCGAGGTATGGATCAATGTACCTATCCGTACTAGCCATGCAGGAGAAGTAACTAGGAGTGACCTCCTTAACCCCTATTTTCCCTAGATTTTTCTCCTGAAATTTATCCTCCCCTTTGTCCATCACGTCTCTCTGCCTTGATTTTCTTTTCCTTATCCATCCGCTTTTCCCATCATCCATCCTTCTCGGTGGCACCCAGCTTTCTCCTTGTGCCTCTTGTGTTTGTTCCGCTGATACTTTTTGTAATCGGGTTTCTGAGATTGTCTCGGCGACTCACCCAGTCTTTTTTTTTCTCCCTCTTCACCACTCTCGTTTCATCCAATCTATTTTCTCCCCTTGGTTCATAACCTTGACTTTCGCCTGACGCGCTTCCTTGACGGTCTTCCACTCCTTTACCACATTACCCACCCTATCCGCTCTCTCCCCTTTCCACGAAACACGAAACATTTTTATCTAGGATACACTGCTGCGATTATTGGGTTTGGAACGATTCGCTCTTTGGAAATAGAGAGGTTATGCGGCGCACGTCGGTCTCGTTGCCTACGAAGCACGTCGCTCACGATCCCCACGAGAAGCCTGCCCGATACGGATCCAACAACCACAACGAGAACGGAATCCTTGCGAATTTGAAAGCCGTCTGGATGTCTCAAGCACAGAAGGCCCGATGGGCGAAGACGGCGGCGATAGTACTCGTCCTGGTCGGCTTCTTCTACTGGCTATCGCCCAAGGGCGTTGATATCTATAACGGAGGTTTGTGTGCCCCCTTTGCTCTCCAAGGCAAATTCTTTTTTTTTTTTTTTTTTCTTTTTTTCATCAAACTAACATGCCTGTCTAGGGGTTTCCCACTCCAACTCTGGCCAAGTCCCCAGCGACTCGTCGTACGGAACAGACCGATGCACGCGCTCCTACTCCAAGGACAAGCCCATCGTTCAGTATGTCCTGATGATCGATGCGGGCAGCACTGGCTCTCGAATCCACGTCTACAAGTTTAACAACTGCGGTCCCACCCCGAACTCGAGCATGAGGAGTTCAAGATGACCCAACCCGAGGTTGGTGGCCTTAGCAAGTATAAGGACGACCCCGAGGGCGCCGCTCGCACCCTTGACCCGCTCATGGCGGTTGCTATGAGCACCGTTCCCGATAAGCTCAAGGCTTGCAGCCCCGTCGCTGTCAAGGCTACCGCTGGTCTTCGCATGACTGGCGAAAAGCAGGCCGAAAAGATCCTCGAGACTGTTCGCAACCATCTCGAGACCAAGTACCCCTTCCCCGTCGTCTCCAAGGAAGACAACGGCGTTGCCATCATGGATGGTTCCGATGAAGGTGTATACGCTTGGATCACCACCAACTACCTCCTCGGCAAGATTGGCGGCCCTGACAAGAGCCCCACTGCTGCCGTCTTTGATCTCGGCGGTGGCTCTACCCAAATCGTCTTCGAGCCCACCTTCAAGGATGCTCCTCATGGCGGTATGCCCGAGAAGCTTGCCGATGGCGATCACAAGTACGAGCTCGACTTTGGCGGCCGCAAGTTCACTTTGTACCAGCACTCCCATCTCGGCTACGGTCTTATGGCTGCCCGTGAGGCTATCCACAAGGCGCTGGTGCAAGGCGTCTACGATGAGCACAAGGAGAGCAAGAGCTGGATGTCGAAGCCCGTTGTACACCCCTGCATCGCTCCTGGCATGACTCGCGAGATTACCGTCAAGATGGGCGACAACCATCCCCTCGGCGAGAGCGTCACCCTCAACATGACGGGTCCTTCCAACCCCGGCCCTGCCCAGTGCAGGAACATTGCCGAGCAGATTCTCAACAAGGACAAGTCTTGCGGCCTTGCCCCTTGCTCTTTCAACGGCGTCCACCAGCCTCTCCTCTCCAAGACCTTTTCCAGCGAGGATGTCTACATCTTCTCCTATTTCTACGACCGCACCAAGCCGCTCGGCATGCCCGACTCCTTCACCCTCCGCGAGATGCACGACCTCACCAACACTGTTTGTGGTGGCGAGAGCGCCTGGGATGTCTTCTCCACCGTTCCCGATGCCCTCGACGAACTTCGCGATCGCCCCGAGCACTGCCTTGACCTCAACTTCATGCTTGCTCTCCTCCACTCTGGTTATGACATGCCTATTGAGCGCGAGGTTCGCATCGCCAAGAAGATCAAGGGCAACGAATTGGGCTGGTGTCTTGGCGCCAGGTATGTTTCTCTTTCTCTTTCCTCCCCCGGCTTACTCTGCCCGTTCACCAAAAGCACTCGACTAACATGATTTTCTTCTCTCTAGTCTCCCCCTCCTTGCTCCCAACTCTGGCTGGAAGTGCAAGATCTCCGAGATCCACTAAAACATGCGACGTGTTATAACCTCGCTTTTTTGGCGAGGCAAGACCCAGAGATGCGCTACCTACTCTTAATTAGCTGATGCACTAAGCAGCGAGAGGTTCTTTGGGCGGCCCGTACAGAACGAGACTAGAGACTATGACGGCTCGTTTCTCGATTTACCTTTTTATTTTTATTTTTAATAACGGATGACATGATGTAAAAGAAAGAGGAAACCTCGCTTGTCGCGGCTAAAGGCAAGACGAAAGGCGCAAATCACGACTGGCAAAACATGGGCAAAAGGAGGCAAAGAATGGCAGTGGAAAAAGTATGCTGCTCCGGGGGCAGCATGCCTCCTCCAATTAGGCCCCAATGTATCATATTCTAATCTCGTTGCTTCTCCTCCTCTTGTTTTTAATTTACTGCTTGGGTATACGATACAGAATTATCCTAGGCATTTATCAAGTACCCACAACTGCAGCTCTCACTCCCTTTTTCCCATTGAATTCAGATGATGTACACGAAGAACGCTAGAGAGGGGAGGAACCATGCCTAGCACGTCCTCAATGATATCCTCAGGTCCGACCCCGTCGAGCAATGTCTCAACAGCTTCGGTTCTACTGCCCCACTGTACACTCCTCTCACGTTCCGGGTCTACCACCTCGATCCGATGCGGATAGATTTTGCGGGCGGCGAGGGCAACGAGAGCGGGCGTGACGTAGTCGACCTTGTGGAGAGGCGCGAGGCAGCGGACGAGGTGGTCGAAGTGCTTGGTGGCCATCGGGAAGCGCCGCGGGCGAAGGCGCGGTGCATGCGGAGGAAGGAGACGATGTTCATCTGGTAGCGGAGGACGTCGATATCCACCTTTACGTTTTGGCTTAATTCGGCGAGACGGCTTATATCCTGTCGGGGGAGGGGTCCCAAACAACATGCATGAGTCAGATGTGTGCATGGCAAAAGTTGCGGCATGATTCCACTTACCCCTTCCGAGAAGAGAGCTCGTTCTGGGCGTCTCGCCTCCTCCGAGCGGCTTCTTCACCACGACTACGCTCTCGGTGGAAGCTGTCTCTACGTCGTCGCCTACGTCGAGACCTTCTTCGAGGCGGGGAAGCCATCCTCGAGGTCGTGATAGTGGGATATGAAGAAGAGGTCGTTGAGGTGGGGCGTCAAGCCCATGGTAGTGCGCCGGGCATTGCGGGCGCGACCCGTGGTGAGGACGGGGACGAAAAGGAAGGTCTTGGGGGCGGCTTGCACGGCGGTGCGGGTGAAGACGCGGCGGGTCCTCAGGAGCTCGAGGGCCTGGATTTGCACGGCTTTCGGGGCGCGATCGAGGTTGCGCGCGAGGACGAGTTCGGCGATGGAGAAGGTGGCGGGGGAAGAAGGTTGGCGCCGGGAGCGGTGGTGGAAGGACCGCCGACGCCGACGCCGACGCCGACGGGGGTGGTGGGCGAGACTGGGGGTTGATGGGGAGAGGGGGCGAGGCCCGAGGCGCCGGGGATGCGGGGGTGGGTGTGGAAGTAGGAGTCGGCGCGGGGAGGAAGGGGAGGTGGTTTGCGAGGGAGGTGGCTGCTGGGTGGAGAGGAGGAGGGCGGAGACGAAGTCGTCGAGGGTGGTGGTGGGGTGGCAGTCGATGATGACGGAATTCAGGCCAAAGGTTTTGCGGCGATCTGTGGTAGACCTGGGGTAAGCAAGGAGGTGGGTTTTGTGGCGGGGAGGTAGGTTGGGACTTTGGGGGGGACAAACAAGTTGTAGTTCCTCGAGGAGGTTGTTCAGGGCCGAAGGGTGGGTGGTGATGATGCAGTGCTCACGGCTCATGAGGCTGATGAGGAAGGCCAGCTCCAAGTCGCTCAGGCCCTGGGCGCGGGTGAGGAGATGCTCGTCGTCTGCCATTCCTGCCTCCAAGGACGACGGTGAGTCGGTCAGGGCCAGATTAGAACTAAAATACTACCATACTATCGTCACTGGCCATAATTGTCTAGGTGAGCGGGCGCTTTCGCTCCAAACGTTGAGCGAGGCCTTGCCGACAGCATCCGCGTCGAGGCTGTGAAGAGCCGATGGTGGGATCAAGGTTCTGTAAGCCAATAGAGAGTTGGTGGAGGACAGGGCCCCAGCCTAATACTAGCCTAATGCATCAAGGATCAATCAATTCCAGTGCTGGCGGAACTTGGTAATTACTTCGTCCATTGATGGGGGCCTTGTACACTTTGGCGACCGAAGGTTGCATTCTCCCACTGTAGTAAATCACGTGTGGGCATCTATGCCACGGGACCTGCCAGAGACAGGCAACATGGAACCAGACTGGAACTGTCGTCCTGATGATGATGGCATGCAGGTACTATCGCTGATGGCTGCTTCCAGCTTGTGATTAAAATGGGTACACGGACTTTGATGGAGCGGGTGGTGCAGCCATCGTTCGTCACCTCCACTACGGTCGGATTGCAACAATGCTTTAATTTACAATGCTGGCGGAACCTGGATTGAGGGTATTATTTCAATTCAGAAGATTGGGGTGCTCGTTGTAACGAACAGGCGCCCTTACCGCCGTTTCCCAGCGGTCAAATCTACGTGTGGAATAGTGGAAAGGGTTGAGATCAATCAAATGGGCAGTGGATCCGCCTCCCAAAGCGTCTGGCGGCCAAGCAGGCTGTGGCAGGGGGAGTGGGGTCGAAGGCGGCAGCGTCTCTGGCTGTTTGCACATCCAGCAGCTATGTACATCAAATTGCATCCAGTCTGATTATTAGGCGGAGGTATTTCCTGTCAAAAAGTCCTGGCGCTACTCCCAAAGAACCACGACCAACCTCCGACCATCCCAACTGCACCAAACTCCCAAGCTCTCTCGCCCTCTTCTTTTCCGCCTCAACTGCCTTTTTCGAGCGATTATCCCCTCCCCGATCATTTTCCTTTCGAGCGGAATTACCTACACCTCCTTTGCCACCCGTATCGCGGTTCCCCGAGCCTTATCATTTCAGCTGAAACACCTGCTCTCCCGCCGAGAGCAGACTCTGAGCTCCGCTCATAACGTCATCGACCAAAAATCAGTCACACGAGGTGTTGAAAGCCCACCATGGCAACGAGGAAGAAGGTTCTCCTCAAGGTGAGCCCGACTGCATTCGCGATGGACGAATATTTCGAGAGCTAGAAGAGTCAAAGAACTAACTAGGTGTTTTGCGCCCGTCTTAGGTCATTATCCTTGGAGACAGCGGGGTTGGCAAAACGAGCTTGATGAACCAATATGTATGATCGATCCAGGAGACACCCTCCCCCAACGAGATTGGGCTACGCCTTCGGACCCCTAGGAAGCTAATATCTCGATTTCGTTCCGCTCGGGGAAATAGGTCAACAAGAAGTTTAGTGCAAGCTACAAGGCAACTATCGGTGCCGATTTCCTCACGCGAGAAGTCCTCGTCGACGACCGTCAAGTCACAATGCAGGTACGGGAGGGAAACCCACCGCTCCGGCGGAATGCCCGTGAAGGAAATGGCTAATAATTTTCTATTTGTAGCTCTGGGATACTGCGGGACAGGAGCGATTCCAGTCTCTAGGTGTTGCTTTCTACCGAGGCGCCGACTGCTGCGTGCTAGTCTACGACGTGAACAACTCCAAGAGCTTCGACGCCCTTGACAGCTGGAGAGACGAGTTCCTAATTCAAGCTTCACCAAGAGACCCGGACAACTTCCCCTTTGTATGCTTCGCTCTTGTTATCCCCAACCACTTGGTCGGAGACGCTAACCCCTTGGCGCAGGTGGTCCTCGGTAACAAGATTGACATGGAAGAGAGCAAGCGTGTGATCTCAACGAAGCGAGCGATGACGTTTTGTCAGTCCAAGGGCGGCATCCCCTACTTCGAGACGAGTGCGAAGGAAGCCATCAACGTGGAGCAGGCTTTCGAAGGTAAAGACCCAGATCGATCCGCTCATCCGTTCAGCCCCGTAGGGAAGAGGAAACTAACAGGCTGCCATAGTAATCGCTCGAAATGCCCTCGCCCAAGAGGAATCTGAAGAATTCAGCGGCGACTTCCAGGATCCCATCAACATTCACATCGACCCCGACCGAGACGGATGCGCCTGCTAAGCAAATCCCAACACCCAATTTCAGCCGTTTCCCTTTGGAGAAATGATTCCATTGGTGTTTTTCTTCCCTCCCTCGGCCCTATCCTCTCGGCCCATTGTCGTCGATTTTGCCTGCTATGCATGCCTGATCCGTCGTTGCAGCCCGAAGAGGCGCCCTGCAAATCTGGAACTGTGCCAACCAGCGGCCAGGATGTAGTATACGGAGTGTTTCTGCTTGTGTCCTGCCTCGGATCGCCCCTAATATGTGTTTTCCCAAGGCTTAGGTTGTTTCTGGACATCCCTATCATTTTCCACCTGTCTCTGCGCTTGTTTTGGTTCTATTTTTTTTCCTTCTCTCTTTCGTTTCCTTTTCTTTCCTTTTCTGCGTAATGTGGGGAGGGCGTTAGCATATATCACTCTGGCTAGTATTGGCCGTACATGTTTTCGGGCAAGTCCAGTTAGAGGTGAATGATGACACTGGTAGATAATATATCAAATGTGTGGTTGACCTGCTGGCGACATGTGCTTCGGTAGCTTCATGTTGAATGGTGCTGACTCTGGCCCGAAGAACCGAGACCTCGACAGCCCAGCCCTGAGAGAAAAACAGAGAAGGGAAGAAAGGGGGAGGAAAGGAGAGAAGAGAGCTAGACTCTTCTGCAATGAAGAAAAGAAATGGCAACGAAGTAGTTATCAAGCCTTGAATACGGAGAGGATCTTGCCGGCACCAACTCAATCTCGACGACGTTAAGCAGTAGAAGCTCTGTTCCGGATACTCGAATGCTTGGTCAACGATGCATTCAGAAGAAACCTCTAGTGTCAAAACCATATCCTCTCCCAAGCCCTGTATTGCAAGTAGAATACGCTTCGACTTGTGGGCATATTTTATTGCTTCCTCATAGGCGTAGACTTTGAAAGTCCTAATCTTACCCTGGTTTTCAGTTACTATTTGTAGATATTTATGGATACTGAAAGATAGTACATTTGGGCAGGAGCTAAGAGTCTGAATAAGCTAAATTATTTTGAGGTCCTCCTTTTTGGCCTTTCACATGTGTGTGCGAAAAGACTTGAATCGTGGGAATGAGTGGCAGGATAAAGCGGACAATAAGATATCACCATTAGTGCGTGTATGCATTGTGGTGTCTCCATGAATGGGCTACACTAGGTAGTTTGCTTCTAGTGATAAATGATAACAATGCAAGGAAAGTTCACTGTGTGTTCAAAATTGATTTGATGTTTCAGCTCCGAGTGGTGCTCCGAGTGGTGGATGGAAGTGAGGTCGCTGCCAAGGCCCGGCCACCCAATCGATACAGTGCCCAGCTCTCGAAATTAATATTGAACGGGCCAAAGAGACGTGGACATCTGCCCTCCGGCTCGCTCGTGCTCATGTTTAAACCTCTCTCCCTCCCACCACATCCGAAATCAACCGCCCAAAGACCGCTGGCCGAACCCGCCCGTTTTCTCGGATACGCATCTTGCCATCCTGCCCTTTTTCATCCTGGTCCTTCGATGCCGAAATTCTGAGCATCCTCCGAGTGAGCAGGAGTTTAATCCATTCCCATAGACAGAGCGAGCCACCCCATGCGACGACGACTTTCGAGATTCCCGGTTGCGACGGCCCCCGTGCTCACACATCGCTTCTCTTCGACGTACCCGGCCAACTTCGACCCCCAGCGGTATTTCGCTAGCTACGATAACTGAGATCCCGGCTCTATCTTTTTTCGTTCCAGAAACCTCTTATTGTGTCCGACGTCATTGACGCACGCCCAATGATTGCAATAGGGGCCTGTAACACCTTTATCTGAACCCCCAACCGACCTCTCCCCTCCCTCCCTTCCTCCCCCGGCGCCCACCTTCGACGCCAATACGCGCGCCAGCCGTGACGATGAACGAATCCCTGGCTCCTGCGGAGCTCGCGGCTCCGAGATTATCGATATCCGTCCCACGATCTAGTAGCGATGGCCGACGTCTATCATTGCAAAGTCCAGTCCATAAGAGTGCCAGTGTCAGTGGGTCGCCGCTTCTGAATCGGTTAGGACTTGGTGGTGTTGCGAGGAGGACTTTGGGTATATGTCTACTCCTGGTCACCGTCTTCCTATGGACGCTGGCCAACTTCCTAGCGAGCGTGAGTCTAGCCAGTCCCCCCTCTTCCTCTCCCGCGACGACAGGCCACGGACGCTAACTTGTTACGTTTCCCTTGGCCGCCGTAGTCCATCTACTCCGACAACACCTATGACAAGCCTTTTCTCGTCGTCTATGTCAATAGTTCGGCATTCGCCATCTCCTAGTCGTCATGACGGCGCGCTACATCATAAGACATGGGTGGCCGCATTTCAAATCCGAGGCTGCGCAGGTATGGCAAGAGTACAAGACGGGCGCGCGGAGCCGCATCCCAACTGTCGAGGACGACGACTTCACGGCGGGCGAGCGCCTTTTAGATGACGAGGATGGCAGCCTGGAAATGTTCGATCCCCGAGCCAGCGACGACGGCAAGCTCACCTTCCTCGAGACGGCGAAACTCTCCCTAGAATTTTCGATGCTATGGTTCACTGCCAACTACTTTGCGTCGGCATGTCTCGAGTACACAAGCGTGGGGAGCGTGACCATCCTGACGTCGACGAGTAGCGTCTGGACCCTCGTGTTTTGCTCGCTCCTGAGAGTCGAGTCGTTCACCTCGAGAAAGCTCATCGGGGTCATGGCGTCGTTGGCCGGTGTCATTCTCATCTCGACCGTGGATTTGACGGGCAGCAACGACGAGAATCGCGGGTCGTTTCCCCACAAGACTCTGTCGCAGATTGCCATTGGCGATGCCATGGCGTTTGTGAGTGCCATCATCTACGGGCTCTACGTGACGGTGATGAAGCTTCGGGTTGGGGATGAGGACAGAGTCAACATGCCGCTCTTCTTTGGCCTGGTCGGCGTCTACTGTCTCGTCTTCCTCTGGCCCATCTTTTTCATCTTGCACTTCACCGGCCTCGAAACTGTAAGTCTACATACCGACTGTGCCTGGTGCCAGCCTACCCTGCCCCCTTTGCATGACTCCAGCCCGCTAATTGTATGCATCGTAGTTTCAAATGCCCCCGACTGCTAAGATCTGGGTCATCGTTTTGGTAAGCTAGTCCTCTTCACCCCATCCCTTATCCATTTTCCCAACCCTCGCCGCTAACCTACTCTCCTTTTCTCTTCGCTAGGGCAACTCCGTGGCGTCTTTCGTCAGCGATATCTCGTGGGCGTATGCCATGCTCTTGACCACGCCGCTCGTCGTGACGGTGGGCCTATCTCTAACGATCCCGCTCTCTTTGATCGGAGAGATGATCCAGTACTCGCAATATTCAAGTGTGGTGTACTGGATCGGGGCGGCTGTCGTGTTCGTTTCCTTCTTGTTTATCAACCACGAGAGCCACGAGGACCCAGCGGCCAAGACGCAGAGCCAGCACGAGGAAGGAAGGTTATAAGAAGCATTTGCAATGGCGTCTGGGAAATTTAAAACCATCCATGTTCGAACAACGTTACGAGAGGTCGCCTTTATTCCTTTCCTCCAATCCTTGCCGACTTGCCTTTCGTATAGACCTTGGATGAGCTCCCATCTATGGTCTTGATGTATTTATGTATTTCTTTTCTCCCAATGTTTTTTTCTCGTCCTTTTTCTTCTTCTTTTTCTCTGGCATTTCGCATTTTGCCTTGTACGGCCTATACTTGCTCGACAACGAAGTGTCATTTAATAGCGTGGGCGACGTGGAAGACAACATTGAAAGGACATGTGGAAGAGGGTGGCAGAGCCCCTCCCTACTGGTCGGGAAAAAGAAAAGTGGTGCAGGTGACGCAACGAGTCGCCAACTGGAGCCTATGTTGGTGTTTTGGATAGCAAGCACTCTTTCGATCATCCTTAGTATTATAGACTTATCGCGGATAAAAACCGGGTTACCGTCGAACGCAACGTATTTCTTCATCCTAAGCTCCCCCGCTCCCCCAAAGTCGTTGTTCGCTTCTAAACCTCTTGGCTCCATAAAAAGCCGCAATGTCCCTTTTCCCCAGTGCGTGTGATGTGATTTTGCGAAAAGGGAAAAGAGGGAGTGTAGGCAAGAAAAGGTGGACGGACACTGCTTGCTTCCCTGATGATGTCGGGGAATACTATGCAGTATGGCTTGGGAGGCACCCGGTGTTGGGGGTCAACAAGGTGGCGGCCAATCAAGGCCCGTCCCATCCCCCAGCGCACGACAGGCCAAGCGTGGAGACACGAGTCACACCTGAAGGGTTCGTTGACTGATTGATACGCATCCGAAGCACATCATTGCCCAAGACTGCTGAGCAGCATACATGTAGGTATTTGATCGGTCGGTCGCTACATGCTACATGCAGTGCCGGGCCCTCTTGACCTCGGTGCTGGGGCCTGCAAGTCCGATTCGGCAAGCGGTGGACAGCCCGTCCGTCCACCATCCCCATCAAGAAGGGAAGAGCAAGGGGTGAGGAAAGGGAGTAATAAAAATATACGATTGCCCGATTTCCTGCATTCGGGAAAAGCGTTTCTTTTGAGGAAGGGATTGACAGGAGCTTGATCCACTCGCTCACACGTTCATATCGACAACCCACACCGACTTCGTTCTAGACCTCGTGGCGTCGCAGCGGGGCTCGAAAAGCTGGTCACGGAACCCAAAAGCCCCCATTTCTGTAGTGGGGTTGTCTCCCTCTCTGGCGCCTAATCGGTTACATTGGATGATGTTTTTAGTTGACTTGGTTGACGTGGGCTCCTCCTCGACCAAACTAAACCGTTGACTCTTTTTTTCTTCTTTCTCCCAGGAAGAGGGGTACTCGCCCGCCTCCTGGCTGGTAGGAAAGAAAAAGGTTGAGCATGGCTCGGAAGAGGTGTGGCAAACAACGTGTGACTACTTCGCCGTGGGTATGTTTGATGTACCCTCGACTGGTTTCTTTTTGTTGCGTCTCCACGGAACTGGTTCACATTCCAGAACCTCGACGCCCAAAGTAATATGGCGACGGATCAATAGATGCATTGGATTCAACCCCCAGAGTTCTCCCATCTTCATTTCAAAAATCCTTGCTTAGTTGAAAGCAATCCGCAGCTTTCGAGGGAAGCTTCTGCCTCGAATAGACAAGGATTCTTGTCGCCGGTGACGGGTCCTTGTGCAGGGTTGCGCCTCCGCCTCCAAGCAGGGACGTTCCGATATCGACGACGGCGTTTTCTCCGGTGTGATGTAGATGCAGGAAGAAGCGCCTTTTCGTTCAATATATCAACTTACGATCTCGCCCCCTCAGGCGCGCCCTCCCCCTGCGCTCATTATTTTTTTATTCTTACATCTTGTCTCCTTGCAGCCCACGTTGTGTGTTTTTTTCATCTTTCCCTATTTACCCCCTCTTCTCTCCTTGTCGCGCTTCATCGCTCGTCATCCCAAACTAAGCTCAGACTCAGCTAGCCTCCAAATCCTGGTGACCCTGGCCTGCCCCTCCTATTCTATTCCCCTTCGGACCCCTCCAAAGGGGTTGAGTGTGGCTTCAGCCCACCCTTTTCTGGCAGGCTTTGACAGGAGCCAACCCGGGTCTCGCCGTTCCTTCCTCGCGCCATCCTCCCACGCGCCTTCCACTACAGCTACACGAACCACGAGGTTCCAGGGTACTCTCAGGGCTCTGTGACAGTACCCGCTCCTCCCCGACCCCGGACGAGTGGGGCTTTTGTGGATTTCACGACAGTTTGGGACGGTGCAAGGGATCATTAGTACAGAGACCCAACATTTACACGAGTCGCTGTCCCGGCAGCCTGCTACTATTTTTGTGGCTGCCTCCAGTTTTCTTTTTCTCTTCAAAACCCTCCGGCCCTCCCTCCCTCAACTTTTTCTTTTTGGTTTGGGAATATCGTTTTCAACATTTTTGTCTCACCTTGGATCTCACTCCATATTCACTCCCCCATGACGGGGGACGTTTGAGGAATCGAGTGCGCTCCAGCAACCCTCTTTTGAATAGGCCCCCTCCTCTGCTTTGCGCCCACTCCTTATCGCCTTTATCTATCACAGCCTCACCTCACCCGACTTTGAGCAACACGCCACTCACTCTAACAAAAAGCTAAGCTCCACACTTTAGGACTGCCCTAAAAGAACCTCATTTTCATTATTATTCCTCTTCTATTGATCGTCAACCGAATCTCTTTTTTTCTTCACCTTTGGATGCAACCATGGCCTCTTCCGAGCCTACCGTAGGTGGAAGGCAGAAAACCGTTGCCGAGTCTTTAAGAGGGGCAACAAGGACGCTTCACAAGGAGCTCAATAGGCTTATTGTCTCTCGGCTCCCGCTCGCGCTTCCACCCCAAACAGTGGACCCTTCCGTTTACGCCTCCGGGATCCTTCATATCGCCCCCGTTTACATTACTTTCGAGTCTCTCTGGCTAGAGATCAATGAAGGCCTCGCAAACCAGATCCCCGCCACTAACACCGCTGGTCAGACTATCCCGCAGGACCCAGAGCCCCTCGCAGGCGGTGGCTCAACCTCTTCTCCCCTGCCAGGATCAGGACTTCCCGGGAGCGCCAGAGTCTCTGAAACAGTCAAGACTTTGCTAAGAAACCTCTACGTCCCTGGGCTGTCACGCTCTGAGGCTCTGAAAAGCGATCTGCGGCAACTGACGGGATGGTCTACCGAAGAAGTGGAGGAACAGCTGCAACACATTTCGTCAACTGGCGCCCTTCAAAAGTTCACTGCCATTATCCAGCAGTCGATCCGCGACAAACCCCATGTACTGGTTGCCTACACTTACATCCTTTACATGGCTTTGTTTGCCGGCGGTCGGTTTATCAGGGCTTCCCTCGAATCTGCCGGGGACGAGTTTTGGGATCGTAGAGCCTCACTGCCGCCGTTGTTGGCGAACACGGGCACCCAACAAGGTTCTACCTTTGTTTCATTGCCCGCGCAGGCGCAATATAGCTCTTCTCAGTTCCCCTCAACTTTTTCCATTTCAACACTCCTCGTGACGGCGAGGATATTAAAGAGGAGTTCAAACAACACTTGTCGGATGCCGAATCGATGCTGACAAGACTGGAGATTGATGACATGGTGCATGAGGCCGTGGTCATCTTTGAAGAAATGCATGCTGTTGTTCACCAGCTTGATGAGCGTTTTACTCCCTTGGATGCCCGAGATGGACCTCTCTTTGCGTTGCCATCCGAACCACACCGAAGCAGGGCGGCTATCACCAAGCAGCGTAGCGAACAGGAAGCAGCTCGGGGTGGTCACGATTCTTACGGCTACAGTCACGACGATTTGGAGTCCAAGATTGTCATTCCACACACTCCGAAAAAGAAGACTGGTCGGTCAAGTGAGGACAGCAGCTCATCCACAAGATCTGTCCGTTTTGTGGAACAGACTCCACCATCAGAGAAGAGAAAGCGAGGCTTTAGTTTTGACGGCCAAGACGACGACACGCTCGGGACCTGGGTCAGGAGTGAAGACTCGATTCTCCGGACGCTGTTGTTGGTGCTGGCCTATGCAGCTGCTCTGATGGGCTTTGGCCTTATTGCTGCCATCACGATCACGAGCTGGTGGAAAGGGAAGCCAGGGTCCACGACGGCCGCGGCGATGGTGGCTGTTGAGGCTGTTGCCGAAGCCGTGGTGGGTAGGAACGACATGGGTCTGTGAAAAGACAAGACGTCTCCATCTACAACACTCAAGACACCTGTGGTCATTCTGTCGGAGGATGGTGGGAGGATCACGGTTGGCTGAAATCATGTCCTGGTCGGGCACATTTATTCCTTTTGTCTAAACTACCGATACCAGCCCAGAGTTTGGGGCATGTCACTTGCTAGTCATTATACCCTATCAATACCAATTTTCCTTTTTTTCCCTTTTGCATATATCAACTTTTTCCCCTACGATGAGGGCTCTATGATTACAACACACTTGGACAATTTTTTTTTTTTTTTTTTTTTTTGGTTCTCGCGTAGATTGAGTAGGTATGAGTGGCATTAGACATCATCACTTTCTTGGACACGCATGGTTGTTTTCCTGAATTCATCTTGATATTGATGTTCATGTATGTTCCTTTAGGAAGACTAGGAGTGTATCCCCGCCGTTCCCCTCTACCAAAGAATAAAAAGGGGGTAGAAAAGGCTACAAAGAAAAAAACCCCTAATGGGAACACGAAGAGTGAGAGGGAGGAGACGCCTCCCTGCTTCCCTGATGCTGTACACTAACGCCTAAACAAAACGCCGATGCCCATGTTTCATGGATGCAGAATGCTGTTATGGAGGAACTCGCTAACATGTGAATAAAGAGACAGAAAAAGAGACAAAAAAGGGACAAAGAAGAAAAAGGTGAATGCGGGTGTGTGGGATGTTCGTTCCTTGCTCCCGCGATCTCTCTCACTCATCGTAAGGGGTATCGACAACGTCGGCCCACCCGGCGTTGAACCTCTCCCCGCCGAAATCGCCGCAGTTCCTCAGGAAGCGGGCCTTGTCGGCGTCTGCGGACCAGAAGCGCACCGAGTAGTCGTCCGAGATGGAGACGAGCTGGCCATCGGCTGTCCACTTGACGGAGCTGACCTCGCGGGAAGTACCCTCGACGAGGGCGACGCCGTTGCGGACGACGGGAGTGCGGGCCGCGGGGAGGAGAGGTCGGATGACTGGGAGGAAGGCGGAGGCATAAGGGAGTCGGGAGCCTGCGAAAGGAGGAGGAGAAGCTTGCGGCGGAGGAGTTGGCGGCGTCGAGGGGCCAGCGGGCGCGGATGGCGCGTTCATCGGTGGGGAAGAGGACGGGGCAGTTGTCGGAGCTACCGACGGCCAGCATCTCCGTGCCCATGACGTGCTCAGGGAGGACGGAGCACTTGATGAAAAAGTGTTGACCTTGAGACGGTCGTGGCGGAAGCCGTAGATGGGGGCGAGGCCCTGGATGTTGCGGCCGTTTCGGGGGCGGGGGTCTCGAGGGTGGCCAGCTCGGGACCGTGGCCGAGGATGAGGTGGCTCGTGGAGTAGGCGTAGACGGTGCCGTTCTTGCAAACGGCGTAGAGGCGAGAAGCGTCCGTGTTGAGGGCCATGGAGGTGATGCCGTAGGGGCGGCGGATGTGGTCCATGGGTTGAGCCGTGTAGGCGAGGGGCTTGGGCTTGTCGTCCCTGGTGTAACCAATGTAGCGGGTATCCCACAGCTTGATGGTCGAATCGGCCTCGGAGGCGGATAGGAGAAGGTGGCTTTGGCCGGGGAGAGCCACTGGAGCGAAGTGACGGAAGCTAGGTTCGAGTCGTGCTTGCGGTAGTGGCCGGACCAGACGGTGTTAATGGGTTCGCCGAAGCACGAGGACGTCGACTCGGAGAGGACCGTGCCGTCGGGCTGGACAAAAACCTCTTCGGGGATCTTGCTGACCGATTTCTTGTATCTCGTGTCCCAGATTTGGATCCGAGATGTCCTGTCCGAGGTGGCCAGGATGTGCCCGCCAACGTTGCCGGGCTGGAATTTGACCTGTCTTAGGCAGCTGTCGTGGCCGCCGGTGAGGTTGAACAGCAGGGTCTGGGAGTTGACGTCGAGAACCCGCGCGCTCCGGTCACCAGCGGCGGTGGCGATGTGGGTTCCGGAAGGCGACCAGTCCAGGTCCATGATGGCGTTGGCGTGGGCTTGCCAAAAGTACTTGGGTGCCAGCTCGCCATCATCCTTGCGGGTGATGAAGCGGACGTAGCCTTCCTCGTCGCCGACGGCCGTGACCACCGTTCCTTGGTGGCTCGTGGTGGCCAAGCTAAAGGGGATCAGATTACTACCGTTCTTAAAGCTCGTGCACTGAACCGTATCGTTGCTCTTGCTGCAGAAAGAGGCTAGATCGGGGTGGGTATCGGGGACTGGGTGCTGGTAGGCGCTAAAGGGGGCCCGAGTAGAGTAGCCGAACTCGCGAGCGACTAGGCGGTCGTGGAAGTTGGAGGGGCGAAACCGCTTGATGGGCTGGGGAGGTGGTGCGGGCTCCTCCATATCCTAACAAGACAAGCGTGACGACGGTTAGCCGACTGGGTAGAAAGAAAAGAAGGCATGTATTGCATGATGGGGCTCTAGTCCTTACCATGACATCGTTATTGTCGGAGTCGGCGTCCAAGGGGTGGAGATGACGGTGATTCAGAGACTTCATCAAGGCCTCTCGGCGAGCCCCTCGAGAGCATGGCCAAAAGTCATTCTAGGGCCACCAAGTCAGTTTTCTGCATCAGGCCTAGCCTACCAGGCGAGGAATAGACGGCGTACCAGTGTCTTGGGTTCATTGTCGAGGTCGGTAGGAAAGGGAGGCGGACTAGAGACTAAACAAGGCGAGGAGGGAAGATTGTCTTCCTGTGGGGTTGCAAAAGACAGGTTAGCGAGGGTCGGAGTTCATCGATGGCTATAGGGTGGCAACGATGGCTCCGTACCTGGGGCGTATACTCGCCGCCGGCGAGGCGATGTGAGAAGGTGGGGATATTCTCGTCACTAAAAGGGTGCTGCGAGCTGCTGGCTTGAACTCGCGACCGTTTCGTCAAAGGCTCCGGGTCGGACAAGACTGGTGGGAGAGAGAGAGAGTCCGAGTCGAAGAGCTTCCTCTTGACTCTTGGAGTTTGCCGATTTGCTACGAAGCCGCCTACTTCATTCAAAGCTGAGCGGCCACGGCCCGCCGCGGAGGAGGTGCCTGGGAGCATGGGACCAAAGAAACGGGCAAATCTCCTTGGCGTGACGGAGGGGTTTCTCCTTTCCCTCCTCGTCCTGGGAGGAGAGAGGAAGGCATTACGGCCCGGAGTTGTTGGCGTGGCTCCGGGGGCGAAAGAGGGTTCTTGGGATGAGGGTTCGAGGCTCATGATGGGCAGGGACGGGACGGGGGAGGGGAGAAGGAGGAGTAGAAGTGAGGCCGTCCACAATGGACTCGAACCTGGTGGAGGAGGAGGGTTTCGCCCAAGGGACCACGTCGGGGAGGGGATTGGGGGAAGGGGAAGAGAGAGAGAGAGAGAAAGGGAGGGTAGATCTGTAAGCCGAGATGCAAGGAGAAGAAGAAGAAAAAGAATATGGTTACTCGGGCATATCGAGAAATCAAGGGAGGAGAATGAAGTTCCGGGTCCAAATGCAAGCAAAGGAAAAGAGAGGAGAAAAGGTCAAGGTCAGGATTTGGGAGTCCTGAAGAGGCTGGAGCACTGGGGTGGGCTGGGCCATGGTCACAGCGCACGGGAGATTTCAGCTAGAAATTCGTAAGAGCTGGCGTCTTCAGACCGTTTTTGCTGGCGTTGGGGAGCATTGGGAAGTGCTGTGCTCACTTAACGCGGTCTCGCCTGCGGTTGCGTGTAATGGGCGCCACTTTGGACGCGCTGAGGTGGATGCGTGACAAGCCAATGGTGACGCGAGAATCGACCCGGGTCTGGTCCAAACCGGAAAGCAAACCTGGGGCCTGGCCCACATCCAAATGGCAGCCCAGACCCACCCATTGACAGTGTCACCGCCACTGTATTTCGTGACCTTTCACTGTGTCCCCCACTGTAAGGTTCTTTTTAGTGGTTAATCCTCGTCCTCTGATTCTGGAGGGGCAACACAAAAATCAATGGATTAATTGAAACGCACAAGACCAATGTACGAAGTCGTACCCCACTCTCCTCCCTCGAACCGAATATTTCCCGTTATCGCTCCCACCGCCTTTCTTATCGTTAACGCCAGCCACAGCATTAGCAGGCGGGACCTGAAGAAAAAAATTCGACAGTAGTGTATGTCGCGGGGCTCTTACTCGCAGAGGACGGGTGGGAAAAAAAAACGGAACCTCAAAAGAAAGAGACCAAACTGAGCACAGCCAACAACACCCCCAAGGCCACCCATACTTGATCGTCGCCCAGGCCCCTACCTGTCAATTACTTTTAGGGATCTAAACGACTATAGATGGCGATCCAAAAGAAGCACGGCAAAGGCCGTCTGGACAAATGGTATAAGCTCGCCAAGGAGAAGGGCTACCGAGCCCGAGCTGCCTTCAAGCTTATCCAACTTAACAAGAAATATGGCTTCCTCGAGAAGAGCAAGGTCCTCATCGATCTTTGCGCTGCCCCAGGTGTATGTGATGCCTGTCCCCGCCCGCTCCCTCATCTGCCATTAACCACCTTTCACGTCCATGCAATGCACCCAACTAACCCTTTTTGGCTCTCTGTTCTTTAGTCGTGGTGTCAAGTTGCCGCCGAGACGATGCCGGTCAACAGTCTGATCATCGGTGTGGATCTGGCCCCCATCAAGCCCATCCCTCGAGCCATCACTTTCCAAGGCGACATTACCACCGAGAAGTGCCGAGCCACCATTCGCCAACACCTCAAGACTTGGAAGGCCGATACCGTTCTTCACGATGGTGCCCCCAACGTTGGTACCGCTTGGAACCAGGACTCTTTCAACCAGGCAGAGCTGGTGCTGCAATCCATGAAGCTGGCCACCGAGTTCCTCGTGGAGGGTGGTACCTTTGTCACCAAGGTTTTCCGATCCAAGGACTACAACCCCTCCTCTGGGTCTTCAACCAGCTCTTCACCAAGGTCGAGGCCACAAAGCCCCCTCGTCGCGAAATGTGTCGGCCGAAATCTTCGTTGTCTGCCGCGGCTTCAAGGCTCCCAAGCGCATCGATCCCCGTTTCCTCGATCCCCGCTCCGTCTTCGCGGAGTTGTCCAACCCACCCCGAACAACGAAGCCAAGGTGTACAATCCCGAAGTCAAGAAGCGTAAGCGTGAGGGTTACGAAGAGGGCGACTACACTCAGTTCAAGGAGGTCACGGCAAGCGAGTTTATACAAACGACGGATCCCCTCGCCATCCTAGCCAACTGCAACAAGCTGAGCTTCGCCCAGCCCGCCAACGGCGACGTTGCCCTCGCCGCGCTGGACAAGCTCCCCGAGACCACCCAGGACATCCGAAACTGCTGCGAGGACCTCAAGGTTTTGGGCAGGAAGGAATTCAAGATGCTTCTCAAGTGGCGGTTGCGCGTCCGCGAGATCTTTGGCTTCGCTACCAAAAAGGCAGAGGACGCCGCCGATGAAGTCGCCGAGGTGGAGCCCATGGACGAGGAGCTCAAGATTCAGGAAGAGCTCCAGGCTCTCAAGGACAAGGAAAGTGGCAAGAGGAAGAGGGAGAGGCGCAAGGAAAATGAGCGAAAGCAAAAGGAGATTGTCCGCATGCAGATGAACATGATGGCCCCCATGGACATTGGCATGGAGCAGGACGGACCCTTGGGAGGAGACGGATCCATGTTCAGGCTCAAGACCATAGACGAGGAGACCGAAGCCTTGAGACACATTGCCCGCGGAAAGATGGCCACCATCACCAAGACGGACAAGAAGCCCGTGGTCGATGATGAGTCGTCCGGCGAGGAAGACGAGACCGAAGACCGCCTCGAGCTGGAGCTTGATTCTCTTTATGATCAGTATCGGGAGCGAAAAGCCGACGTCGATCCCAAATTCCGAGCCAAGCGGTCGCGTGAAGAGCACGATGACGAGTGGGAGGGCCTTTCCGCCGCGGGAAGCGCAAGCGATATTAGCGACGACTCCGAGCTCGAGGAAGACAGTGAAGACGAGGGCGCAGACGACGATTCCAACAGGATCAAGAAGTCGCTCCTAACCGACCTCGACAACGAACCCGTGGATAGCGCTCTTTCTAAACGAGCGCGCAACTTTAACCAAGACATCTTCAAGGACGTCCTGGGCGATGTTCTCGGCGATGAAGATGTAGCGATGGCCGATGCCCCTCAAGAAAAGAAGCAAGAGAAGAAGAAGGACAAGAAGAAGAAGGCCGAGGCTGCCACCAAGGAGAAGGCCAAGGCTGCCGAGTACAACTCGGATTCCGAAAATAGCGAGGAGGAAGACACCTTTGAAGTTGTGAAGAAAACCGAAGAAGACGACTGGGAAGACGAGGATCGGCGCCGGTCAGATGGCAAGATTGGTAAGATCACAGTCCCCTCACTTATTCCTTAACCGGGGGTTTCATTTCATCCCGGTCCAAACTCAGACAAGTGGCTAATTCAAACCTCGTTCCAGACATTGATATTGTCACTGCCGAAGCGATGACGTTGGCCCATGAGCTCGCAACGGGCAAAAAGACTAAGAGTGACATGGTTGATGAGGGCTTCAACAAATGGGCTTTCCGTGACCGTGACGGCCTTCCGGACTGGTTCCTCGACGACGAAACCAGGCATGACAAGCCTCTCAAGCCCATCACCAAGGCGGCGGCCACGGCGATCCAGCAGAAGCTGCGGGCCCTCAACGCGCGACCCATCAAGAAGGTGCAGGAGGCCAAGGCGCGCAAGAAGTTCAAGGCGGCGCAGAAACTTGAGAAGCTCAAGAGGAAGTCGGAGCTGCTCAACGAGGACGAGGGCATGACGGAGAGGGAAAAGGCCGACAGTATCAGCAAGCTCATGGCCAAGGCCAACCAGAAGAAGCCCAGGAAGCCCATCAAGGTGGTGGTGGCCAAGAACACCAACAGAGGTATCCAGGGCAGGCCCAAGGGCGTCAAGGGACGGTACCGCATGGTGGACCCTCGCATGAAGAAGGAGCTGAGGGCGCAAAAGAGGATAGCGAAGAGGAAGTAAGGGTGACGGGGACCGGTGGGGCAGACAGGGTAATTAGTCTACTTTGCATCTACGGCAGGCGTACAATATACTTGGCTTTTTCTGCTTTACACTCTGCCTCTCCCTTCTCTCTCTCTCTCTCCCTCTCTCTGAAAATCACGTTTTTTTCCATGTCGGCCGGCCCTGGTGTGCGATTTGTGCGTCAACCGGGCCGGCGCTGCGCAAAGCTCATGTTCCTGACTAGGTTGGTAAGGGGGTACAAGGACCCGCTGTAGTCCATGTCGTACCAGTAGTTTACCGCGAGAACGAAGCCCTCGTCATCGGTGCTGCATGATTGGGACACCTTGTGATACCTGTTTCGTTTTGTGTGCGGAGAGACGAAGCATTGGTTAGCGAGCGGCAAAAGGGGTGGAAAAAAATAGTCAAAACGGGATTAGGTTGGCAAACCCCCGATTTCCCCTCTCTTGTAGACTCACCACATGGCCGGGAGGTACAGCATATCCCCGGTTCGAGCGTGACCCTCACCGGCTCCACGAGCTCGGCGAACTCGTTGCCCGCGACGGTTCCCCTCCCCGGACCCCTTCCTGGCCTCCGACGGCCACCCCGTCGGGATCCCACGTGGGGAAAGGGACGCCGGCGGGCTCGGGCCCCTCGCCGGCTTCATCCTCGTCAAGGTAAGAGCAGCATCGGGGCCAGAGCCGCTAGTTCGGCCGTACGTGGCCGGGGGAGGGCCACCTCGGCGAGGGCGGGGGCGCAGAGGGCGGGCAGGAGGGCAAAGTGCTTGCGGCCGCGGACCTGGACGTAGAGGTTCTCGTAGCCGTCGCGGTGGGTGGCGGTGACGGAGCGGGAGTTGCCGATCCAGAGGTTCAGGGCGTCGGGGGCGCGGTCGAGGGCGATGCGGGCGAAGGGGACGGTGGTGGGGAGGTGCGGGAGGAGGGGGCGTATTCGTCGTGTAGGTTGTTGTTTTCTTGGGGACGGGGATGGTGTTAGTTCAAGGAAGGAGGGAAAGAAAAGAAAAGAAAAGAAAAAGAAAAGAAAAGACAGGGTTGCGTACGGGTTTGCGCGTAGCGGATCTCGCCTTGGGACGAGGCATCTTTTTCTTGGTTGATGACGTAGTCGAGGAACTCTTCAAAGTCTTGTTCTTCTTCGTGGGGTTTTGCAAAGACGAGCGAGCCGTCTTGCATCTTTGTTGGGGCGTCGGCGTTCCTATTCCAGGGCGTTTGTCGCTAGGTCAGGTAATCGTAACAAGGTTTGGGAACAAAGAGCCACAGAGAGGAAGAATACAAAAGGGAGAGGGAGAAAAGAGGGTTCCCAGAGTCCACTCCAAGATGCCAACTCTTCCCGAGGAGACAGACGCAGAGGGAGGGGGAGAAGCACAAAAACACCAACCGTTAGAGCAGTAAATACTTACCCTCTCGGGGTCACGGCAACATTGACCTTCTTCCCCCTCATAGCCTCGACCAAGAACCTCCGATCCCACCGCCGCAAGGCCTCCCAGCCCGACGCGCAGCCTCTCACGACAAAGGGCGTGTTGCGCGCCACGTAGCGCATGAACTCGAGCGGGCTGGGCTCCTCGTCCAGCTCATCGACGACGCTGCCGTTCAGGTCCGCGTACGTCGTGAGCAGCTCCCGGAGCAGCTGGCGCTGGTTGGGGTCCGGACCGGGATCGGGGCCTGGACCCCTCGCCGGCTCGGGATCGGCGGGGTGTGGCGGACACATGCTTTTTTTGTGTGAGGGGGAGGCTGTGATGGATGGAAGGGGACTCGCTCGGCGAGGGGAGGGGGCGTTTGATTGTCGACGATCGGTTAGGCTTCCAATACGATCCGGGTTTTTTCAAGTGGTTGCGAGTGTGTTTGCATTTCCGCCGCCGTTTCTCTGCACAAAAGACTAGAGTGGATGGCCCTCGCCAGGAAATATTTCCGTCCCACCTTTCTTAGGGTTCAGGTTCAGCGTGTGAAGATCAGCCCATTCTCCCATTCTTCACAGCACATCTAGATATGGATCCCATCACAGGCCTTTGTTCAGTGCTACCATTTTATTTACAGGTATCTTTAAATAGAGAGGATTATATATATATATCTTCCTAATCTCCTCATCAAGGAGCAGAGAAGAAAGGAGGTTATCAGTATAAACCCGTAAAGTGCTTCAAGGTCAAGAAGATCAGACGATGGAGATGGTCGCGACTTCCTCAATTAGGAGTCACGCTTCCACATATAGTCGACTCATTTTTCGCTCCTTATATAATCTCTATAGCTATTCACGACCCTAAGATGAATAACCCTAGTGAGCGGATTCTATTCTTTGATGATGTTGGAGCCTTAAAAGACATGTCTATGAAACTTGCCTATGAAACATAACCGATGTTCAGAACCAAGATGATTCCATTTCAAACATTTCCTGGTCAGAAGCATATGCAATACAACCCGCCTCATACGTAAAGGACATGGGGTTTGCAGATGAGACTGGTAATAAAGAATATTTGTGGAACGGCCTCGAAGGCAATGGTTGAGTCCTCTGGCTCCCTTCGATCATTCATTCTCCCTTTATACTGGGGGTTTTTTGCAGTGTTTTTTTTCTTTTTTTTTGTCGTTGCATGCTCTGAGCCCCAACCCTCTTGGCTTGCATTGGCAACTTAAAGGAACTTGACATTTCAAGGGTCAAGTGCCAATTGTGAGGAAAGGGTGAATGGCATATTGCACTCTGCGGATGTAAGCTTTGGTATTGCCATCATCCCCCTTTCAAAGCATCTAGTGTCATGACTTCATCTCAAGTCGGCGCCGTGGTATGCAGGTGTGCGCCTCTGAAGTCTTGAATGGAAAATAAGAATTCGGCACTTGGGGGAAAAGTCCACTTCCGCGCTGCAAGGGCCTCATGCAAGAGGGATCTCACGGCGCAGGGCTGTGTTGGTTGTAACACGAATGCGGCGCACTTGTAACGATTTTCAGACGGATCGGTCTTTGGATAGTCGAAGACGATGGTGCTTTTGCCTCTCTTTCATAATGACATCCGAGCTATCGGTGAAGGCCTCCCGGACTCGGCAACCGAAAGAAGAACTTACCGGTCGTTTGCTCACCGCCAGTTTACGTCTGTCGGGTTTGGTCTTCCCACGGGCCAGGTCCTTTTTCCCAAGGCCCCTCGGTTCCTGATGGGCAAAGGCTAGCGAGTGCCTGATCGTAGTGGCCGTGGTGGCCGAGGCGGATTCTAGCGCGAAACACTAATACCATTACGACTTGGTCAAAGGGTGATTTGATGATTTGGGGGTGGCACGATGGGGACAAGCTCTACGTTGTTGTTTGGGCATGCAAGGCAAGCACCACGCATGGCACTGAGGTACGCATGGCCGCATTCTCAACGGCCAGGCGCGAACGGCCCTTTGCTGCTGGGTTGGCTGGCTGCAAACCCTGTAAGTGGGCAGCGGGGCCACCGGAAGAGGGCAGGTTCTTCACAGTGTTGTGTTGTTGGTTCGCTAGACTTTGAGGGTTGGGGGCCGGAGCAAGAAAATGGGTTGATGATTCTATCCTCCATTGGATCCATAGAACAATTGGTGCATGTGTCTGAGCCCTGAGGAGCACTTACGGACACTCCTCTACTCTCCTCGCCCCACTGACGATCTTTTCAAGACCAATTCGAGATGGGAGGCCACTGCCGAAAAATAGGTGGCTGGTGGTGTAGTGGGTTTGGTTATGCTCAATGCACTCCGCTGGGGCTCCAAGAGCACGACCAGTCGGACATTTCCGAAACCAGGAATGCCCATGGTGCATTCTTCTCGGACCAAGACTCAAGGAGCGCTAGACGGTGGCCGTGCTGTATTTGTTATCAAAAACAGTGCTCGTTCTTCTTGCTTCTTATCTCCATATTAGATTTGCCTGTAATTTTCCCAAACTGAGAGACTGGCAAGACTGGCTTGGTGACTCGACATTCGACATAGATCTATGTACAAGTAACTGCACCAACGGTGCGTCATCTCCACTTTTACTGGGCTGAGGCTCGCTTGTGACCCACCAGTCGACAACACAGGTGCTCCTTCTTGTTCTTATTCCGTTGGAAGAGGGGATGAGAGAGAGAGAGAGAGAGAGATCCCTCTATGAGTATTATGCCTGGCTATAACTCCCTTGACGAGAGCCTTGTATTTCTCTGGTCCAGCTGAACTCTTGGAGCGTGGCTTCGATAGCGGCTCGGGAAAAAAACGCCAAAGAGCTTAAGAACGTGCAAAGCTTCCACCACGCACCTAGCCTTTGGCAGAGCTCCAAGCCAAACTGGAGAGGCGAGATATGGCCTGCATGGGCTGTGGGGATACCCCTTTCTCTCTTTCCTTTCTTTTCTTTCTTTCCTCTCTGCCTCGCCCCGGACGCGCACCCGGTCGGTCCTGTGCGAGCTTGTGTGTGCCCTCACATGCCAAGCTGAAGCCGAGGGGAGAAGCTCGCTGTCGACCGCATCGGTCCCCGCCAGGATTTTAAGGAATAATAGCCTTTAGTCTCACAGCAAGGGGTTACGCCAGCTTGGCTCCCAGGTCTGTCCTAGGAGAGGAGCGAAGAGACAAAGAAAACCCCAAGCCAAAGTCAGGCAGGAGCGCCTTGCGCAGGGGACAACCAAAAGCGCGGGGCGAGGAGTGCATGGGCAACTCAACTTGCCCGCGCGAATTTCGCGCGCGAACTTGAGAGCATCGTTGGTATCGTGTACATCAGCGTTAAATGGAAGGTAGGGTAGCCGCTGATCAGCTCTCAAGGCTTTTTGGTGTCTGCCCCCAGCCATTCCTGGTTCGGGTTCCGTGAAAACAGCCACTACCGCACTTTTCGACGAACGAGAACGAGAGCCAGAACCAAGGTTCGGCCAGGGGATGGGGCCTGGTCAGGGTAGTATTTGGCAAGGTTTCCTCCCATGAAAGTCCACGCCGTGAATCTGTTTTATTTGAGCGATTGTGGTAATAATAATTGATACTACCGAGTACTCCATGTCCACCTCGCTCCTCCTGCCAACACTCTTCCGCCTCTCTCGTCTTCCTCCTCGTCCGAGAGAGGGTTCAAGACGATCAACAAAGAGCGCCATGAGAATGAAGGCACGCGTTGGCCGCCATTCCCCAGGTTAGAGAGAAGGTCGTTAGCACCAGCATTGCAGTGTGCATCATGCAGCCGTGGAGGAAAAACAAAAATCAACCTCAGCTAGCTTGGTGTGCGCGCCAGGGTTTGACTGCAGGTCCCTCTCGTCCCCTTGCCCTTGGGGCATGAGCCTGCAGCATCTTTCTGGTCGGGTGGGACAGACAAACTCTCTATTCCTTGCCCTGACCCCCAATATTGGAACCATTACAACTATTTCGTACGTGCTCGCAAGTGTAGATGGAATGAAGAAGAAAAAGAAAAGAGAGGCACTTGTTTGTTGGCGCAGACACTAGCCTTTTGGTCGAAGAGGTACGATGGTAATACCGCCTCGGACTCAACTCAAAGATACCAAAGCTATATCCATTCCATCAATGATCCCACTTTTTGGGCATGCGAGCTATTACAACGGGCGGGTTCTTTGGGCTTGGCTGTGCCAGTATAATCAAGCTCGTTCGGCTGGCTGTCTTTGGCCGCTGTAGTGAAAGGTGGGCGCAAACGAGATGGAGGATGAGACGGACGCTAGCTTGTAGATTGCGCTTATTGCTTTCGGTGCACAGCGCGAGGAGAAGCAAGCAAGGCGCCTTTTTATTTTATTCTTCTTCCCTTTTCTTTGGCGGTCTCGTCATCTTGGCTCATTTTGGAGTGCGCGCGAGTTCCAAGCCGGCATGTATTACGAAGTACTACCAGAGGTACTAGCATATGGCCTGGTACATCCAGATCCGTGTGCTCAAGTGCTCCCCAAGCTCCGTCTGAAAGTGACGTGGTGGACCAATATTGTCGAGCTTCTTTCGCACTATCATTAGCTTGGCCAGGCCCCCATTCCGTCTCCCGTGTGGGTGGGAGGGAGCCTGAGCTACGTAAGACGGAGCTTTTTACGAAGACTTTGATCCTCGGGTCCCCGAGTCTCATTCCTTGCTGGCTCCTTGAGCTTTCATCAATGTCATCGAGCTATCTCTCCAACAGCCCTATCCCTGCTACACCCTCTGACAAACGTCACGTCGTCGACCCTTCTGAGTCGAGCATTGGCCCTAGCCTAGCATTGATCAATTGACTTGGTTCAAGTCCAGTTTGGGTACATTGCCCGGCTCGCGTGCCGGGTTTTGGGGCGCGGCGTGTACCAGGTCCACGCCCATGCCACCGCTCTCGCCCACGCTGGCTGGCTGGCCCATGCCCATGCCCACTCCCACACCCACGCCTACAGTCCACGCCCTCTCCCGCTCCCATCCCACGCCCACGCCCATGCTAGACAAGACGAGAGACACAGCTTCCGGCCACTATGACTAGTGATGGTGGATGCTATTAGTGCAAATGGAGAACAAGCTCTCTTCAACGCTCGTGGGACAGCCTGATGACCCTTTGCTTCCATTGCTGGCTGGCTTCTAGTGTAGACTTGTTGGCTGGGCTGGCCACCAAGGATTGGACCGTGATACTATTGAGCATGTGCGCTCTTGCCACGACACTGCGCACTCCGCAATCCACGCTCCACGCTCCACGCTCCACACTCCATGCTACGCATAATGATACACATCCACTCCACGACCTACGCCTACTGCATACAGCATACGCCTAGCCAGCCTACGACACAACTACGCTACACCACACGACAGAGGGGCTGGGGATCTCGACCTGGCCTGGCCTGGCCTCGAGTGAAAGAGCCAGCGAATGCACGACCTCCTCTTCGCCCCCGGACCCAGCCCGTTTTTGCCATTGTTTTTCCTCAGTACACGCCCCCTCTCAATTCCAGCTTCAGCACCTCCTGTACTTCTTTCCCCTTCTCTCATTTGACGACAACTCATTTGCCCTTTCCACATCGACGCAATTGAACAACTCATCGTGCAGGGCGTTTGTTTCCACCTCCGCCGTCCTCCTTCCTCCTTCTTCCCTTCTCCCTCCTATCCCCTCCCCTTCGTGCCTCGTGTTTCTCGGCCTCTGCGGTCTCTCAAGGACGTGGAAACTCTCCAATTGAAAGCTCCCGGCCGTCATCCAGCTTTTGGCCCTAGCGAGCTCGAGCTCCACCCCGTCACTCGTTTCGCCCTTTCGACTGCTTCATCTCCTGCACTGGCGCCTCCTGTATAATCTTCCGTCCCTTTTCTTGCTTTTCAAGCTCTCTCTTCTTCTTCTTCTTTTTTTTTTTTTATCTTTCTTTTCCCCATATCTTTATTTTATTTTACTTTCTCTTTTTTTTTTTTTCTTCTTCTTCTTCCCTCTCTCGCTCACAGTCTGTTCAGCTCGACAAGACCTTGTTCTCTCACCATCTCGCGAATCGAACCGGGACAGCCTTGGTTGAAACTAGACCTAGCCGCCCCATGGGCGTTTACACGATAAGACATTGATCGCGCCTCTTTCTTTCTCGAACCCTCGGCTCGCTCGCCTTCAACCAGATCCTCTCCATACGTGCATCCCTCCGACAAGTTGCATCCGCCTGCCACTCGTTACATCATCTGCACCTACTCTCACACACCCCCTTTTTTATTGAATCTGCTGTGTTTGCGCGCCTGCGCTGCCCCTTTCTCGACTCCTTGGCTCCCTTCTCCCCGGTTCTCAAGACCTCGCCAGATTTGATCTTCCTCGATACCAACCGCGCACCTTTTACCGTTCTGTGCTTGTCTGCGTAGCGCTTGCATCAATTGATTAAAGAAAAAAGCTCTTGTCCTTTGCTCCGCGCTCCTGCTTCCGCCACTGGACCCTTGGCTTACCCGTCAGCGCGCTCTGCCTTTGTGACACTTTTTTTTTTCCGGCTTATTTTTTTCTTTGCAAAAGCCTCCCTCGTCTCACCCTCCAGCTTGCGAACCTCATCTCGACCAGCTCCAGGCCCCCTTCGTGCCCAATGCCTTGAAACCGAGCCATACACTACCGACGCGACCGAGCCAATACCTCCATTTTTCTACTTCCTAAACCCCCGAGTCACCCTAGTTGCCGCCTAACTTGGGAGTATCGCCATCCCAAACCGAGCCCAAATTCTGGCCTTCGCGATATCGTTTCGGCCCATCCTCCCGAAAATCACTCACGACGTGGACCGAAACCCAAGTGCCGTCACCAGGCCGGTCCAAGTGGGCGCCCATCCTCTCCCCCGGTTCCTCTGCGGGTACATCGACCTTGGGCCTGGCCTCTTCACACCTGGCCCGCATCCGGACCACGGGTCCAGTCAACGACTCTAGAGGCACCCCGCCGCCGCGCCTCCCCACAGGTGGCCGTGTAAACAGAGGCCACTCGCTGCGCTGACCTTCATATAGCGACCCTCCCCTCTCACTTTCTACCCAACCTACCGAAATGCCGTGTGCGAGAACCCTGGACTCTGCTCTCAACCTCGCCCAATCTCACTAGGACCTATCCCCTCCCATTGGGCCCAACACTTCCGCCGCGCGCCGCTTTGTCACCTTGGACCTTTCCAGAACCCATCGAGGTTGAAGTTCTGCCTTCTCGTCTCCCACACCTATACCTCGACTCTCCGCCCTCTTTCTTCCCTTACATTCCTAGCCTCGACGACAACCTGTTACAGGTTAGCTACCCGCTTTGCTTGGACCTCCGAAAAACGCCTCTCTATATTTCTTCTTCTCTTCTTCTCTTCCTCAAAAGCTTACCGGTACCAGGGGTTTCTTCGTGTAGGACGCCATGGCTTCCTCCGAGGTCGACCAAAAGTTTCTTGGCAAGCTGGCCAAGATGGTGGAGCCCACCAACCCGTTATTAGCCTCCATCCTTTTCAAGATTCTCGGCCTGTCCTTGAACCTAGCAGACGAGCTTGTCACCGCCAAGAAACAACGGCGCCACCACACCGAGCAAACGCCCGAGTTTCTCAAGTTGGTGCTTCACATCATATGGCTATCCAGAGAGGGCCTCAAGCTCCTGGACCAGTACGTGATACCAAGCGTCGGTCACGAAGTGGAGCTCAAGGTCCTCGCCTACAAGCTGCGCGCCTCCTTCTACCACATCTTTGTCCTCTTCCACAACAACCCCCGTCTCCGACCTCTCCATTTCCACACCCGAGATCCTCGCCGGAGCTGCCATGGGCTTTTCCACGCCCCCGAGATTAGGCAAGGGCAAAGGCATCGCCCGCGACGACGACCTTGAGTCCCTCAACTCCTCCATACAACCCACTCACCCCATGGAGGGTGGGCCCGTCGGCCCCCGCCAGGCTTCGGCGTCGAGACCCCGGGCTCGTTTCTCATCCCGGCGGCCGACTACCTCCCCGCCGCGCACCGGTCCTTCAAGGAAGCCGTCGCCCTCGCCGATGATCTCCTCTGGGGCTCGCACTCGCTCCGTCTTTCCGTGAAAACGGAATACGCCGCCTTTTTGTACGAATGCATCCACGACCCCGAAGCGAGCCGCGCCCTCGCCAAGAAGACGATTGCCGAGGTCTACGACGCCCAAGAGGGCATGGACGACGACATGTTTGCCGACGCCTGCGAGCTCGTCACCGTCCTCGGCAAGATGATGAAGCGGGGCATCGCCTCGAGTAATACCCCAGCAATCGACAAACGCCCGTCCCTGCTCCCGCCGTCCCTCCCCCGGAATGGAGAACCCCATATGATGAGGTCAACCCGCCCCCGCGGATGATCTCTGAGGCGGCCGCATGAGGCTTGTGTGTCGAGCTTTGCCGTCCATGCCTGCGCGCACATGTGGCTCTAGGCTGCGCCAATCTACGCCCTCTAATGGTAGCACCATGCGGCCGCCGATCTATTGATCCCGCCACAGATTACACACAGTCGCGTACACCAAATAACTACCCTCACACGTACATTAATACCACCAGGGCAACCAAGACTTGGCTTTGCAGCCGGGCAGAACGCCACTCGGGGCTTGCGAAGCCAAGGCTCACATCAAAGTTACTCTCCAAGTGACTCCCTAGCCTATACACTAATCTGGGCCTGAAATAACGGCCCCTTGTATATTCACCCTCCACCCTTCTTCACCCCCATAGACCTCTATTTGGAGGCGGGTAGATGGTGTCTCGTCTTTTCTCTCTCTTCTTCTTCCATTCCATTTCCGGCCTTTGTCCTTTTTTGTTTACTTTCGCAACATTTATAGTCGCGAGTAACCTATGCATATCCCACGGCGCAACGAGTTGTTCTTCTTCTTCTTCTTCCGCCCCCTTTTCCATCCTCGCGCTGCGTCTCTTCCTTGTCTTTTATCTGTTCTTTTTCATCACATAGAACTGGAAAAAACCCATGGCACTCGGCGAGCGAACAAACCATTTTCCTGTGCCGCAAACGCCCCAACCCTACTTTTCCACCCTTTGTACTTGTACCCCTTGTATAAAACCTTGGCAGATCGAAGAAAGAAGGGCAAAGGGGGAAGACTGAGGATAGCTTCGGCCTTCTTCGGTGAAAGAAACGGGGTGGGCCCTTGCTGTATAGACTGTATCTCTGGCGGTTTCTACTGATTATCTTCTTGGCCGGACGCTCCTGTTTTCCTCGGCTATATATCTTGCTCTTTCTTGAAAGGCTTGTTGCCCCTTTTTGTCGGGTCTCTTCGCCTGTGTTGATACCCTACCTAGCCCTTGCTCTCAATACATGTTACCCCCGTCCGTTGGTCCCCAACCTCATCGCGGACCTGGGGCTTCGCCTTGGCTTAACAGCTCATCATCACTTGCGCTCGCATTTCTCATTTGGCCATCATGATGTATGTGAACCATGGCCATTGGCACTTTAATTGAGTCAATCTACCGAAATAATGAATACCAGTCTGTTGCTAGACACAAGTAGAACCCGTTACATCCATCCCTTTTTCTCTTTTTTTTTTTTTTGCCTGCCATAAAATTGAAAAAGAACAAGAAGAACAAGAAGAACAAGAACGAGAAGAAAAGAACGCCTGCAAATCCGTGTTAAAAACGAGAGTGAGAGAGCACCGCCCAACGATAGTCACCGCCAACCCCGGCCATCGCGTAAACAGAGACGTCAGATCTCAGCGACACAAAGTGTGAAGAAGACCGAGTTATTCGCAAGAGAAGGTGGGAAATTGGAAAGAAATATCAGAGAAACGAAAACCGCACCCATCCGCCGTCTACCATAAGAACCCACTTGTTTAGTAGTAGGTCCCATACCGCCATCTTCCACGGTATCCTCCAACCCGTCCCCACTCGAGATGCATCGCACTATGCCAACTTTCCCGAACAGGAACAGAGAAAGAAAAAACAAAGAGAAGAGGAGAAAGAGAGGGAAAAAGGAAAAGGAAGCCCCAATGGGCAGTACCAAAGACCAACAAGTCAACAACGGCTCTCACCGTTTAGGGGCCGTAGTTGGTGATCTGTACCGCCAACACTCCCATCCGCCCGAACAATATCAACCGGCATTAGCCATAGATGACGCATGCCAAAAGAGCCCCAGAACCCACGGGGATGCTCGGCGCGTCAAAACAAATAGTATCAAGAGAGCAAGCACCAGAAGAAAACACCAGTGTACCAAGGACTCTAGAGTGAGGTGGGAACCCCGCACAATACTGGCCTGGAGAAGAGCGTACTTTTCTTGACACCTTAGAATCCCATGGAACCCACGTCGGAGGGCCCGTTTGGATCTAGGTGCTCAGAATCGTTCAGGCCAGCCTTCCAAGCTGCTATTTTGTCGTCTCGGGCTCGAGTTCGTTCTTCAGCATTCATAGCCTCGCAGCGGGCACGGATTATACTCAAGGGGACCATTTTCCCGGTGGCATTGGAAAAGTTGGCTTGCATTTCCAACCATTTGCCCCGCTGCATCTTGTCCTCAACTTCAGCAAGCACCTTGCAATCCTGCTTCATGAAGCGACTTTCGGGATCCAAGCCGAGGTAAGCAGGATGGAGGTTCTTGCGGATCTGCTGCTGAATGTGAAGCAGTTGATCGAACTCGGATTCGTCATCGTCATCCGATGGCGAGTTCTGAAGGAGGCTTTGTTCACGTACAAGCGTTTTATAACGCTGCTGGACCTTCTTCTTGTTTCTTCCAAGGGCGCTTGCAATCAGCGACCACGTCTCGCCACTCTGCTTCAAGCTCACGAGGAGTGAATCTTGGGACTCTGTCCAGGCACGCTAAGCCTTTCCGTGTCCGTGACCCCGCGAGCGTGTGGAATGACGCCTGTTGACGTTTAGCATAGAGGACGCTGATCCATCCTTCTCCGCGCTCGCGGACTTCCCCTCGCACCCGTATGCGCTGGAATACTCCGTTTTAGAAGTTGCGGGATAAAGAGCCTCGAGCGATGGGATTTCAAACCCCGACGACCCGTCTTCACTCTCGGACGTCTTGGTATCTTCTGTTTCCGAAGACCCTGGGCTAGAAGCGCCAATGGTAGCAGGGAATACATCGCCCGCCTGGCTACTCCCGAGGGAGACTCTCTCCCCTTTGGAACTAGAGTCGCCTGTGTTTGATGTCTTCAGTTGATCCATAACTTCCGCTACTTCTTTGGCACTGAGTTTGAACCCTTCACCTCCCATGCCCTGCTTGAAGATTATATTTTCCTCGGTTGGTTCAAGCATGTGGGACGCGCGATCAATTCCGTGGAGTTCAGGAAACTGGCGAGACATGATTACGCGAGAGCTAAGAGGTTTCGGTCTCAAATAAAAACACTGAGTAAACCGGTTATTATGTGTACAGACAGACGGTAGGCAGGCCAGATCTGATGGGAGAGCTACACGCTACTCTCACCCTATCCTTCCACAACTTACAAGTATATATAGCCACTGATTGTGAGAAGCAGATTATGTCCGGACTCTGCTAGGTGCTATGCAGCAGCTTGAGTCTATGCTTTCAATCTTGATCGAGAGCTCGGGACTGCAGGTTTAGACTTGCATTAGTGAGTAGTCAAGGGAGCTTATCGGCAACAAGTCATAGCAGAAGCAAGAATAGCAAGGTGATGGAGAGGATACGGAGAGAAACGAAAAAAAAAAAAAGGGAGAAGGGAAAGGCAAGGTGAAAATTATCATTTAAAATCAAACGGTACAAGAAGGCAGCAAGGCTAGACTCCTACCTAGGATGTCTTAATAGGGCTTGAGAATATAGAGAGAGAGAGATGAAAGAGGATCTCGATGAGCGATTCGGATTCTCGCTGAGGATGACCGGATTCTATAAGCATCAGTGAGCGAGAGATGACTCTTTGGAGTCAAGATACCCACCTCGACCCTATAGAAGCTGAGGAAAGTGAGTTCAGATCGAACTAGATCTGGAGACTATCGTCAAGGCACTAGATATAGAGTTCGAGTGGAAGGACGTTCCAACTCTGGTTCCTGTGGTGTTAAGAGAGAGAGAGAACGACCTTTAGAGGTTAGTTAGAGTTGGCATACACAGAGATAGAGTTGGCTCAGCTCACTGATCCTTTCAGCCAAGCTCGTTAGTTAATAACGAGAGATGATATACGATTTGGATTTTGGTGTTCACGATAGATTGTGTGGATCGCGAGTGTCACCGGTAGTTGAGGGGAGGGGGAAGGCGGCTCTTATATAGTGAAGTCTTACACGGCACTCACGACTAACGACTGATAGTGATCGGCTGTTGAGCTACTATGTACACATATTGTATCGGTGCCAGCCCACGTGGCCATTCCCCGATGAGAAGGAACAGCTCCGGTACCTGTGAATAACACGCAATATTTATGAATAACAGGTTGTCAAAAGAAGAAAAAGAGAGGAACTTAGTACCGGAGGGCCGTAACTTCCTCCGGCACGGGGACGCGTTTGCTTCAAGACTCGGTTGTCACTACCTCAACCATAGTCGTGTCGTGAAGATTTCACTGCTAGAACCAATCAAATGCTTCGTTCAGAAGTATCGGAGGCAATGAGAAGGAGCACGGGAGCATGATACACGTAGTTCAGTGTATGCGAGCGAGGCGCGTACCTCGTACCTGGCCGCGTGTGGATTCCCGAGCCTTGTGGAGAGCAAGTTGTTTTATGGTTCACGAAGTTTCGTTCACCACCAACGGAAGAACTGTGAACCCAATTAATCTTCCCTGATATCTATTAAATTCTATTATACACATGCGTACCAATGGACGACACGTAGTCAACGGAATTAGTTGAATAAGATACAGATAGCCCATTTGCGAATATACTAGTTCCCCTAAGCAAACAAGCCGAGACAACTCTGATGGCACATCGAATGTTTTCTCGAGCTCGGCTTGCTCGACTAAAACCAACCCACTTATTCGAGTGACAAAAGAGTGACAAAAGCACATATTGGCTGAGTCATCGCTCCAGCTCTCAAATCCAAATTCTCTGAATGGTCAAAATGATGGCGTGGGAAGGTGGGATCCAGCGACGTGAGAGGGCCGACTTACAACATTTCATGATCTCACCAGTCTGAAGTCCCTTGCTGGCGGTAGTTGAAAAGAATCTGCCTCAAAAGGCTGCCCACGCAATATGTCGAAGCTCCCCGAACTCCCGCCCAACTATGCCAAAGCCTTGGAGCTTATTGATGCGGCCCACGCCCTCGACCCTAGGCCGGGCAAGGATTCCAGCCCATTCGAGCTCCATTACGCCAAACACATGACCCAGTGGCTCGTCTTGAGATGTCCTGATGCCTCACCTGCCCTGCAGCTTGCTTGTAGAGCACAACACTTTCGAAGGTAAATATCCCTGAGAAGTCATGAGGGGCGGCTGATTCTTCGTCCCCGTGCCCCTCTTGGTCCTCTAGTTACCTCTTTTATTTGTTTTTTTTTTTTCTTTTCTCAGTTCTTCCCCCACCCTACAACTTGACTAGTTCACTCCTGACCGTGCTCGCAGGTGGGAGAACCCGAGGAGCAACTTCCCCATGAACAGGGCAGGCTACTTGACCTGGCGGAGCAAGCTAAAGTCGCTCGCAGCCACGCAAGTAGCCGAGCTGCTGGCCTCGCCTACCATTGAACCAGCTATCCCCGAGGAGGATATCTCGCGCATCGCGGGACTCATCCGCAAAGAGAACCTCACGACCAATGAGGAAACGCAGGTCCTCGAGGATGTGGCATGCCTCGTCTTCCTTGACGACCAGTTTGATGAATTTGAAAATCATCCGGCATCGACGAGGAGAAGATGGTAAACATCCTTCGGAAAACGTGGGGTAAGATGGGCGAGAAGGGAAGAGAGCTGGCGCTGGGCATGGATCTGAGCGACCGTGCTAAAGTGCTGATTGGAAAGGCATTGGAAGGGTGATGTTGAGGATCGACATGCATTCTTCTTTTATGTATATATATAGAATGAAGAGACCATATTAGCCTTCAGCTTCGCTTTCTTTTAACTCGCGCCACTTTATTTTGGGCGGCATTAGCCATCAGTGACCCCTTTCCAAAGAGAATCCCATCGTGATTGTGTTTGATGGGAAATAACTACTGGTGACCATTAACGGTAGAAAAAAGGGCCTTGGAGATGGTGGGAGATGGCGATGAACCCCTCCTCCCAAACCAACTAATGAGACTCCAATCAAGGATCCTTCCTCATTCGGTGCAATTGACCCCGAAGCCGGAGTGAACTACACGAACGGCCACGGCCCAATATCTCCGACGAGAGACTCCGCACCACTGCTTTGTTCTCTTCCTTTCCCTTCACAGTCTTTTTATTCTCTTCCCATTTTCCTTTTACAGTTCCGCAATAGTCATCCCGAAGCCTCCTTCGAGGGCATAGAGACCTGAGCGTATTCTTAACCACCCATACCATTATTCACCAAGTCCTCCGGATCCGACCTACCCCGTGTGCTTGCCAGTATCGCGCCAAGCACCCTCATACTAATCGACTCCTCGCACCCCCAGCTCAAGGCAGCATCCCAACATCTCCAACCCCCATCTCTCCCGCGCGGCATCCCCCTCCGAAAAATGGCACCCACCCCGAACCCCCAAGCCCGCCCGCCAAACCCCCTCTCCACCCTCATCAACGTCCACGACTTCCACCTCGCCGCCCAAACATCCTTCACCCCCAAAGCCTGGGCCTTCGTCACCTCGGGCGCCACAGACCTCCACACCAAGCGCCGCAACAGCGCCACCTACGCCGCCATCACCCTCCGGCCCCGCGTCCTCCGCGACGTCAGCGCCGTCGACACCCGCTGCTCCTTGCTCGGCCGCCCCGCGCGGCTACCCCTCTTTGCTCCCCCACGTCCATGGCGCGCACAATTCACCCCGACGGGGAAAAGGAGCTGGCTCGGGGCCTCCGGGCCGCGGGCGTGCCCATGTGCGTCTCCTCCAGCGCCTCGTTCCCGCTGGCCGACATCCTGGCCGAGATCAAGCCCGCGGCGGGGCGCGGCGGCGACGACGACCCGAGATCGCCAACGACGAGGGCGACTTACCCGTGTTTCTACAGCTCTACGTCGACAGGACGCGCGCAAACACCGAGAAACTCCTCAAGAACGCCCTCGACTGCGGCATCGACGGGCTCTTCCTCACCGTCGACTCCGCCCTCCCAGGCAAGCGCGAGGCCGACGAAAGGATCCAGTCCGACGAGTCCCTCACCTCCGCCATCTCCGGCATCCAGGCGCGCAACGACGCCAAGGGCGGCGCCCTCGGACGCATCATGGGCAGCTTCATCGACCCCGCCCTCTCGTGGGACGACGTGCCCTGGCTGCGTCAACACCTCCCCGGCGTGCCCCTCGTGCTCAAGGGCATCCAGACGTGCGCGGACGCCGTCAAGGCTCTGGAGGCCGGCGTCGACGGCATCGTGGTGTCGAACCACGGCGGCCGCAACCTCGACACCGCGCCCGCCACCATCATGGTGCTCCTCGAGCTCCGGAAAAACTGCCCCGAGGTGTTTGACCGCATGGACGTGTACGTGGACGGCGGCATCACCCGGGGCACTGACATCTTCAAGGCCCTGTGCCTCGGGGCCAAAGCCGTGGGGCTCGGTCGGGGGTTCTTGTTCTCTCTAAACTATGGCGCCGAGGGGGTGCGAAAGCTAGTGGATAGTAAGTTTGAGAAAATATGTACCTGCGCCTGCGCCTGTTTTCTTTTCCCCCAAGGCGAAGAAAAAAGCCACTTCGTTAGCTAACGTCTACTTTTTTTTCCTTTTCTTCTATTCTAGTTCTCCAAGACGAACTAGAGACTACGATGAAGTTGTGCGGAGTCACAAGCCTAAGCCAGCTCCATCCCGGCTTGTTGAACACTTTGGCGTTGAATCATCTTGTGCCCGGCCCAGACGATCACCTCGATCCTCGTAGTCAAACCCCGCGTCTGAGCAGGCTGTAAAGTAGATGATACAGGGCAAAGCCACCAGTGCTAGGTATTGGCATCGACGCGCAAAAAACGAAAAAGGCGCGCTACTGGGATAATGCAGGACCCCCTGAGGCGGCGGGTATTTAAAAAAGGCCGGACCAAATCTTATTATTTTCTCTATGGCCGCTATAAACCATCATTATTGCTCCTTAAAATATGTGATATAAACAGTTTTGCCGTCATTACCGTCGGCCGTGTAGATTCTTGACACGCCCAAACAAAAGAGCGCTGCGAAACAACGCCCCTCCCTCCTCCCTCGTCATCGTGAGCCGTACTGCGGCGGGACAGGGCCCACATGTTGGTGAATGTTGGGGTCGTATGCCTGATAAGGAGTGTTGTAGGGCATATAGGGGAAGGCTCCGCGGGCTGCGCGTAGCTTACCGGATACGCCGGCTGGGCTGGCGGCGACATGGGGCTTACGGGGGCGGTGGATAGGGGCCCTGCGGGTATTCCGAGCCCGGGGTAACGGGCGGCGGCGGCGCCTGCTGCATCGGTACTTGCTGAAACTGCTGGGGCTGCTGCGCCCAGCCTTGCTGTGGTGGGTAAGGTTGCTCCTGTACCGGCGGCACAGTTGTGTCCGAGTCGGCGGCATTCTTTCTCCTCCAGAGGAAGAGCGCGCCGACGCCTAGAAGGACAATGCCAACTGAGAGGGATCCATGTTAGATGACATACCGTTCAGGCCGTAACGGCTATTGAGAGGATGGGAAGGGGAGTTTGAGTTTAGCTGGGTGACTTACGGACTCCGCCCACAACGCCGCCCACAATCTTGCCAGTATTATCTGTCGGGGCGAGTTAGTCTTGCGTTTCGGATATAGGGAAGCTAGCTCCAGGAGAGACTCTTACTTGACTTGGATCCAGAACTACCTGATTTCGCGCCCGCACTCTCGGAATCGTCATCGTCGTTGCCGTCGTCGTTATCGTCACCATCGTCGGATGACGACGTGGCGTCGCTGTTGGACCCTCGGGTGGGCGTGACACCCAGAGTTCCAAACGGGATAGTAGGGGTGCTGGCGGTGCTTCTTCCCACGCCGACATCGCCGTCCGTGCCGCCCGGCTCCTCGAAGACTGTGAGGACGGTATTCACGCTGGTGCACCCAAAGGCAGACATGCCGTCGACGCTGCCTCCGCTGTAGATAAAGGTGGCACAATTGGACATGCCAACCCGGGAACTAGATGATGGGAGAATGTGAGCAATATGCTTCAAGTGGCAACAGAGGAGACCCTAACAAGGGTGAACCGAGAACGGGCGCCTGTGGTACAGGCAGGGAGGTTCCGTAGGGAGAGCTGACCGGGACAACGTACCAGTACAGGGCGCTAATCTGCGATAACGACGGGAGAGCGGAATACTGCCTTGATTGAGTGAAGGCGTAGCAATCACCGATCAGATCGCAGAGTCCGGTGGGCGGGCAGCACCCAACGACGCTAGCAATATCGTCATAGGCGCACTCATAACCCCTAACGCACCCAACTGACGAGACTAGACGGGCAAACACATGTTGATTAGCCGAGTTCCCCAGAGAAAAACGAATATAGCTTCACTTGTCCCTTCTTCTCCCTCTTCGTCTTGGCGAGGTACGGGTGCGCTTTCAACGCTCTATACGCACAGAAGGAAATTGGACACAGAGATGACGGGGTCATAGGTTGAACGTACAGATATCACCGTTAATAAAGCCGCAGAGCTGGCCAGGAGATTGTCGCTTAGCCAGCTGGGCCTCGACGATGCGCGGCGCAGGAGGAGCAGTGGGCTCGGGAGCCGCGTAGTGCTTGATAAAGACCCTCTGGGCGGTTTCTTGCGCCGGAGTCCACGACAAGAAGCCCTCGTCCTGCGCGCGCGGGAGGGCGTGAGAGTCCGCCAGGCCGTAGAGGCCCAAACCGAAAAGGGCGGCGGCGCCCAGTCGCGTCGCGCCCATCATTGCGACAGTGCGAGTGATTGAAGCCGACTGTCTAGATCAGGGCAAAAAGGGGCGGCGGTGGGGGGACGAGGCGCGCGGAAAGGGAAAGAGAAGGGAGAGTGGAATATCTCGGCGCGCTCGCAGAAGCGCCTTCTCTATCGACCGGCAGGAGGTGAAAGGTTCGTGAGGTCTCTCTCACTCCTCGTCGAGAAGGCTGAGGCTGAAGTTATGGCTTGGCTGGCTGGCTGCCTGCCTTTGGGTTGACCTGTGATTACCGATCCTCCCCATCAAGTGGCCCTAATTTTTTCCCGACTCCTTCCTCCTCGCCCTAGTATAGTCGTTCTGGGGGCCAGCGGAATCGTCAAATTGGGGCAATTATTAGTTTCCAAGGTCAGCCACACTCAACCAGGAGCGAGAGGGGGTTTCCTTGGGCCGGACCAATCCTTTTGGCAGTTGCCATTGTTCTGCGCATGGATGCGACCCTGTGACCCTAGACAGGCAAATTTGGCCATGCCCGAATGGTCCAACCTGCCGTGCACCAGCCACCTTTTCCGTCCTATCTTGCCTATTTTCTGCTTGCACGCTGGCAAAAAGCTCTGGCACACTACCCAGTGTATCCCTGCTCCTTCCGGGACCCTTGGCCTCTCCGAATTAATACCTCAAATGCCCGTCGTTTGCCATCCTGCCTCAAGGAAGAGGGATGGCTTCAGGCAAAATCCTGAGCTGGCGAGGAAAGATGGTCACCGCTCACTCGTAAACACCCACTCGGGACGGGGCCCTCGAGATCTGAGCAGCGGATGGAAATGCGTGGCTCGACAATTTGGTAGGGGCGAGAGGAGCCTGGCACACCTTGGAGCGTAGAGGAGGCTGAGTCTCGCCCGGGGGCAAAAGATTGGAGGTGTTGATGCTTGCGCTGTCCCGACCAAAGGCGTCGAGCAAGGGGAATGGAATCGCTGAAGTGGCAAGATCCCAAAATCCTAAATGCGTGGAAATAGATTCTCCCATAGAAGAAACAGGATACTCCCATGCTGCGTACATGTAGATACTGCTGTGGACCATGAGCACGCATTCACGCATTCACGCATTTGGTATATTGAATCAAGGTGGCGAAAGCAACAAAACCACTGCGGGCATGGTTCGAGCCAGAGGTAAACTTGCATGGATGCATCCATTGCACCCAAATGGATCAATCTGGTGCCATTTCCGAGCACCCTGACTCAATTCAATGCCGGAGAATGCTTCAAATAAGATTTGCTCGGTATCCCACCGAAGGGTCCGCATGACGAGGTGGGCAAAGGGAACGACGACGAGAAATCGGCCCGGACGCGGCACACGCCTCCGGGCCCGACAAAGGGACTTTTCTATCTTTCTTTCTTTTTCTTCTCTTCCTACTTCTAGATCCCGGGGTTCGAACGAGCCCGTCGTCGTCAAATATCCCGCCCAAGTGAGGTCGAAACTCAGATTGAACAACCATAGACTAGATAGGCCGAACGGATCCCGCAACTGATCCCTGGAGAATGGCAAAGATATGGATCAATTGATCCCGTGGAGAGCTTGGCGAGTGGGGATTCAGCTCCCATCCGAACCTCGCCTGGCGCAATTGCGTCCACCAGCCACCCTGCCAAAGCCTACATAGCTGAGAAGTGCTTGGTCGATCCCTCTAGAAAGTGATGTCACTTTTCGACGGGCGATCAGGTCCGGGCATTGCCTCGCGAGAGTGACCAGAGTTGGAAAGCTTTGCTCATTTGCTCATTTGCTCACGGGCACAGCCCTTTTGATCGGCGCTGGGTTCCTACTCTTCCGCTCCATCTAGAATAGTACCCCAGATCTCGAGGTCGCAAGCCCAAATCTCGAAATCGAGCGCCGCAAAACGCAAATCGAGCCACTTTTGCCCAAGGCAAGCAAGGGGAATCATCACCTTCTCATTCTCCTCTTCCTCGTATTTCCACACACACACACACACACACACACACACATCTTGGGCACTTTGTAGACCAAGATCCAGCCAGTTCCTAGCTCGCCGCTCCCACCAAGTTTTGGCCATCACCATGTGTTTCTTTTTTCTTCACTCTTCATCCAAATCCCTTTCTTCTCTCTCCATGTTGGCCAGAGGTAGGTATCCTAGACGTACTGTTTGACCCCAACTTGTTTTTCTTTCTCATTTTTTCTCCCTCTCGTCCTCTTCTCTTTCTGTGCATTCGGGGCCCCACCGGTGGCGGGACGCCCACAAGTTGGACCGCATCGCTCCCTTCACCTCAAAAGGCAAGGTTGCTCATGTCGGTTTTGAGCTCTCACGATACGTCTCGGTGAAGGGTACGGCCTGACTCGGTGACCGCCGGTATACCTTGTTTACACCCCCTTCTCTCTCTCTCGCTCTCTTTATCTCTCTTCATCATTACATGTACTTGCCAGCCAGAGGGCTCGTAGCACAAAACTTGTACTACCTGTGCGTGTGTGGTAAGGTAAGCGCAGATCGACATTGGTAAAGATTGAATAAAGGTGGGGTATGTCGCGTTAGCTGAGGGGTGGCTCTCTGACTCCGGCGTCTAAACATCATGTCAGCATTGTCGAATCTCGGCCTTCAAATCAAATCTGATTCTAGCCTCCGGGGAAGGGCATGTTGGAAACTCCTCACCGAAAGCCCTCGACCGGGCTTAGGCTTTGATTAGACACCCCCAACAAGAGGCCACCGCTGCATAGGGCTCTGTCAATGGTGGGCTCGGTCTAAATCATAGATGACTGTCTCGCCCCTCTCCACTTCCTTTTCCCTTGCGCAGTGTATCACGATAGGCTTGATAATCAGAATCTCTCACATGAGGACCCCTTTCAGCTGGGAAAGGATGAGGGTTGAAGCACAACAAAACCAGGTGTGATGTAATTCAACCTTGTGTTATCCTCCTTTTCGTAGGACCCCATGCATCATTGTCTTTGTCAACAAGATGACCACTCACCGCGATTTCCTTCACGCAACGGACACTCCATTTACCTCTCCAGACCGCCTTCTTAGGGCCTTGCAGTCTTTTGTCCATCTCCCCCCTCTTCTTTTAGGGAGAGAGAGGGGGAGAGGAGGAGGCGGGGGCGTCCCCTAGGTGATTGTCGTGGCATGCGTCATGCTTCAACACTCCGCAAGCCACCCCATGCGGCCCTTGTCCGCGCCTCGTTTCCCCAAGCACCCAACCTTGTTTTCCTCAGCTGGCAAGGTACCTGCCTGCAGGCAACTTGAGAAGCACCTTTGCACCGTCGCATCATCATCCTGATAGCATCATCGCCGGTGACAGAGAATCTAGGGCACTAAGACTCTAGCGACGAGCAGCAGGCAAGTAGGCGGGCGGGCTGTAGACACGTCCCTCTCGAGGCCACAAGGCAGCAATGCGCCCCGGCCAGATCCAGGCCCTTTCGCCGGACGGCCAGTTGAGGCCCGCATCGCGCGTATTCCTGCTTGACGAGGCATTCAGAGGTGGCTCCCTCGGGCTCGAAACTCAAAGGAGGGGGGGTCGCCAGCCTTGCTTGCGATCGCTTATGCCGCTGGTGCGGAACTTCCACAAGGCCCCAAGCCACCACCGGTACTTAATAGTCCTCGACGATTGGTGTTACGGAACCTACCTTCTGCTTTCTTTTCCTTGTTTTCTTTCTTTACATGAGCGATGCCGATCCCATCCACATCCACGTCCTGTATGGGAGCTGTGGGAACGGGGGTAAGGGACGGCAAATATCATTTAAAAATTGAAAAGAAAAGGAACAAGAAAAGGAAAAACGGGTGCAGAGTCCCTGGCCCTCCCATCGAGTGGCGTCTCTCTACCTTCGGGGAGCTTGGCGTTCTCTTCTCTTCCTCGAGGAAACTCTTCTGTGCTCATGTGGAATTCCGACACTAGCCCATCTGAAAGATCAACAGTATTGGCGCCATGCTCACTAGCCGTGTACCGGCATATGCCAGCCGAGTAATCTAAGGAACAAAGTGCATGTACTAGATTGTAGCCAGGCCCTGCATCGCGTCTCGTGGCGGCGTTCTTTCGGGTCAACGGTGCCCGCCATCGATCCTCAAAGGTCTTGTATCAAGCAGGGCGCGGTGGCTATTGCCACATCACCACAAACGTCATAACTAAAGAGCTGAAAGACTCGAAATTGGGGTTTTAGATCGGCAGAGATGACCTTGATCCAGCGCTTCAAGCTGTCGCTCGGGAAGTAGAAGCAACCTCAAATCCTTGCCTCACATCACTTCTCACGACGACAAACAACCTCAGCTAACAACACTAGCCTTGCAACCTGGCCAGCGGATAGAGGGCGCGACGGAATGTATCCATGCGCTGCATTCACACTAGCCAAGGGTGGGAAGTAGAAAGCGGCGGACGAGGGGGCCCGGCGCATTGGATTGCTCAATGATCATCCATTGTCACCGAAAGGCCCATCTCTACACTAGCCTTCCACGAATCCATCTCTCCCATCTTGAGGGGGAGATACCTGCTCCACTGAAAAAGACCGAGGTACATGATAATAACCTCAACCAACAAAGTGAAACAACAAGCTACGGGGTTGAAGCAATGGCTGGCCAGATATGCGGCCCTTGTTGGTATGGGTGGCTTGCATCTACCGAGGTAGTGCCATTGACTTTATCACACCCGCGCGGGCCCGATCTTAATTGCAGAAACAAAAATAAACATGGAAATTGGAGAAGAAAAAAGAAAATGACCCATCGCTCTTCAAGCCCCGAGGAGCCTAATTCCGAAGACACACATTGGATATTAAGGCACAAACATCGCCCCGACAAGGGTCTGGGCCTTTGAGGGATCGATAGAGCTCATCAACCTTGGGGTGTTCACTTCTGGCCCCGGCTTAGGTTCCTACCCGTGGTAATTGGCTCCATAATATTATGTAGACAAAGCCGAGAATAAGCATATCGGCCTGATATAGCTGGAAACCGAAAAAAAGAAGAAAAATTAACAAAGGAGGAAACACGGAACAAAGAGGAGATTGGGTATCTCTCCTAGCCGATAGCCCTGCGTCGGAACCGCGGTTTCCAGGGG